TCTGAGTTACGGGACCAGGCAGAACCTAGAAGGCGCAGACAAATGTTTCACTCCGCAGACAGCCCACAAAGCATGCCACACATACTGACGACACTTGGGTCTTTTCCCTCTCCCTCAGGGGACCAGCCACGGTCAGTTTCTGGAGCATACTACCAGAGGTGAAAGAACGTGACTAATTTTTCTTACGATAGGGAGAACTTCAAATTCCATATGAACAGTCAGGGAAGTGAACTGCCAGCAAAACGAGAAAAAATGCCAACCCCATTAGGTTAGAGCATTGCTCATAACAAGCAAGGTGCCAGATTCGAGTCCTGGTGGGGTTGGAATATTTTTCACTTTTCTGGCAGTTCACTTCCCTGACTGTACACATTGAATTTGAAGTTCTCCGAACTGTAATTATTAAAAAAACTACGGGACACATAAGTAGACGCAGGTTTCCTAACAGTAACCGCGGGCTTGTTGTAATCAAGCCAATGGACCCTCATCCACAATGGTACTCTGCGTCAATGACCAACCAACTGTACCTGTACAGCGAAGTCTGCAGTATATTTATACAAGCCTCTATACAAGCCTCCATTCAATTCCTAAAAAGGCGTTTATATTCAGGTTTATATCGAAAACAAAAACTTGAACTCTCTGCGGAAGTGAATGGGAGTTTGTACAAAAGAGTGGTACATGCTGGTTGTGTTTCTAAACATAATCGTAAGCCGGTGGTAACGCGGATGTGCAAACTTTCCTTTATTTTATTTTTTACAATACATGCATCAATACAGCAATTGTAAAACCATGAAAACTAACCTTGTTGATCACCTGGTCCAAATGTCCATGGCCAACACGAAGTTAGGGCAAGCACACCGAACAAAGAGAGTGAGAGTGAGAAAGAGAAAACAACACACCAGATGTGTTGAATGTAGTACTTGTACACATGTACAAGCACTTCATGCATGAGCAGTTCACTTCAAACATTTCGCTATATCCTCCCGCGATGGTTGAAGGCGAAGCAAATTTTTCGATTATTTGATGCTTACCTCTGGGTTAGATTCAAGAGGAAGCCACTGGCTTTGAGACATTTTGCTTTGTAGAGAGTCTGTCGCGAGGCAAGATGAAAAGCTAATTCAAAATAATACAGCTCGTTTACGATGAAGAAATTTGAAGAAAATGTGCTTTCAAAAGTGCAACTGCGTGTACTGAGGAAAATACAAAATAATTATCACAATCATTTTGAATGGTCATGATCTGACGTCATTGAAAGCATGCATGCATGCTTTTCGCGCGTGCATGTCGTTTTGCGTGCAAAAAGAAACTCACCAAATTTGCAAACTGGATTTTTGTTGTATCATCTTCTCTCTTGTTTTTTGAAACTACAAAGTGTGCAATCACACTTTCTCGGATGTTTGCTTGAAGCGAACCGGCTGGAGCACTGAAGTCTTGTCTTATTGGAACTGTTCAAACGTGGAGAATAACTAACTACCCAGTGCGACTCAGTCATGTTTGGTTTGGCTGCAGCAAATCGCTGCTGCTCGTTGCCAGCATATGTTCCGAGATTGTTGGCAAGGTCGACTTCTTCTCCGACTAGATTGTGCAGTACTGCCTCGTCAACAAGCAGAGATCAACCCTCTGCTCCGACGGAGCGTATGATGCCCTTTCCCGATTACATCAAGTACAAAAAGCGCTTGAGGAGCCGTCAGTTAATGTGGGCCCTGCCGTGTGGCATGTCTGGCATGGTGTCGACTGCTATGATAGTTTCATCCAGGGTACCTAGCCTGGCTGCTCCAGCAGAGGAAATCGAGCCGATTATGTAGGTTTACACACTAAACTAGCTCCACTTTAAAATGAAAAGCAATTCAATGCAGTGCCACACGTTTTTATAGACATTAGCAATGCTATTTGACCAGAACTAATCTTTACCGTGCCACGTTTTCACATGCCCGTAGTGAGTGGAACAAAAAACATTGCTGTTCTCATAACCTACGTTTCCGCGAGCGTTTACACAGAGTGTACTGAACCGTGTGGTGTAGTGTTGACACGGGGCGAGCTGGTGGTATTAATGCAGAGTTGCAGTGCGTTTCCAAACTATAGACGCGTGATTTCAAACATCCGTTAGGCCAGCATCTATAAAACTAGTACCACATAAAATCTGTGATCACTTTGTGCATAAAAATTTCGAAATTGGGCGTTTGCTATCCGATCGCTCAAAAATCTATTTGTGAGTAATTGCGGGAAGGACCTGAGCTATATTCCGGAAACAATTCTCAAAAAGTTCCAGCCAAATTTGAAAATATTAAAAAAACCCATGCGTCTATATTTTTGAAATGGTCTGTAGTCATGACATGGCAAGGCTTCATTTTTGACTGTCCATTGTCCGAATTTCATGGTATTTGCCTTCCTGGAAAGCTACTGCAACAAGGAACATGATGAGCTAAAGTGCAAGTCTTCACAAGGTTAGACCAGTTTTAGAGCCAAGCGAATCTGCCCCAAAATCGTAGCACAGTTGTGCGAGTCAAAGAAACTGTTATAAATATAATTATACACAAGAGAGAGTTTGGAAGCTTTGTCACAACTCCGAGTTTCACGTATCTCTACGATCATCAGGCTGCCTGATGATCGTAGAGATACGTGAAACTCGGAGTTGTGACAAAGCTTCCAAACTCTCTCTTGTGTACAAGGCTCTGCCCTACATGGGCATTGAGCACTCTTCGGACAGTGAAGCACACCACTTGACTAAATATAATTATAATCATATGCCCATTTTGGATGTTCTATTTCAGGCTCAATATTAAATTTTGTTGTGCTTGCTACACCGAATATGCAATGTATTAGGCATGACACAAAATCGGACAGTGGTGCAAACCTTTATGTTGGAGTTTGACCGTGTGTGTTCCTGTTGTGCAGGGGAATGGATCCGCTGGTGTTCTATGGAGGGCTTGGCACAGTGAATGGCTTCATTGTTGCAGTTATCGGTCACTGGCTGTTTGGTCAACTCTGGCACCTCACCAACGCCGAGCTCTCCAGTAAGCTACTCGAGGTAAGCTCCGGTTTGAGAGATTCTACTGCACTTGCTGTATGGCCGACACTGCATTGTAGCCTTGTTAGTTATCAGACTCATTTACCATTACAGCGTATAAGGATTGTGCTGCCAGGGTTGTCCTCTGCCCCTGCTTTACTTGCCAGCTTAGGTATGCAGCTTAGGGGGCTTTGGCAAGTCTGCTGACAGAGCGCAACATTTGTACTGATGGCTGTATGGACCTCCTGTATTGCTTTTACCTGTGTATTTATACTGATGGCTGTGTGGATCTCCTGCATTGCTTTTACCTGTGCAGCGTGATAATGACTTCAAGCTTCGCATCGCTAAGCACAGATTTGAAGGCGACAGTCGGTTCGAGGACGACTATTATGGCGACAAAATCAAGAACCTTTCCGACTACCGACAGTGGATTCGGACTCAGATGCAGAAAAAGGCAGACTTTGAAAGTCACCAGCGGCAAGTTGCCCAGGACAACGAGTGAAATTGATTATGACATCATCACATGCTGCGTGCGCCGAAATGGTGCTGCACTGGCAGGTGGACTCCTCCAAGGAATGGCCATCAAGTCAAATCTACTGTGCTTGTCTGTACTACTACTGTAGGCATGTGACAGTCATTGCCGTGCTGGCTGGTGATCGATAAGAGCCTGTTTTGGCCTTGCTACATGCCGCGTTTGCAGGCCAGAGCCGGGCCGTGAACTGCTTGTGCTAGAACACCCGACCAGGGGCATCAGGAGGAAAACTTGCACCAGCGTTCCTTGCTTCACCTGTAACTGGTGGTAGGGTTCGCCATTGTTCTCTACACCCGTCATCTTGTCACAGTTGACCTTGCTTAGGACTTATACAGGCAACGCAAGTATTTTCAGACCCGGTGCTGATCAGCACAGCGGAATTTGTCACCAGTGCTTGTCTCGATCAAGTGTCCTGCAAGCTGAGCGACGTGCGGAGCATTTTCTGCTGACGTTGCGCCTTTCGGTAGTTTGTTTTTAGGGTCTTTGTTCTTGTGTTCTGTCTAAGTGTCATAGCTGTGCTACTTGTGGGATTTCGCAAATCATTTTCTGATGCTTCCGCAGATCATTTCACTTGTTACTGCTCATGTTTCCAGGATGCTATCATGCACAGCTGTCTGTTTGCCATTTTTTGCTCGACAAATTTTGCAGGATTTCCTAATTTTCCTTGTCTTGTAGCTTCTAAGTTTGTAGCTTCTGTGGATAAAAACATACCACGATTTGATGACCCATGGGGTTTCAAGTTTGTCATATACTGTAAAAGCAGAAATTTTCGGTTGTGTTTTATTTTCGGTAACTTCGGTGCCGACAATTTTTGCCGAAAATAAAACGCACCGAAATTTTCGGTGCAACCGATACTGTATACATGTAGTACTAGTACACTTACCTGGAAAACGGGTTTTACCGAAAATTTCCCTCCACCGAACCGCCGATTTTGGAGAATACCGAAAATATCAGTACAAAATTTCTGCTTTACAGTATGTACCAGGAATACCACTTGCGGTTTGTCATGCCTCATCGAATACCGGTATGAGTCCACAATAATTTCGTGCACTTTCAGCACAGCTCTCCACCAGGGAGTTGTAAAATACTCCCTGCTCTCCACATGGCCAACGGTACGGTGTAAGATGCGTTCCATACCTGGTTACCGCTGGTTATTATTATTATTATCAAGAGTCCATTATGGACTCTTGTTATTATTATCAAGAGTGCATAAATGTGGACTCTTGTTATTACGGTATTATTTATTCACAATCACGTGGCACTAGCCAATGAAATGGTGATGTGGGCCAGGGAGTCGTAAAATACTGGTATTTTACGACTCCCTGATGTGGGCGATAGCCAGCCATGGCGGTAATAGAGCTAGAGGCCGAGGGGAGAAAGAAAAAGAATGAAAGGGGAACTGAAAAGTAAGAGAAGCGCGGGGAGCTAGGGCAGGGCTGGATATCAACTACATGTAGTATGTTGCATTCTGCAGTAGCTGTGTGAATGTATTGTAACATTGGCAGGATTTTAGATTTTGTGGGAGGAGAGACCAATGGCGGTATTAAAGCAAGGAAGAGAGGAGATGTTTGCATAGAGACAGACCGCGCAATAGGGAAGCGGAGAGAGTTTCTGGTGCGCATGTCTTGAGATTGAGCAAACCAGCTTAGGCAGGAGAGAGCATGAAGAGGAGCAATACCCAGCTTAATTTTATGAATTGTCTGGCATGCCAAAAAAACGCACGCGGACCGAGAGCGGCACATAAGCAAGGCGGTATAGTCTGTGCTTGGAGTCAGGCGAGGAAGCCGAAATAATATTTTCAAAGGACGCCTATGCATAACTTCGAGTCGAGCAATCAGTGTTTTAGAAATGCCAGCCCAAATTATGCAGCAGTAATCAAAAATAGGCAGAATGTAAGATGTGCAGATAACATGGCGACAGTCGGTGTGGAGGTGGGGTGATGTGTGATGAGAGAAATCCCATTACTGAGCTAGCACGGCTGTTTAAATTTTCGATCTGGGATTTCCAGGTTAAGTGTCGGTCAATAATGACGCCAAGATGCTTGTGACGGTTTTTCAACGATGCAGAGCGGGGTTGTGGTGCCTGGAAAGGTGAAGGGACTGGTTTCTAATGAAGATTATAGGTCACAGGAACAACTGGGGGGATACACATTACAGCAGTTTTCGAAGAGTTGGGGCTGCAATTTCCATTTTTCCATCCAATGAATAACGCCATCTATGTTGGACTTTAACTTGGCACTAGCCTCGGGGAGAGTGAGTGCTGTCACAAGTAGTGCTGTATCATCAGCATAATTATAGTGATGTGTGATCCATTTCTGCCAGATCGTTTACATACATAAGAAAGAGGAGAGGTCCCAGGATTGATCCCTGAGGAACTCCAGACCGTACATGCCCTTTGGCAGACAGAGCAGAGCCGACACGCACCCTTTGCTGTTTGCCCGTCAGGTAATTACTGAGCCACGTGAAGCAAGTACCATGGATTCCATGGCTCGACAGCTTGTATAAGAGCCCGCGTGTCCATACTGTGTCGAAGGCCTTGCTTAAATCAAAGAAACATAGCATGCTGTAATGGCCGTCCTCACGAACAGAAGACATCGATTGAACAAGTCTGAGAAACTGCCAGGACGTAGAGTCGCCTTTTCGGAATCCAGACTGGGACGGATGTAGAACAGGAGACAGGTAAGTGTATAAGTGGTTGTACATAATACGTTCACACAGCTTGGAGACTGTTGACAGTAACGAAATCGGGCGGTAATTCGATGCATCGAGCTTACTTCCCTTGTTCTTAAAGACCGGAGTTACAATTGCGTGTTTCCAAATAGCAGGGAAAGCACCAGTTGCAAAAGTTTAAAGATGAGGCTGAGAGGGTATGCAATACTGGGACAAAATAGTTTCAGGAGTTCATGAGAAATACCGTCCGCTCCCGCAGCCTTTCGGGTCTTAAGGTTGAGGATTTGCTTTGCCACAGCAAAAGGCGTGGTGGTGACATCTTGCAACGTAGGTGTGGTTCTTCCACGTGATGGGGCGTCGGGTGGCTTGAAGTCTGGCACATTCCATGAAGGATCATCTTGTGTTCCAAAACCAATAAACTGTTCGTTCAAAGCATCTGCCACATCCACAGGGTCAGAATATAGAGTACCAGCGACTGAGAGCTGAGTTACAGTCGTCCTGCTGTTGCCTTGGGGAGATCGAAGCTTCCGGACAAACTGGAATAAACTTGGTGATGCGGGTCTTGCCGTGGATGCACTTACACTTACTTTGTAGGGATGCGATGTACAGTCGATGGGCAGTTCGAGACATATTGCGAGTAACGTTTCGCTCTCGTCTGTAAATAGCGAAGTTGTCAGCTGAGGGAAACTTTCGGTAAACACTATACGAATCTCGTTTTTTCTTTATTTGATGTCGGAGGGTACTGGTCAGCCAGGGGGGGGGGGGGGGGGTTCATATGGATACGCTTGACAGCCGGCGGCTTACGCCTGGGCAGAAATCTTGCACAGCTGTTATGGAAGATAGAGTAAAAGTTGTCCACAGATATGTCAGGATCGCGCCTCTCCAGGCTCAAAGCTGCTGGCCAATGTATGAGGGATATGGCAGTATTCATACTCGCGACAGTGTTGCTGTCTAGAGAATCCAAAGAAAATACACTAAAATCAGGGACATCCAGGGGAGTCGAACGAGCATCACGAGAACGATATGTGGGCATTTCTGGTCAGGGTACAGTACGGATGTGGCCAACAACGATAGAATGATCGGATTGACCAAGTGGTGCTGTAGCACGGAGGCAGGATATAGAGTCCGGTATATCAGTGACAAATAGATCGAGAGCTGCCCCCATGCCAGACAATGACTCATGTGTTGGAAAATTTACGAGCTGCGTGAGAGAGAACATGCCGAAAAGACTGTGAAGCTGGCGGCCAGCGGCATCCGTGGTAGTTCCATGCCAATGGCATGACTTCGCATTAAAGTCTCCCATCAACAGGATAGATGTTGTTCGGTTCTTAAGAGTACTTAGACAGTGCTGGAGGGTATTGCAGAAGGTGTTGATACTTGATGGCGTAAGGGCTGGGGGTCGATATACTGCACCAATAACCAACTTCTTCACATGAGACGCCTCTGGGAAATGTATGTTAGCAGATGACAGGGCTATTTCCACCTATGTGGCTTCCAGGAGAGCCGGGGATACTGAGGTCAGATCGATGGGTGACCTTTGGAAACATCCCAAACCGTACCATGATACAGACGCCGCCATATGCATGGGTGGCATCCGTAGCTGACCTGTTTTCATCTGGCGGACGATCTCGGCGAAAACTGTCATATCCAGGGACCGTGAAAGATGACTGTGGAGAGAGCCATGTTTCCGTTATGCAAACAATGAGGGGTTTAACTGTGGAACAAATGTGAGCCAGCTCGGCAGTCTTGTTCTTAATGGACCTGGCATTGATGCACATTATAGGCTGTGATCCTGCGGTTGGCTGCGAAAGTGGGTAAAAAGGCTGAGCTAATGGATTAAGTGTGCTGTTAGTAGCAATGTCTGGGGAACAGTGAGGAAATATCGGGGGGTTGAGGTTCATTATTGTGCAGACTGATCGACGGTTGTGTTGTCAGCTGTACTTATTCTGTCAAGTGTCAGCCTTGAATCGCCATTCTCGAGCTGTCACTCCGTCAGGCCAAAAGTCAGTTTTTTGCACAGCTTCCCAGTCATCTTCTGTGACGACTCGACTACGTGCGCGTACGCTAGGCCAAAGTACATGGATTGTGTACTTTGTCTCAGAAACGGAGCATTTCAGTACAGCCACTTGCTTGTCTTCGCACCATTTTGCGATGGAGGAAGCAGAGCAACCAGGGTGAATTCTTCCAACATGAACAGCTTTGCATTTGGTACGATGGGCACTGCGCAGTTGCTCATGTTTGCGGGGTGGGCGCTGGTAGTATGAAATGACGCTTGTCCGGAGGGCTTGATCAGTATGTGTCCCCGAGGTAGCGGACTGTGTAATGGGAGAATGCGATGGGAAGTGAGCTTTGGGACGTGCAGATACTACTTTTGCACTGTACGAGTACGGGTTGACTCCAGGGTGCGTATTCCGTGCCTTTGCTGCTGCATCCAGCTCAGGAGAGACTTCCGCTACGGGTACGCTAAGTGCATGATAATGCCTCTTGTACGGGCGCTAAGTATGGGTACGTCAGGTGCGGGTGTAACCTTTTTGAATTCCGACTGCCAATTTCTCTCTTCAGAACTTCAATTTCGGCGTGGAGGGCTGAAATTTCGGCTTTTAGGCCAACCTTCAGTGCCACTATTTCATTGCTGAGGTTTTCAATACAGGTCGTCAAAGATAATAATGCATTCTCTAGCCTGGTTACGTACGTTCCGGCTCGTGCATCCACACCAGGGAGTAGTACACGGTATTGTACTACTCCCTGATCCACACCATATGCCCGGAGGCTCTCCACCAGCTCAGCACGGGACAGCTTACTCACGCCCTCTATGCTATTGCTGTGTTTTGTAGCCAGTTTCCGCAGGTCGTCGAATCCCAGCAAAACTAAAGTCCTGGCCGACTCCTGGGTCCCCTGGGCCTCCGACGCGTCAGAGTCCATGCCTACCAACTACTAGTACTAGTACTAGTGACTAGTACTACTACCGGTAGTAGTACATGTACTACCCTCGATTTTGACTGTATATACCATGTACTACCCTCTACTCCAGACCAGAGGGGTAGATACATGTATACTATTACTTATTACTATCCAAGTAAACTGCACCCTCCATTGTACATGTGGTGTACTACAGTGCTGTGGAGGGTTTGACAATAGGCACACCATGTGTATTGCATACCTAGGCGCCTGCCAGCCTATACTATAGCCGCCCCTCCTCCTCCTCCTCCCCCCCCCCTCCCCCTTTTTTCCCGAATCAGCAGATCCGAGCATACTCAGCACTCAGTGCATATCGCCACGGAGACAAGTCATCGTGGTCATGACGACTGTCGACTGTCACGACTCCCCGCTACACAATGATGTCATGCATGAGCTCATCAAGTAAGTTCACTGAATCACTGCTCTTCAATAACATACCGTATTATCTCTAATATAAGCACAGTCTCCAATAATAGCACGTCTCTAATAATAGAACACCTTGGGGCGTCATTCAAAAAATAAAGTGCTCAGTCTCCATTATAAGCACACTGTGTAAATTCATTATCTGTACCGGCGAAAAAAACCCTGAAATGTGTGTGTCATACATGAATTTGGCATGGCAACATGCCTCTGAAATGAGGTTGAAAATTTAATAATAATGGAACAGTCTCCAATAAAGGAACGTCTCCATTAATAGCACGGGGCGGAGGTACGACGTACATTGAAAAAATAAAGGACCGTGCTTATATTTAGATAATACGGTAATAATAAATAGTTACAAAATAATTGCATCCCATGTACGTAACACTTTGTCACGTCGTTCAAGAAAGACTAGGCTAGGCTGGAAGTATTCTCCTCCACAGACTAGACTGTACACTCGCCCAAGTACTAGTAGCTGTCACTGATTGCTGAAGTCGGACCAACCAGTCGGAATACACTAACTGTTGCCTGTTCTTACAACATTTTCTAGTACCTACATTGTACCTTTGTAGTACTCAGGCCATGGCCCAAGCCATGCTTCCGAACAGCAGGGTACGTAGCCTACGGCACCTGAGTCTTTACGCTATAGCTGCGAACCTGGACTGGCTACTGTTCAAGGAGTTTTCTGAGAACCTGGTCAAGGATGCTCTCTACCTGGTGGGCTCAACTGTAGACTGCATGGGTAAGGAGATGACCCTGCTATGCTGCAAAAGTCTGTAATGCATACTGTAATTACTCCTGGGGGGATTGTCAATTTTGTCAATACTCCTTCTTCTCCGTACCGGTAATAATAATTTGAACTTTTTTTCTCTTTCCCTCAAACCAGTCAATATTTTTTTTTAAGTTCCTGTTTCAAATCCCAGATTTCCTTTCTATAGATGACAGTACACAACCGTGAATGAAATCATCGATGGATAAAATCACCAGCACGCACGCACGTGCACACGGGAAGCATACACGTGTGCGTGCACACACACACACACACACACACACACACACACACACACACACACACCACCACTATCATGATGGGTCAGCGGAATTCCGGAACTACTTTATGGGCGCCAAGTATACAGCGAGCGGTGTGTATACAGAGTGAGTTGCTAGTGCATCGCCGTGCCGCGACTTTGCCAACGCTTCTCAACTTATGATATACTAGTAGGTACATAACCGCTATTCGGGCAATACTGGCTTGATACATGACTTCACGGCTGACGTTGTTTGGTCATGTATCAGCCGGTGTTGTTTGGTCATGTATCAGCCGGTGTTGTTTGGTCATGTATCAGCCGGTGTTGTTTGGTCATGTATCAGCCGGTGTTGCTCTTGTACTCACTCGTACTTGTTCAGTAAATCATACTTACCTGCTTGCAAACAGTACTCTATGTTTCGAGTTGCGGGCAGTGTCCAGGCCGAACGCCCCCGGGTAAGGGAGTCCAACTGAACTGGTCGGTACCTTTGTTTGTTGGCTAAGGTCCGTTCGACGTGGCCGATCTCATCGATATCATGGTGGAAAGGCAGAGTCGTGACCTGGTCGTCAACCGACTCCAGGCGCACTTTACTACAACGCTACGCACCAGTCATCTCTTTGGACTGCTGCACCAGAGCCTCGAGGTGCTGTGCATGCAAAAGTGCGGCAGCTTGGTCACCCCTGGCTTGCTTGCCAAGCTCACGGCCAGAACACTGGTAAGTTTGGTATCACTGTGCCCTGGCGGATGCTGGTCACCTGGAGCCTACCATATATTCCGGATTATAAGCCGCACTTTGAACACTGAAAATTCACCATACTCCGATGATCAGATGAAGGGTGATAAATAGGGTAGATGTCTGTATTTCGGGGCAAAGGGGGGGGGGGGGGGGGTGCGGCTTATCTCTTAATTTGCTAAATTCTATATATAGGATTTTGGTCATATTTTTCAACTCAAAATGGGTGTGGCATGAGAATAGCAAAAAGTATGTGACCAATTCTTCCTTGCTAGGTCTTAGTAGATATCGAGAGTTGAATAAGATAACTTTTTCAAACACTTACATCTCAGGCTCATCTCCTTGCTCATTATTACTAAGGCCTGTGCCCTATTTTTCGAATCCTATATATAGGATTTGAGATTTTATTGGACCTTGTTTTATCCTTAAAACAGGTAGTTTCATGACGGCATGTGCGATATGTCATCATGAAAACGCCCCGTGCCACACCTGCAATGTTCTTCTGCACATTCACTGCTTCAGTCCTTTCCATGACAGCAGCTGAAAAATTATGCTCAAATTTTCAATTCTTGCTGAAAATGGGTATTCATCAGAAATATTATCGCCCTATGAATCTAAGATGTAAACATTCATGCCTCAAACATATTTACAACTTCCATGAAAACCATTATGCCGCTATTATTGGTCGTGATGACCAATAACAATGGCATAAAAGGCACACATTTTCAAATCCTGTATATAGGATTTTTGGCCAGCAAATTAAGAGATACTCCAGAAACTGACGTAGTGTTGAGGCAATAAACAAATTGGATAGGGTCCATCGATGGCCGACAGCTCCCTGAGCAGAATCCGAAAACGTTTTGCTCTGTGTGGAGTAGAGCCTGCATTTGTTAGGGTGTTTTCCACTGCTAAATACACAGCTCCACGTGCATTTACGGTATGTGTAATTAATACTGATTATAGTATTATAGTTACCCATAGTCCCTAGTGGTTGATGACTATGTAACCTATCTTTATGTTAGTGTGAAAATTACATGTAGTCTGATTTCATGTATCTGAAATAACACCCGGGCTCTGCACCTTCACTAACGTTTCCGCCCGCGGCTTATTGCGGGATTTTACGGTACGCCTTTTTAAAGCTTTCTTTCCAGCTCCTTTCTAGTGTCTCATCGTCGCATTCTTTGTGCTTTCCTTTGCTTTAGCCGCTAAAAAAGTTACAACTTGCTGGCCTGTCAGCAAAGACCATATCCCGACAGAGTATCTGTGACTTTCTTGTGGCGTGCTGCAAGCGTCTTGGCAACCTAGCAGTAGTAGACAGTCTGAGAATAGATGGCAGCATCATTAGCTGCATTGCCAGTGTCTGCCCGCATCTGACGTCGCTGGTACTGGCAGGCTGCACGTCGCTGGATGCCAGGTCGTTGCGCCCTCTGTGTCAAGGTTAGGACTAGCTAGGGAGTGACAGCAGTCGATGACATCGTGATAGGAATCGTGGATATGTCCATGACTCATGATGAGTCATACATGTATTTTGTAGTGCACGTAACATTTCTGTCTTGATTCATGACCACATAGGCATTGGTCATCCAGTCTACACCAATCACTGGCTGTGATGGCTCGTACCCTATAGACGAGGTGCACAATTCTGTAGTAGAGTGTGCACAAAGTGTGCACGAATCTGTGGGACGAAATGGGCGCGTGGCACTGCTTTTAGATGTGTCGAGCACCCACTTCATCCAGAAACGGTGTACGGAGGACCTCACCAAATGGCTTTGCCGACACGGTCTATTCACGAACTGGGTTTCTGTTCATAGATTTACACAACGTCTTTGAGCAGCTTTCCACCGTGCTTTGCATATCATTTTTTTTGTCAGATCTGGATATTAAAGAAGAACTCCGGATAAGACAAACAAACTTGTTTAGTCCCTTGAAGTTCGTCCTGCATACTCGTATATATGTGTGTGTAATAAAAACTCGGATATTGAGCATATGTAAAGAGAAAAGGACGTACTGTAAGGCCAGTAATTATGGTGAAAAAAGGAGAAGGACGAAATCTTACGAGTTATGACTAACTGTCATTTGCCGAATGTCTCGGTACTCCTTGTCAGTTGTGTGCCCTTTTGTCGCACTCGCTGACTGTATAAGATCTGGTTACGTTGGTGGACAGGTAGTCATAGCTCGTAACATTTTGTCCTTCTCCTTTTTCACCATAATTTAAGTGGCTCACCATCCGAGTTGAACTTTGAACATTAAATTATAACGTTTTAACAAATTGAAAACATTCGTTTTAGAACATTTGAAGTCGGTGCAAAACGATATGCACTTGTACAGTCATTTGCCGTTTTTGAGACAGAATTCGTTAGAATTTCACCTCACTAACCCACAAAAATCAGAAGATCGATAACTGTAATCAACGTTTAAAAAAGTATCTGGTCTTACTGTATAAGTTACTAGTTATGACTAACAGTCCACCAAGGCAACGAGATAATTATACAGTCAGATAGTGTGACAGCAAGGCTCAAAACTGACAAGGATATTGAGACATTCGACGACCTGACACCTACTGTAAGTCTACAAATTTCGACCCATTCAAATTTCGGCCTCCCGGGGCTAAAACCCATTTCGACCCATTCAAATTTCGGCCTCCCAGGGCTAAAACCTATTTGGACCCATTCAGATTTTCGGCCTGTACTGCTGCCACCTGTATACACTGTCATACCGAACCTGGAAATTTCGGCCAAACATGATCAGGCCGAAAATAGCCGAAAATAAACATGCGCCGAATATTTGTTGACTTGCACATCTACGAAGCGCAAACCAACAACCTTCCAACTTGGAAGGCTCAGGTGCGGAACGTTTCAATGAGGGGAAGGGATGCGCCACGAAGATGTGCATGAGCTATGTCCCTCGGCAACAAAGAATCCCGTTACGTTCGTAATTCTTTGCTGCCGAGGGACATAGCTCATGCACATCTTCGTGACGCATCCCTTCCCCTCATTGGAAACTTTCCGCACCTGAGCCTTCCAAGTAATAGTTAGAAGGTTGTTGGTTTGCGCTTCGTAGATGTGTTGGAACTAGGTGTCAGGTCATCGAATGTCTCAATATCCTTGTCAGGTTGTGTCTTGTTGTCGCACTATCTGACTGTATAGTATCTTGTTACCTTGGTGGACTGTTGGTCATAACTAGTAACTTATTGGTCCTTTTCTCTTTACATGTGTGTGTGTTTGTGTTTGTGCGCGTGTGCGTGTGTGTGTGTGCGTGTGTGTGTGTGTGTGCATGCACTACAGCTAGCTTCACACCATCCCTGGTCACGCTGGATTTGTCAGATGTTGAGCTGGACAGTGAACTGCTGAGGAGTTTGCTCACGGATTTCAGCAGTTTGCGAGTGCTAATGCTTTCTGGCGCCTGTAGTGGTTTCTCCGTGAATCCAGTTCTGCTGGCATTAGATCAAGGTAATTACTGGATCAGACAGCCAGACTTTGAAACTGGTGTGACAGAGTTTAGTTTGGTTTATGACTCACTACATGTATTTCAGAATGCCCCCTGTTATATAGGCTGTTTGTATGATGTAGATTATATGATTATGGTTGTATTGCTTTAGCTCTTTGAGTTTCACACAGAAACAATCATCTGACAGCACGATGTGTGTGTGTGTGTGTGTGTGTGTGTGTGTGTGTGTGTGTGTGTGTGTGTGTGTGTGTGTGTGTGTGTGCAGATGATGTACCAGCAGCCGCTCCGTTGCACCAATTGGATCTAAGCTTTAGCGACTTGGATGACTGTGCCGCTAGGAGCCTTGTAACGAGGTACACTGACTTGGTGATTTTGACTCTCACTGGCTGTGTGGAGCTCACTCAGGCTGTATTTGAAAGCCTGGCAATGCTGGAGTACTTGATGGAGCTGACACTGAGCAGCGCCTATGACCAGCAAGGCATGCTGTATGGTTTCAGCGCTCTGGCCGAGCAGTTTGCTGACATGTTTGCCGGACTTGCCGTGCTGCACGTGAGAGAGGTAGACACAAGTGCTGCACGGTCGTCCTTGGCGCTGCCGTACCTGATCGAAGCCATGCCGAATCTAGTTTCTCTGGGCCTTAGCAAGTTTATGCTGCACACCAGTGGTATATCCAGCGATGTAAAAGCAATATTCCCATGTTTGGAAAGGCTTGCCCTGAACCAGATAGACTTTGTTGGGGATGAAGTGCCCTTTTTTATCCAGTCCTTGCCACCTACTTTGCACACTGTTCAACTTGCTGCAAAGACTTTGACAATACAGTATCTGCTCGACCTGTGTCCAGTGTGGTTGGAGTCCGTTCAAAGTCTAACCATACGCGATCCCGACGCTGTTGGCAGCAATATATCGGAGCTCCTCGTGTTTTGCCACCGCCTGGAGGAATTAACTGTAGTCACACGGCCGCTGGCACGTGGTGCTCTACTGCGAACGCTTCGTCGCTTCAAGACCGTAGATGTCAATGTGGTGTTTCTTCAAGACAACGAGTTTTAGTATCATTTTCCTAAGAGTAACAACGGATTAGTCCAACATTTTAGTTCCCCGAGCGTTCTAGTGCCTCGTGTATGGTAAATGTTTGTATAGGGCATAAATAAGGCATTTTTTTAAATTTCTTCTCTCTCACTTGGTGTACAACACCTTGAATTCCATGCATACTTTTCCAACCCACTACACGGATTCTATCACCTCTTTGTCCAGTATTCATTGTGTTCGTCATAGTCTCTTGTTTGCCTGTATTTCTTCTGAAGAAAGGCTACGACAACGTTCAGGAAAACAACTACATATAAACAAAACAGCCATGATCCGTGTGGGTGTACGCGCCAATTGCCCTATTTATGGTAATAATGTGTACCTGTCCTTGTCTCCATGCAAATTATTTTATTTTTTATTGAAGTCTATTCTTATTTTTATATTTAGTATAACTTAGTATGCATATGCTGAGCCGGGTAGGTATGTACTTGCAGTACATCAAACTTCAAAGCAAGTGGTGTTATTTTTTTTCAATGGTGAATTTAACACTGGACAGATTGGTTGCTTCTTATTCTGGAGCTCGTGCTTTCCCTGCTGACTAGTCTTGACTCTTGTCCCCTCAGCTTTATTTTTCTAGGTTATGTCTCGTAGTCAGTTTATTTTAGGTTCCTTTTGCTGCCCGGCACCAGCCAGTCGTGTCATCATAGTGAACAATGAACAGTTGATGTTCGGCATGTGAGTATTATACTGTCAAGAGTTTATGTACTCCTGGTCCACGAACAGGTATACATGGTATATATGTGCAGTGCTGGCCAGTGATATTCGACCGGCCTGTGGTGCATGTCGTGCACACCGAGCTGAGTGAGCAGCTCCTGATGCCCCTGATCGGTACTGTGCAGCTTGCCTTGCCCACGTGCTGAATGATGGTAACCAAGCGGCACGTGTTGGACTTCTGAAGCCAGACATTGGGCTTCACTGGCCAATACGGTACTGTATCAGAGATCAACCTGTGATCATTTCACATTTCACCGTAGCCATGGACAACCTCCGCCCCGTAGACATCTACAGTTCTAGGCCTACTGGACAATGGCATACCGGTATTTATAAAGGGATGTACTTCCGTTGGACAGCGATCTCGAGACCCAGTGAGCTAACGTTTCACAACCTTGCTCCGTCCAGCTGGGTACATGTGCGCACAATCGCATGCTCATTACTACAACGTGGTGATGCCATCACAAGGTACCGGCATGCATGTACAGTGAGTATCGTTTATAAAGTGACCGGGTGTAACGATATACCGGCTATAATGATAGAACTCGTCAAAATCAAATCCGGAAGCAAACCATATCAAATGTACAGGGAAATATCGCATATAATGATCAAGAGTGAAGATCACAAAACAAGTGTTCTTCCAATAAAGTTCACTTCTTCCAAAACTGATCCAGTGTTGCCTGGATGCACCTGGCAGCAGACGTGAGATAAAATTCTTCCCTGTATGCTGTAAGCAGCCACATGTACACGTGGATGCTTTTCATGCCTTTTCCAGCATGTACGCATCATTTCATGCGCAGTCATGTGCCATGTGTCAGTCACACATGCAAATCGGCTATAGTGATGCACCGGATATAATGAAAAATTATCAAAAATCAAAGGGGCACGTTATGTCCAGTATTTACTGTACTACAAAGATAAGGTCGCAGTATTGTGACCAGGGAGTAGCACAATACTGTGCTACTCCCTGATTGTGACGGACAATGAGTTCGCATTGCAAACGTATCGCTATCACAATAGTGCTCGGCTGTGCCCCTTATCTTGTGAACGATGTACTTGAGGCTAGGCAAAGGCCGCTCATTTCTCTAATGTGCCTGTTGCTGTCACACAGACAGGAGCCGATTCCGGAATGTGGAAAAGCATCCACGAGGATAAAACTTAGGGGGAGCGAACATCATGCTATTGTGTCAGGATTACGAAGACTTCCACCAGCCCAGACCATGTGATCCAGTCCAGTCATAAACTAGCTAATTACACCTCTATATGTATAAATTTGATTTGAAGAATAGTCACAGAAATTGCCTCGTTTGTTGTGCCCTGTGGCAGGCATTGTGAATGGCTGAACAGACAGCAAAACTTGTCAGCTACAAACAAACATCTATCAGTTGAATGGCGAGCTTCTTACATCCAGCAGCCGCAAATTCCCACCGCTCGTACTTCCGGAAATCAACTGCTTTCGTGAGGCGATCCTGGTACTGTTCAACACTGCATGAAAGCCGCCGTGCTGCTGATTTTAGGCAGCACTCCACGTGGGCGCGCTCCAGCGGCAGGAACGGCACATCCACAAACCGTGACTCTAGTGTCGTGTCGACACCTGCATCGCAGATCCGGTCAGCGCCGCAGGTACCAGTGGTTGGTCCTCTGCTCTGCCGAAACGAATCTGCCGTGAGCGTGTCCCTACTGGCTCCATCCCTGTACAAGGAGATAAGCGTGGACATGATGCGCTCCTGGCCACCAGTACCCATGAACAGGAAGATAGATCTAGAAAACTCCTGAACTCTGGACTTTGCGAGCAAGGGCTTCAAGGCAAGATTCACGAGCAGGCTCATCTTGTCAAAATCGTCAAAGATGAACAGGCGGTGCGGACATAGTGAGACAAGCTTGATGAGTTTCTGCCGCAGCCGGCTAGCGTAAATATAGTCCATGGTCCGATCTGGGAAGTCCTTTGCCGGAGAGAACACGTGGACAAAACTCGAATACTCTCCTTGTCGGTAGAGATGGTCTATCACTATTTGGGCAGCATATGTTTTTCCAGTGCCACGCCCACCATAGAAATGGAATAATCGTGGCTGGTGCATGCTCTTCGATTTGAAATCTCTCTTGAGCTGGCCAAGGCTGGCGAGTATGTGCTTGATGGCGATATGCTGGCCACAAAGCGAAGCTTTAAGAGTCTGTTCCAGGCCAGACGTGTTGGCTATGATCCATCTCTTATTGCATCGCTCTCCGAGCGTTGCGTCCTTTACATGGTTCACTACCTTGCCAGCAGCAGTGCTCAGCTTGACGATCGAGTCCTTTCCGACGTCCACGGCTTTCTCGAACGTAGACTTTGCCGCACTGGCCCACCGGTCCCAATCGCTTTGCGACAGGCCCGATGCTGGCCCGATACTGGTCTCAGCGATTAACATCCATAGTATAACAAACGCTGCCAAGTTGGTCATTTTGATATGCTTTGCACCGCAGGTCTCTCATTCATTGTACACGGGTAGCACAGGTACATCGATCTGATGATTCAGCTTATGTAGTCGAATGAGACCAAGTAATAGTTTGCTGTCACCAGAAGGGCCCTCCAGGGTTCCTGCCAGGATCATTAGATAGTTTTTGGGCAGTGCTGGAGATACTACGCTCTGCAGCTCCGATCTTGAACTGAGACGTCGGTGCTTATAATTATAACGCTTCCATAGCACGTAGCGTCATCCACTGTGTTGCACACACAAGTCCTTCTACCTTAGTTAGAATAATGTGAGAGCATCGCGCATGAACATGAATCTCGGAGAAGGTTTTAGAAGACTACACACTCAGCAAGCACGCACTAACGAACAGAGTTAGGGATGTGAGGTTGAAGTTGAGTTCCTCCTTGTTAGAAACATTTCGTACATTCAATGCCATGATTTCGCGAAGGCTATAGACTGACTTGTTCAGAATGAAAAATACATTTTAATTCATGTCATTTTCATGTCGAAGCGTGTGTTTCCTCGAGAGCAGCGCCGCGCTGGCGACTGCTGGGGACAAAAAGATTGATACCCGTCAGAACCGGATATACCCGGCCCGGATCGTAGACGCGGAGTAGACTCAGTACATGTATACAGTGGGTTTTCACCAGGTTTTCACCAGGTCCAGGGCTAGGGCAGGGATTCGTAAAAAATACGGTCAGATCCCATCCAGGCTGCTGTGGTCATGTCAGGTCGCTCAGCTGATCGAGCTGCTTTTGTCGAGTCTGCATAGTGTCACTGTGAGTCTGTCAGCAAAAGGATATGAAACCCCAATTCAGTGTCAGGACTGAGGTACCTTCGGCTTATTGATCTGTACTTTATAGCTGAGACACTGGTAGCTTAGTCCATACAGTGATACATGCATGACTTGTAGCCTTGTAGGTATATCCAAAGACGAATGACGGGTATTGTGTAATACACTGTTGCAGGACGTCTTCAGAAAATTTAATAGTACTGCATCCAATAGCGTTTGTAGAGCAAAAGCAGAGCATGGCACAGGGCCAATGCAGAGCTGGAATATTATCTTTTCTGGTGGATAGGACATGAAAAAGCCGAGGGGGGCACACAATCTTTGGAATGCTACACATGCGTTAACCAGTATGACAATAAAATAGAAGACCCAGAAGCTATTCGTCTGGTATTTCATAAACTTCTCAGGTTGCAAGGATCATCCAGGATGTCGACAGTGAAGTGCGACTCATAAGTGAAGTACCTGACCTCGGAGGGCATTAGCACACGCAGACAAGCAGACTTGTTAGGGCAGTGGCCGCAATGAAACCGCACAAAAATAATTCTATACATCCAGTCCCTAGGAAAATATGCTGACTATTAAAATGAAGGTACCAAAACGAAAGCCGCAACTTCTAAGTTTGTAACAAAACAAGTTCTAAGAAAGAACTAAAACAGCTGTGTGATACGCTAGCAACATCGCAAAACACACACACACACACACACACACTCTCTCTCTCTCTCTCTCTCTCTCTCTCTCTCTCTCTCTCTCTCTCTCTCTCTCTCTCTCTCTCTCTCTCTCTCTCTCTCTCTCTCTCTCTCTCTCTAAATACTAGTGATGAAATATTAAAAAATGAACACATACCCACGCACGCACATAATATGAAGGCTCAAGTAATGGACTACACTTTAAAAAGCAGTGGAGCAATTCTGTACATATACCGCATTCCAATGATGTCATGATGCACCGGGCTAAAACCGAATTTTTTTTCCAAAAAAAATAAAGTAGGTGTGTGAACGTGAGCATGTGGATGTGTGAGAAAGAGAGAGATTGACAGGACAACAAATAAATTCCTAAATACGGGTACAAGCCTCTCGAACAAAATTCGTTACGGCAACATTTCACTTTGCTGCAAGGTGAATCACGCAAGCTCTGTAGAAGGGAAGGGATTGGCAACTACTCACGCCACCTAGTGACAATGGTCTCCCTCTGAAGACGCAAGTCCTGGAGACGGCCGCAAGTTGAGTGTTACATAGTAACCGACTGCATCGCCGAGAATGACGGCCAGAAAGAGGTAGACATTGTAGGTCATGACGACCAGCATCAACAGATAGGCAAGTGTGAATGACAGCGCTTGCAGCAGCGTCTGCGAGAAAGCGTCCACCCTACTAACATTGTACGTTCGACCATGGCAGCCCTTTACGTCATGATCATTCAGGTTCTGGAAGGAACGGCGGTGAACCCGCTCGGTAAATCGATCACGACACGTCTTCAATACCTCGTACAGAAACGCCAGCAGGAACACGCACACGCAGGATAGGATCAGTTCTGCAACAAACAATGGAAAGATAGAGACAGAAAAACACAAAAAAAAAGAGAGAGAGAGAGAGAGAGAGAGAGAGAGAGAGAGAGAGAGAGAGAGAGAGAGAGAGAGAGAGAGAGAGAGAGAGAGAGAGAGAGAGAGAGAGAGAATACACTGTGGTCAGTGTTCAACACATAAATTTATCCCTTTCATGAGTTCACACAAATCACACAAACTGAGATTCATTTTTGTATTGAGTGCCCACATTAAAATTTGAACAGCTGTCTTGTGACGTACTTGGATAAACTTCAGCAGTGTCATGATCTATCAGCACATATGAAGAATTAACAAAAGACTTACCTGACCCTCCTCCCCATTCTCGGCAGTAAAAAGGCAGCCATCAACATGTTGGCTTTAGCAATGTATTACAATGTATTACATATAAAAATCAAACTCACGCCATGATTCTTCCACTTCCCAGCCACTGAAGAGAATTGTGACTTTCTTGCTTGCTGAGAAGGTCATCTATAAGTAATCCAAGCACAGTGCGATATACACCTGTCAGGCATCAGCTTGGGATATACCATAGGCGTAGTACAAATTGCCACCAAGAGTCAAACACACCAGAGACTTGCCGGCAATGTAAAAGAACTCAGCTCCCCACACAGTACCCGGGGAGTTGAATCCCTTGCACATGTCACACTATAGCTTGTGACCGCACCGTGCACATACACAGCTACTCTGCACGTGCAGTTCTGGCCAGAGAGAACCGACCTCACGAACAAAGTAGAGCCGTGCTGAAGTGAGCAAAGCGGTGTGTGTGTGTGTGTGTGTGTGTGTGTGTGTGTGTGGTGTGTGGTGCTTCACTGGCTGCAGCATGCAGGACGCATGTTGGACGACAGAATAACGAACTGCGTAGTGTTCGGTGAGCTCCAGAAGACCCGCCCTCGCCACGTGCCACGCAAGCGCTGGCGTGACAACAATGTGAATCATATACAAGAAGGACACATCAATGACTGGTACAGCCTAGCTCAGGACCGTCGTGAATGGAGACTGGCCTGCAACACCATCCAGCCGCGTAAACCTGTATCTTGGGATTTCAAGTGCCACTGCGGCCGAGACCTCACTCGCCACTCGAACTTTTGTTTCCCGTGACTGAAACACCGTCGGTCCTTTCAGGACCTGCCATCATCTGCGGATGGGCATTATATTGTGCTGTATATCAGCAAATCATCACGTGAAAATGTGTACTGTAAATATACAAAATTTCGGCGCTGCAAAATTTCGGCACTTCACGATTTTTGACATTTCGGCGGCGATTTATTTTCGGCGTGGGGTAGAGGGCATGGTATAGTGCAACAGATGCTGTGAAAAATTTCATCGGCGTTTTAATTTAGGCGTTTTGGGTCGGTGCCGAATATAGCCGAAATTAAATAGCTGCCGAAAATTTGTATATTTACAGTATTGGATTTAAAAATTGATGTAAACACGTACACACGTGTTGTGGATAGACAAACAACGTACCTGCATCATCATCTCCATCGGCATACAAGAACAGTTATCACCACCTGGCATAGGCATTTCGTATGAAGACATCCTCGCTGGCTCCAACATTCAACAACAGTTATTATTACTGGGGCAACAATGAGATCAGGGAGTTCTCCTTGCCCTTGGGCACGACTGGACTCCGGTCGCGTCAAATAATAGAATGCTTTACGACTAAAATCTGTTCCACCGCAGATCGTTCACGAGGCGTAGTATTTCGGAGATTACCAAGCATGTATAGCGGAACTGTTCATTTGTACTGCATGCAGGGCTTTCGCCTAGCAGGCCTATTTTGCGAGCTGATAAAATAACGGAAACCCAGACAACAGAACGACAAAGTAAAAAACAGTTGTCTTTCCAATTCCACAACAAACTTTTCAAAGCAAAGCGAGTGACTTGCATCTCATCAGCTCATGATCGGGAAGTCGTCATTTGACGACTCCCTGATCATGATCGATGATCAGGCTAGGCTAGGCGCAGCGCTAGCGCTAGCTAGCGGAGTAGCGCGGCGTAGCCTCGTGCAAGCAAAGACTACAAGTTTCGTGCTGACGAAGCATGTGCTGAGTGGCACTGTTTTGCTTTGAGTTGCTGGTTTTATTTTGACAAGTATTAAACGTTCATGAAATGGTTTGAGAAGTACTTGGTGCCATCACAACGTAACCAGTAACTGCTCGATCTTGTCTCAGCAAATTCAACGTCCTTTTCCAAAATAGTTCCAACAGTATTTTTTTCAGTTATCCGCTTTAGAATCAACTACAAAGGGCCACTTTCCTACTCTTCCTGAGAACCTTCAGCATTTTACTCAGAATTCCTTTGTGGTTCCACAGTCAATATTTTAAATAATGGCTTTGTCAGGCAATTTCGTTGGCCAACTGAACGAAATGGCTCAGGTCAGTCGTTGGGCGGCGCCCAACTATGTCGAGGTCGCTCCTCCGGATGGTGGCTTTGGCTTTGCCATGGAGTGCCATGTGCTCAATTTGAAAACAGTAGGTGAGTTGAACTCTGTTTGTTGCATTGTGAAGGCATAGCTCACTTTGCCTGGCAGGGTCGGAACTTTTGGACCAGGTAGCCACTAGTGTGCACTGTGAGCTCCATTGACGAGACCTGCCAAGGTCAAATGGCTATACTACTGGTATAAATGTATTATACTGTAGTAGCTTTATCCATTTGATTTTTTCTGAATTAATTATTTTCTGTTGAAAGCTTCAACCACCCATGTGTTGTTCTAATCTGTCATATGCATATATTATTATTATTTGTAAGAAAGTGTTCGCTACACCCACACCGGAGCTCGCGCTATTCCGCCGACTTTACTTGACACTTGACTGACTCACGACTGCCATCCAGAGCACACGAGAAGTCCATCGAACCTTCGACTCGGCAAACCTGCAAGAAAGCACCACTCCCTGCTCAATACACAGTGTTTCGGGGAATTCACCCCTCATCAGTTGAGCTTGAGTAGGCTGAGGAAGATTGTGCCTGAAGAGCACCACTTATAATTATAGTGCTCTCCAGGCACAAACATCACCAGGAATACAAACTTACAGACACGCTCCGTTTCCAGCGCGACAAACACCTGGTGAACACCAGATAGCAGCGTGAGTCAGTGTCGCTCCTGGACGGTGAGACAGACGTCGAGGACCCTCGGTCATTCGCAACGCTGTCACCTCCAAACCAACTAGTCGCAAGCCCGCGCTGGGCACAACAGTACGAAGTAGTGGTTGCGACTTCGGCGATGATTTGTAAGAAAGGGTTTGCTCCCCACACCGGAGCTCGCGCTATTCCGCCGACTTTACTTGACACTTGACTGACTCACGACTGCCATCCAGAGCACACGAGAAGTCCATCGAACCTTCGACTCGGCAAACCTGCAAGAAAGCACCACTCCCTGCTCAATACACAGTGTTTCGGGGAATTCACCCCTCATCAGTTGAGCTTGAGTAGGCTGAGGAAGATTGTGCCTGAAGAGCACCACTTATAATTATAGTGCTCTCCAGGCACAAACATCACCAGGGATACAAACTTACAGAGACACTCCGTTTCCAGCGCGACAAACACCTGGTGAACACCAGATAGCAGCGTGAGTCAGTGTCGCTCCTGGACGGTGAGACAGTCAAGTGTCAAGTAAAGTCGCCGGAATAGCGCGAGCTCCGGTGTGGGGAGCAAACCCTTTCTTACAAATCATCGCCGAAGTCGCAACCACTACTTCGTACTGTTGTGCCCAGCGCGGGCTTGCGACTAGTTGGTTTGGAGGTGACAGCGTTGCGAATGACCGAGGGTCCTCGACGTCTGTCTCACCGTCCAGGAGCGACACTGACTCACGCTGCTATCTGGTGTTCACCAGGTGTTTGTCGCGCTGGAAACGGAGCGTCTCTGTAAGTTTGTATCCCTGGTGATGTTTGTGCCTGGAGAGCACTATATAAGTGGTGCTCTTCAGGCACAATCTTCCTCAGCCTACTCAAGCTCAACTGATGAGGGGTGAATTCCCCGAAACACTGTGTATTGAGCAGGGAGTGGTGCTTTCTTGCAGGTTTGCCGAGTCGAAGGTTCGATGGACTTCTCGTGTGCTCTGGATGGCAGTCGTGAGTCAGTCAAGTAAAGTCGGCGGAATAGCGCGAGCTCCGGTGTGGGGAGCAAACCCTTTCTTACAAATCATCGCCGAAGTCGCAACCACTACTTCGTACTACAAGTATTATTATTATTATTATTATTATTTTTGAAAGGATTGGGAGAACTTCAAATTCAAAGGATCAGTTGGGGAAGTGAACTGCCTGAAAAGAGAAAAAATCACCAGACCCACCAGGACTCGAACCCAGGACCTTGCTTGTCATGAGCAATGCTCTAACCACTGAGCTATGGGACCGGGCTGAACCTAGAAGTAGAAGGCGCTGACAAGTTTTTCACTCCAAAGGCAGCTCACAACACGGGCCACACATACTGATGGCACTTGGGTCTTTCTCCCTCCCCCAGGGGACCAACCACGGTCAGTTTCTGGACCCTACCAGTGATGGAGAGTTACTCTTAACTCGTATCCATAATGTCTTTTTCCTTTCTACATTATTATTATTATTAAAAGCATGTCCGCGTAGGTGGCGGGGTGCCACTTTCGCTTATGCCATTCAGGATTGATGTCTGAAGAGTAATACGATACAATGAAATGACAGAAGTGACGTCAACAAAAGCCACAAATGCATATAACACAAACTAAATATCTAAGTCGAGTGGTCTTGGTCCGAGGAAGCTGAGACGCTCCCTTCCTCCTGTATCCCTAATCGAACTCACGCCCTTCAACCGGAACTGGGTCACTGCGCTCTACTACACGGGGATTTGTGTGGAAAAATTCACTGAATGCGTCGCTTCGTAGTTATAGAAGGACGGATGAGCCTGAAACTCCCAGAAGTTCTGGGCCAGAACTTGTGGTACCGGTATTCTAGACGCTGAATCGGATGGCCTTGGTTGGAGGAGGCTTCGATACCGCGTTCAGCCCTTGTTCCCAATAGAAGACAGTCTCGTACACTGTCCGTTACCGATGCGTACACCAGTCGCCTGGTCACCGTGCCATGCGCCAGTGCACTGCACCTTGCAGACGACAACCTGCAACCTCGAGTCCATCCCTTGTGCTTTGCCAGTGCAAGCTGAACAGTGTGATCGCGGCTCTCCATGCACTGACTGTAGTGGAGACAAGCTTCGGCTACAGAGTGCACTTGTCTTCGAGTCTAAGTGTGAAGTTCTTTTGCTTCCAGGTTCATGATACCACTACTCAGCAATTTTTTTATGTTTTGCTATCTATCCATCAGCAGGTGTGGTTAGCTTCGGAGAATCTAGGAAATTTTTCAGGATTCATGAATGACCTGTACCGTGTTTTCTCTAATAAGAGCCCGGGGTTCTTGTTATTTCAGTGATAGCCCTTCCTGCGCTACTACTAGAGACTGTGCTTCTATTTTTCAATGCTCCACTATCAAGCCAACAACCCTCTATAATAGGCATAAACTGGCCATATCAAGACTGGTTTTTCAACCCTAAACTCAGGAATAGTGTCAGAACTGCTGTTTCACAATAGCATATACGCCAGGAAGGAGGGAGTAGATCGAAAACCTCTTTACAAATATGTGCTTGGCATGCTGCACTGCTGTTTTATATGCAACCTATATACGTGTTGCATACTCCGATTGTGGCCCACGCTACTATTAGAAACTGTGCTCTTAACCTCTTATTATTTCAAACAACCCTCACCCCGGGTCATTATTGGAGACTGGGCTTTTATTAGAGAAAATACGGTATGTAATTGGTTTTCTTGATGTGTTTTTCTTGACAGGTGTTGATGATACGAAGAAGAAAGCTCGCCAGGAGTCAGCTCGTCTCATGCTCCAGGTGATAGAAGAGTCTGGCGTTCAGCTACCCCAGCAGCCATCCGATAAGCGTTAAGAGGGCTTGAGAGCAGCACAAGGCAAGCGCTGAATGAGCCTGCGCGAGTTGCACAGGCGGCGGCATCGACAATTCGACCGCTACATTACAGAATCTGATATGTACCACACCATAAGGATCCACTCATAACTCATCCTGAACCTTGTGTTTAAGCAAATAGTTTTGGCCTTGACACCAACTCTCCCATTCACCACTGTTAGTTGTTCATAGTCATACCGTTGCATGTTTTACTTTTTTGTTGGAAGTTTTTGTCTCTCTAACTGCCACAGTCTTTGTTTGACTTTTAAATCTTTGTGTGTGTCGCTGGATGACATACACCATTTCGTAACCCAACTGTAGTACCCAGATCTCTTTTGGCTGTACGAGCTGGCGCTAACACTACATATCTACATACTGCTACTGCTGGTGTCTGTATTTGTGTGCTTGGATTTTTCTGCTCTGCTGTGTGCCTGACATCTTGTTAATCCATTAATTCCTGTTCTCAGCGCAGTGGTGGCAATAAAATATACACTACCCCACACTACAGCTTCCTAAGGTTTAATACTGTATAGGCAGAAAATTTAGTCTGTGAATGCTATCCTCCGGTTCGCCTGGTTGAAAATTCAGGGTAAGATTAGTCCGTGGACCAGGGAGTCGTCAAATACCGGTATTTGACGACTCCCTGCCGTGGACCATAAAAATTAATAGTAAAATCCACTATTATCAGCTTTTTCGTGTAACGAGCAGGGTCTTTAGGTGCAGATAAGGGGTACGTACTGTACTCACTGCTCTCAACTAGCTAGTATTCTGCTTGCGCATACTGAACTGGATTGGTTGAGGACAGTGAACTTCGAATTATACCTTGCTGACTTCGAATTATCAGTAGGAATCCTAGACATTTTCAATGTGCCGGTATTAAAGTGGATTTTGTGGGGTTGAGCAATCTTGCCCAGTCGGAGGTTAGAATTGCAAAAACAAATGACTCCTGAAAGCAACCCACTCGGTTTACGTGAGTCATCAATACAACACGACCTCGGACCACGGCAGATATCCAGACTATGCGTACGCTGGCCTTCGCTGTACATAATTGTACAAAGCGTACTTGAATTAATTTTTTCTCTTGGTACATGTATATGCACCCAAACATGTGCACATACACACACACACACATACACACACACATACTTGTACTGGTACTTGTTTACTGCCAAACTGGTCACGTGGGTCTCCCTGGGAGCAGTAGTAGTAGTAGTAGTAGTAGTTTTTATTATTTTACTAGGAGAGTCCCAACAGGCTACTGCCTTTTTACTGGGAACCCTAAGTGAAGTTTAACCATAGCAAGAGAGTGGGCCTGTCGACAGTCAGCTGGAAGAGTTCCATCTGCTTGCCGCCAGAAAAGAAATAGAGCGCATGCCATACTGCGTATAAACGAGTGGGAGAACTAAGGCTCTTTGTGCCTTGCCCCGGGTGTATGCCTGGTGACCAGGTGCAGTTGCCCGAAGCTGGTACAAAGACTGAAGAAGAGGACTAGCAAGATGCTGGGCCGAGGCACACATACACTGCCACCATGTTCCATGCACTGTCCATGGCATGACAAGCACGCACATCTGCAAGTGCACTGTATACACACACACACACACACGCACACTTGTACTTGCTCACTGTCAAAACTGGTCACGTGGGTCTCCCCGTGGGAGGGTAGAGAGACTCAAAAGGAATCTTGGAAAGATGTCTCAATTGGTTATTGAACCGCCTAACGGCCGACACCCCCTGAAATCCCCAAACTATGGGTGGAGTTGGAAAATGATTCCACTCACTTATGGGCTCACCACAACACCTCAGTAAGTGGGTGAGGACAAGGTGCAAACACACACAGAGGTTTTCTCTAAAAAAAGTACAGCGAACCAGATCTGAATAAAACAGATCAAGACTTGCGCCAGTAACTGCCCAATCTACATTGAGGTTGGCTGCAAGGAAATGCAGCACATGTACATGACTACTCTGGGACATTCCCGATGAATCATCACCCAACAAATACTACGGTAGTATTATACAGAGCATACATGCGTGCAGTGTATTGCACATGAACCATGCCAGAGTAGACAGTAAATCGCACTGAAATGCATTTTTGAAGCACTGCAGTGAAACATACTTTTGAAGTACCTCAAAGTACATGTATGTGCTACTCACACGTTGAGATGGACAATCGTGATGAGTAAGGGCACATGATCTACTGTTCAAAGCATTCACCTGCAACTCGGAATGTTTCCAACTATTCACGCAGCGGCATCCTTTGTTAACCTGGCTGTTCACTGTCTTCTCCATTCTCATCACACAAGGACGGGGTATCACAGTCCACTGCAACCCAAACCGGTTCCATCGTGAACGGTCACATGTTCGTAGCGGGTCATACGTTCGCTCACCGTACGGTCACACGCTCCTTTCGCCGAAAGGTTTTGTTTCAACGGCTTCATCGGTGAGCAGTTTGGCGCCGTGACCCCAAGCTGACTACATTGTAATGTCCTTGCTTTAGTAAGTCAGTTCCATTATGATGGCAACTATGCTGACCTGAGTCGTGGAATAGAGATGCTGAATGTGCGAGGGCAAACTCTATAGAGTTCCTAGACCACTGGCACTGTTCACTAGTATCCACCCTACGCCGCTTTGGTGGAATGTTCGTTCCTTCTAAGTTCTCACGGAAAGTGTTCGCTACAAGCCGTGTAGAGCGAATATTGTCACTAGCTTCGAAAGCAGGTGATCAGGTCACTGGTTGTGGCTTCGATCGCAACGGAAAGTGATCAAGAAAAACAGCAGCAACATTCTTCAAGCGAGGGTTCTTGCACGTTGCAAATTCATCCACACACGCCATGACCTCAGGATCGGCTATTGATTTCAGGAGTTGGCCATCAAACGCCATGTAATACAGGGTGGTGAGTGCAGCAAGTACAACTGCCTCTCTGGAGCTACTGAGGAGACGCTTCAGCTCAGGAGTACCGCCAGCTGAATCGATCAGCTGTGCACATGATTTGTCAGCAGATACATTGCACAGTCCAGCTGCTGCTAGCTCCACAACATCCCAATCCTCTTCGCTCAGACAGTGAACGAAGAGAACAGGCACACGCAATGCCTTCAGCTTATCAAAATTGATAGGATCATACGAGAAGTTTGAAAGGTTGGCCAGAAGTTCCTTCTTGGAGGTTAGATTCGAGGTCGTTTGATATTCAGTTACCAGCTGTTTCAAGTAGGCGCGTCGTCCAAATCCATCTTGCCCAGTCTTTTTGTCCAAATAGGATTGAGAGCTAAACATGATGGCCACTAGTGCTGCCAGGCCAAAACTAAGTAACCAAGAGCAAATAAAATTGAATGGTATTCTTGCTTGATCCTTGTCCTTGCAATATTCCACCCCAATAATATTCCTTGATTGAATGATTTCTTGCGTCCTGCGCATACATTTCAAATACTGGCATGCATGGGGCACAATGACGACATGACGTGACGATGGTAAATTTTTGGTTTTTATATGATCGATCATGAGTCATGACTCGTAATGATTCATACATATGCGCGCATCCAGCACTGTACTCGTATTCCCAGGTTTCTGTGCGTGATCAGACCTCGACTCGTGCATTCATGCAGTACATTTTGTACAGTCAGTAGTCAGCACTGACACTACTGACAGTAGCTAGCCCCAACAACACTCGACCCCGACCTCCCTCCAACTCCGAGGCCAGATCGATCAAACATGTGCCTGTCCTAGATCCTCAGCTAGCTACCCCGTGGACTTCACTGGCTGGAGTGTGCAGGCGCATTTTGACGTGTGATAGGCCTCTCTGTGTATGTTCGGGAGCAAGCAGAGGTAGCTTGCTCGTGTTCTAGTCAGCAGTTAGTGAGTTTTCTGACATGGTGTTTCAGTATGCCAGTTGGCAAAGTTTCAGCTGAGCAAGAGGGCGAACAATCTAGTCCTCGTCCGCTCGGAGCTGAGAAACCAGAGGTTCAAAAATCGCTGCAGCAACGTCAAAACAAGCTCATCCCACCGCAGGTAGGCACCAAAGTAGTTCTGATAAAGTGAAATTATGAATGACAAAATTTTGATTCAATGACAATGACTATGTTAGAAGACGGTCTTCATGATTGTGGTCTCAGAAAAGTGAGACAATTGTAGTGGCCTTTTATGACGTTGACTGCATATTGTATGAGCACATAATTATGCGTACAGGTAGAGATCGGCTATAAGGTTGGCGGTTCTAGTAATATACCGGCTGTAATGTTAGCCACTGCGAATTTAATTCAAAGCAAAGCATCTTTTTTCTGCCCAAATTAGACCGGTTATTGGCTATAGTAAAAATATTGCCTATTGCGATCAAATTCTCACTTCAAAGCCACTCAATCGCATACGTAATAATTATAAGATCGTATAGTAATTGGAGATATACAGGAAGCTCTGGACAGCTGAGATTGTGTAAATGCTGTGTTCTACCAGGAGTGTGGTCATAGAGTAGAGGCAGGATTTTGTTATTCATTTTTGTACGTCACACGTCTTGGTATGATTGTCGTGCATGATGCATGTCTGTTTGTGTATTCCATCATCATCAAGTCGTAAAGCTATCACTTACATACAACCCAGTCCGGTCGCATGTATTGTAGTGAGAATCGTCTGTAGTGGTCAAATCACACTTTCTCAAACACCAATGTTACTACCGATCTCTACCAGTCCTGTACATGCTTTATACTTTAATATTGAATGGTAGTGATAACATTGAATACTGATGTTGCACACTTCTACATTGTATTTCGGTAGCTATTGCGAAGCATAAAACGGGTACATATTGCATCGACTATATTTCAAATGTGTGTTCAGCGACACGCTCTGATTTTTACTATTATGATCTCAGTTCAGATGATTTTGCTGGGGTACGCACTAAACTGTTTTTTATCCTCGCTATGGATGTCATAATACATTAGGCTACATTACCTGGTTGCATTATTGGCATAGTGGTGCAATCGTTTAGTCCAAGCTCCCACCGCATGTTCTCTCCGGCCAATCTCGTTTACCACACCAGCAATACGGCTCCAAGTTTAATGATATTGTAGTATACTGATATCGATTCCATCGTCCAGCTGTTCCAACCACAACAGATCTCATGAGTGAAAGTTGTGGAGTATTGAGTGTATGGAGTGAGTGGCCCGTGGCCCGGGCCTCTCATGGGACTACTTGCAGTGCTGTGCTGGAGACCAACGTCTGAACTGTCCCCTCAATATTCAGTGTGCTATGAGTTTTGGCGCCAACTGCAGTATCTATGCCCACAGTCCCTTGTGCTGTTGAGTGTGACCGTGCACTTGTTTTGCATGTATTCACGCTAAGTCACCTCCTAGTGCCCAGTTTCACTGCTTCATTTTCACAGCACATGTAATTCACTTTATAAAACAATACTGTTCCGGAATTCTAGCCATTCAGCACTGAAAATTTTCCCTGTCCTAAGGGTGACTATAAGAATAATGGGCAGCCCAGGAGCAAGACCGACATCGGTTCACTTTCCAATCGGGGTTATATTGTGTCATCTACATGGGTGTTACAACATCCATTTGGTGTGTGCCATGTGTGCATTCGCATTGTGCAGTATTTTGAAGTTAGATGTGTACTCACACTAACGCGTGGGAATTTGCTGCGTGTACTCTGTAGCTGTGCTTCTCCTTCGGACGGCCTGTGTATCTCTCGACAACCACATGGTTTCTTCGACGAATGGAAGGTGGAAGCAAACTGCCTGGTAAGATTAGACATGCTATACTATGCGTGCTGTACATGTAGCTAGCCAGGCCGGTCCGGCCCAACCAAGGACTGCAGAGTTTAACTGTGTTGCCAGTTTACACTAACGCTGCTGTTGCTGCGCAGCTCGGAGTTTGTTGACTTGCCTATATCTGTACGCACACCCGTTCCCTTACTTGTACTTAGCCTTGCCTGGGATCTGGTTATCTGTAAAGGAAGCCGTTGCTTTTTTTGTGGGTTAAATGCTCCTACATGTGCTTGCACAGTGTACTGGTGATTCTATCTGTCTGTCGTTTATCCATGTGTGGCTGGTACGTGTTCTTGTTGTGTGCAGGTCTGCAGGGCATTGGCAATGCTGGCAACACGTGTTACATGAATGCCGCGTTGCAGGCGTTGGCACACTGGTACGGCAAGCCGATACGCGTGACTTCTCTTCTCTGTCGGTTTTGTTATTAATTTTGTAGAGCATGCTGTGTGCCTGCATTTGTGTTATTATCTTCTTGAACGGACAACTGTCTGACCGGAATTCAGAAATGCGTTACTGGGAAAGAGAACGGCGAAGGACAATGACGCTCTGCCCTGGGGAGGTGTCTCATAGAGCTGGAGCAACTACCTGTGAAAGTGTTTGTTTTTTGCAGTATGACAGGAGCTAGCTGTTCACGCCAATGCAGGTCCAGTTGGGCGAGTGTGTGGCATATCCAGAAAATAATATTATCCTGGTTTCAAGACTCCCTGTCCTGCTTTCAACATTCACTGTAGGCAGGTCCAACGGGTGGTTGGTTTGGAGTTGTCAACGGATATACATGTATACTGGTTTTCACAGCTTTCGGTTTCATCCATTCCTGTAGCATTTGCATACTTTCTCTCTGTGTCTCTCCATCTGTCTGTTTGTCTGTTTGCCTGTCTGTGTGTCTGTCTGTGTGTCTGCCTGCCTTCCTGTCTGTCTGTCTGTCTGTCTGTGTCTCCCACAGCCCGCCATTCATGCTCTACTGCCTTGACTGTGAGATGTTCATACGGCATCTCTCTGGCCAGGGGGTGGCCACTGTCTTCTGTTCTCTGATGAAGCGGCTCTGGTCCACTGAAAGGTGAGCCACACAGCACAACTCTTTGATAGAGTTGTGTGTGTGTGTGTGTGTGTGTGTGTGTGTGTGTGTGTGTGTGTGTGTGTGTGTGTGTGTGTGTGTGAGCCGCCTATACCTGTGTCTCGGGATTTCAGGTGCCACTGCGGCCGAGATTTTCGCCGTCGCCAGGACCTCACTCGCCACTCGAAGTTCTGTTCCACGTGACTGAAACACTGTCGGTCCTTTCAGGACCTGCCATCATCTCCGGATGGGCATTATTGTATTGTGTGTGTGTGTGTGCGTGCGTGCGTGCATGAATGAATGAATTAAAAAAAAAATTAAAAATAGGGATTTACTGGCCAAAAAAAAACAGCCAGAAAAAGCCACTTCAATCAGCCGTGTGATGTAGACCAGGCTAAATTTGTTGCGGTCAATTTGTCAGCCTTGCAACCTGTTGAATGGTGTACTCCCAGCACAAGTTGCTATGTCTAACATAGCTTGTTCACTATCATCGCTTTAGCGATGGGCAGCTGTAAGTGTAAGTAATTACATGTGTGCGTGTATGCGTGCCACCCACCCACCCATCCTGTTGATGTATATTCAATTACTCATGTATCATGTTTTCCCTGCTGACCTGGTCTTGACATGCAGGTATGATGACTTCATCAACCCAAGACCACTGGCTCGTGTGATGAACAACCCAATGTTCATGGGGGTGCAACAGCAGGTAAGATGGTCGCCCTGCTCTACTCACATTGCACTGAATTGCATTGTGCTTATACTTGTTGCGACCTTGCCCACGATTGCGTTGCTTTGCTTTCACTTCACAACATTGCGGCGCTATAACGTCGTTTTGCATGATCAGAGATGTGCATTCGGAATTCATTGCTGTGCATGTATGCTGACAAGTGAGTGTGTTGAGAACGGGACATGTGTATGTTTTTCATCTTGTGTGCACTGTGTGCTCACTGGTAATGTGCTTGTGTGTCACTGTTGTAGGATTCTCAAGAGTTCCTGCGCTGTCTCCTGGATATCATGCACGAGGAGTTGAAAGTTGAAGTGCCCTCCAGACCAAGTGAAGCCCCTTCAAGAGCTAGTGGGTCTGTTAAGGACGCAGACTGCAGTTCTAACGGCAACTCCAACTCGGCAACGGCAGCGTCCGCGGCTGCAGCACCGGAACCGGAATCGTCGTCACCTCCGCAGAAGCAGCCATCACACCGCTATGCCCTGCGCAGTCGTGGAGAGTGCAGTAGCAACGAGCCCGTCGGAGGTAGTCCCAAGAACCGGCAGCCAGCAGCAAGCCATGCAGACAACACAACTGCAAATGACGCTGGTGGCGACATGCAGGTGGACGAGGTTTCCGCAGTGAAGGCCAGTGCGGAGAAGCTGCAAATGTTTCTCCTGAGAACAGCCATCGTCAGCGATCACCAGGTGCCGAAACCGCGCCATCAGCGCCTGCCCGAGCGCGAGCCGTTCACAGCGTACGAGCTTGACCTGGACGACTGGTCTACGCACCGTGTACGTCCTGTGCACTGTCCACACGGCACGTGTCTGCTGTGCAGTGCCAAGGCTAGGTACTTTCGCCGCTCTGCTCCGCACCTCATCATGGGCGCAAAGGACAATGAGTCCGGCACGGCTGTTACACCACCACCTGATGATGAACTGAAGCAGCAGCAGCAGGAGGAACTAAATTCACCAACGGCAGGTAAAGAAGAGCCAATGGACACGACTGAGCAGGCTGAACTCACGGAAGAATCCATTGCTCCTTTGCAGCAGCAGCAACGGCGGCCATCTCTGTCCAGGCAGAATCGCGTGACATCCACAGGCAGCTCGGCCAGCACGGCTCCTGATCTGCAGGTGTCGACAGCCTCTCCTATTGTCCAGAACGGCGTGCACACCTCGAGTGCAGCCACCGGTCCTGGTGATAGCGAGCCTGCAGACTCAGCCAACGCTACGCTGAGTATTGGCGAGTCCAATGGCAGAGGCTCGGCCAACACTGCGTTGAGCATTGGCGGGTGTAGTGGCGGGGGCTCGACCAACACGGCGCTGAGCATTGGCGAGTGCAACGGTGAGGACTCCACCAACACGGCGCTGAGCATTGGCGAAGACCCAACCAACACTGCGCTGAGTACTAGCGAGTGCAATGGCGAGGGTGACGTCCAAAATCCGGCACTGCAGCATTCACCATGTGATTCCCCTGCACAAGAACCATCCAGCAATGCTATGGAAGAGAAACATGACCCAGGCTCGTCGACGTCGCCATCAAGTAGCGTTCAGAACGGTGAACACCAGCAACAAGAAGCTGGTTCGCCATCACGTCACCATGACCAACAGGCAGAAGCAGAACAAACGCCGCAACTGGACAATGATGAGGCGGTCAATGCACACGGCGAACCGAGCGATTCAAGACCGACGTCCGTCCTGAGCGATTCGAAATTTCCCCCCGGTCTCAAAGCCATGATACAGGAAGCTGCGTCGGATGAGTCAAGCGATGAAGAGGACAGCACCTCAGAACATTCCAGTGGTCGCAGCTCCACTCCCAGTGGTAAGCTATCTGTTCGCTGATGATGCTATTAGTGCAGTGCTCAGTACACAGTGTACTCTGCTTTCTTGTGTGTATGTGTATGCGCGCGTGTGTGTGTATGTGTGTGTGCACGTGTGTGTGTGTGCCAGCTAGTTCGGTTGGTGGGTGCACTTATGCCAGATAGTGTTGGGCCTGTTGCCAACGGGCTCGGCTGCTTGAAGGTGTATTGTTGTACCTACCACCTTTGTTGGTTTCAGGGTTCATATACTTTCTGTTTGAAGTATACATACCTGTTAGCCATGGACTGCTTCTGGCTAGATTAACTCTTGTGTGATCAATGGTGCTAGTGAAGCTTATATCAGATCCGCTCTGGTTTAGCCACCCACACTAGTACCCAGTATTACCTTCACTGGGGGCAGGGGTAACTGCAGTTGGATCCCGGGACGGATACCCTGATGCCGTCAATCCTTTTTCTGCACCTTGTCCTCACCCACTTACTGAGGTGTGGTGAGCCCATAAGTGGGATCATTTCAAGTCCACCCTAGTTTGGGGATTTCAGGGGGTGTCGGCCGTTGGGTGGTTCAATGGCCAATTGAGTCATCTTTCCAAGATTCCTTTTGAGTCTCTCTCCCCTCTCCCGGGGAGACCCACGTGACCAGTTTTGGCAGTGAGCAAGTACAAGTACAAGTGTGCATGCGTGTGCGCGTGTGTGTGTGTGTGTGCATGTGTGTGCATGTGTGTGTGTCCCATATGGTGCAGTGGTATGTGCAGCGATTTCCAATCGAGAGGTTGCGGGTTCGATTCCCGACGATTATGGTCACACACGTCTTCTCTCTCTCTCAGACTTCTCCTGACTTTTCTTTCATTCTCCTGGGTGGTTACCAACGGCCATTGCATTTCGGAGTATATGGTGTGATGTGTGTGCGGGAAAAAATATGAAAAGACCAAAAAGCAGGGATTCACTGGCCAGAAAAAGCCACTTCATAGCTTTGTGGTGTAAACCAGGCTGAATAGTGGCGGTCAATTCTTCAGCCTCGCAAGTCGTTGAATGGTGCAATCCCAGCACAAGCTGCTATGGCTTCTGCTGTAGTATCGCTATCATCGTCTCCGACGATGGGCGTCCAATGGTGTGTGTGTCTCTCTGTGTGTGTGTGTGTGTGTGTGTGTGTGTGCGTGCGCGTGTGTGTGTGTGTATTTCTCATGTTAACCTGCTATACCTTTACCTGGTGATAGGTGTCTCATCATGGCAATGATTGTGTGTATTGTCTGTTCTCATGGTGTCTTGTTTGTGTTTGTTTTGGATGCGTATACCTGTGCGGGTATGTGTGTGGGCGTGGGTGTCTGTATGTGTCCATGTGTGTGCGTGTGGGTGCACACGCGTGTTTCTATGCGTGTGCGTGTGTTCGTGAATTGTCAACAGAGCCCGCCAAGGTTTATCGCAGCATTGTGACGGACATATTCGGCGGCGTTACACAAAGTAGTGTCTCATGCAATGCATGTGACCAGTCGTCCAAACAATGTGAACCCTTCCTAGACCTGTCCATCAGCTTGCCAGGTATGCACGCAGCCAATGCCAACTAATTACAATGCACACACATACACACACACACACACACGCACGCACGCTCGTTCACAGTTTGTTTTATTAACCTCCTATAAATGTGGCTGGACGGTTGCCTATTGTATTCAGTATAGCCTACCATCAGGGGCCGTGGTAATCTGTGTTCTTTATCGCCGAGGTCGAATGGCTGCTGGAGCAGGCTCATCGATATTACATGTACTGGTTATACCCCCTTCATTAGTTTGAGGGAGTTGCAAATGGGAAAGGTCTGAGGAAGAAAAAAAATGGACTATCACCGCCAGGACTCGAACCAGGGACCTCATTGTATGTCGTATACAGGGTGCTCTTTTTTTAAAGCTTTGCTGTGTATTGCGCTGTTGCTGTGCACGCCAGCTGTAGTTCTCAACTGGTCCAATGACACTGCAGTACAAAGCACCCTGAGTATGTAGAGCCGACGGATTTAGAATAGTGCAATTACATGCTAGTATGAAACGTTTGAAAACCGAGGCGAAGCCGATTTTTTGTAACTGGTATGTAATGGCAATAAATCCTGAGGCTACTACATTTATTATGCATATGTTGACCTGCACCTTTCTCTAAAAAGGAATATCGTATAAAGTTATAAACAGTATTTGTTGGCTCGAAAGCCAATAAATACTGTTTATAAAATACCACTATTAAGGCCAATAAATACTGCTTACCGGTATAAAATACTCCTCTTTAGGGAAAAGTGCAGTGGTATTTTATTGAGTCAAAGCAAAATTTATTTGAGTTTGATACTGTTGATGGTGTGGTCACTAATGAGTGTGGGTATTTATCAAAGGTCAGTATATTTTGGGATAAACGGTACTGTTTTGATGACCCTTTACATGTATTATTCTTTGCCAGTAGTGTCACCCTGGATAAAGAGCACCTCGGCTAAAAGGCACAGGTGTTCACGGTCCTTGGTGGTATGATATGCGGTAGTACATACATAGTGCGATTAGTGCCACCTGTGCTCACTGTGTCCCCAATCATAATGTTTGTGATCTGGAGTTCCGGCCACGCGACCTTACAGTCAATGCCTGATCTTTCATCTCTCGTTGGAGCCAGACCATTGGTCTGGTCAGAAGGCATCCATGCCTGCTCACTTGATGAAGTAAAGTAAAATACCATGCAACAAATCTCGGAATACCGGGAGAAAAACGAGGTTTGAACATAGCAGTTATTTGTTGGCTCGGGTTTTTGCTGCAGATGCGGAGCAAGTACAGGCGCTAATAAAGGCCCGCGACGCATCCAAGCCCCCGACGCTGGCTGAGCAGCCACGCACTGGCGAGGATGGAGAGTCAAATGTCGAGAAGGAGCCTGGTGGAGAGTTGTCGAACAAACCCCTTCAGCCCGGGGACAAGCCCAGCCTGGCATCGAGGGTCTGGAGTGTTGTCAAATCGTGAGTTGGATAGCTCCCCTCACCTTACGGTACATTTTGAATTGAGCAATCTCTATTCCTTGTTGAACCTTGCCTTTGCTGATCTGCTTGAACAAGCGTTCCTGTGAAAATGTGATATGTTTGTTAACTTAAATAGGGCTGAAGCGATAGTGGATATCTTGGATCGTGTGCGCGTGTGTCTGTCTGTCTGCGTGTCCCCTCTCCCGGGGAGACCCTTGTGACCAGCTTTGGCAGTGAGCAACAAGTAAAAGTGTGTGTGTGTGTGTGTGTGTGTGTGTGTGTGTGTGTGTTTGTCCCTTTTTGTATCTTACCTAGTGTGTCACACATGTTGTGTGTTGTTTTCTGCCATGTGTGTGTGTGTGTGCAGGGCACTGACATCTCGTCATCTGACACTAACCGAGTGCATGGATATCTACTTCTCTCAGGAGGAGCTCACAGGTATGCTGTACTGACTGTACATGTCCTACATGCCACCGACACCATGGCACTGCTGAAAGGGACAGTGTGTGTGTGTGTGTGTGTGTGTGTGTGTGTGTGTGTGTGCGCGCGTGTGTGTGTGGGTGGGTGGGTGTTTGATTCTAATAAGTCAACGTTTGACCATACGCTGTTGATGTAAAAAATTCACGGTTCGCTTGAGACTCGGACTGAGTTTTCGGCATCCGTAGGAACGCCACCACGTTGCAAAGATCAAAGGCGCAGATGCAGCTCCTAAGGCGGTGGTGGGAGGTGAGTAGATCAGCCTACCGACAAAGTGGTCAGAGACCGAAAATTCCAAGCTGTAGATGTAGCAACGAGCGAATTGATCGGACAACCCCGGGGAGTGCTAGAACTAGTTATGGAAAGGCGACAATTTTATTGAACCGGAGGAAGTAAGTGCAGCAATCAGCTGCTGCTGGGCCAGGCCTAGTCGGCACATGTGAATTCTCTACGATCGGCTGTGGGCCCTAAATAGCCCTGATCCTCTCCGCACTTGTAGCCTTTTCCAACATGTTGGATTTTTTCATGACTGTCTGGCGAATCAGTGGTGATCGAACGATTGTCCATTAAGTTTCAGCCAATCACTTTTTTCTGATATAAGTTGATGTGAAATGTCACTTATGATGTGTGTGACTTGTCGACTCCCAGTATTTTACAACTCCCCACTTTGCATTGTAAGTATGTGGGATTCACAGAAGCTTTTTTGCGATGCAATGGGCGATACGGCGCGATCTGCGATGGCGGCGTGCGATGCGAACTCGCGAAATGCCATTCACAGAAGAAGTCAGCGATGCGACGCGTCGCCTTGTTGATTTGGCGCGAAGTTCAATGGTGGTGAGCACGTCACCATGGTATTCGCAAATCTACAAGCAACTCTTGAACCTTTGTACAGCTTTGCTGCGGAAAAAGGTCAATATCGTACGCCACATCGCGAAAGTTGAGCCAAGCTCAACTTCTGCGATGGCCCAGTTGCGACAAGTGCGAGAGCTGCGAGATGGCTGCGATTTGGGGATTTCCCGGTTTCGTGGCCGTCGCATTGCAAAAAGGCTCCTGTGAATCCCGCTTTACATTGTATGTGATTTCTTGCTTGTCTCTGTTTCTCTATACTCAGGTGCCAACCAGTATCACTGTGAGAAGTGCAATGCGTAAGTGACCGACTTTACACACGTTCCACTCTTGTAGTGTGCAATCTGAAGATATTTCCGCCCACATACGTCGAGAATAGTCTACAAAGCTGGCTAGTAGTTTGACTTTGTGGCCGTCCTATTAGGAGTTCAGCCGTCTGAAAAAGTACGGTTTTGTTTCTGAGCTGTTGCATGTTGCTTGGGTTCGTGTGTGCGTATGCAGGAAAGTGGATGGTGCTCGCAAGGTATCTCTCAAGAAGCTGCCAGAGGTAAGTTGGTTTGTTGACACGACCTTTGACTGTTCATACTCTTCAGTACTGTAAGTCTACACATTTTCGGCCCATTTAAATTTCGGCCTCCCAGGGCTAAAACGCAGTTCGGCCGTATTACATTTTCGGCCTGTACTGCTGCTGCCTATATACACTATCACACTGCACCTTGCAAAACAGAATTTGGGCCAAATGTGACCAGGCCGAAAGTAGCCAAAAATACAAACGTGACCAGGCCGAAAGTAGCCAAAAATACATATGCGCCGAATATTTGTTGACTTTATATGTATCTATTATTGCACGATTAAAGAGGTCAATATATGAAATATAGAACGAGTAAAAGACCGAGGTCTTTTACGAGGTCTATATTTCATATATTGACCGATTATGAGGGCAATAATAGATTTATCACGACATAGCATACCTAAAACTGTTTTTGCTTTGCAATAGGAAGAAAGGAATACTATTGTAATAGTATAATAGTATGTACATATGCCGTTTACATTGGACATTACTTCTGTGTAAACCGAAGTTTTCAGTTGTCTCTTTGTTGTTGTAGTATGTTCCCCAAGTTCTTTGACTGAGAATCTGACAGTTTGGGTTCAAATCCCAGCATTTGGCTTCAGATTTTTCTTCTTTCAGTTCTCATTTTTTTCTAAGTTGGGGGAAAAGTTCTAAGTCCTCGGGCTAAGTGGTCAATAATAAGTGGTCAATATAAGCGGTCAATATATGCTGATATTTGACCGCTTACAGATCACACGTTTCTGTGGGGGTCAATAATAAGAGAGTGATAAAGTACTGTATAAGCAGAAATATTCGTCTGGAATTTAATTTCGTCTTTTTCGTCCAAGGAGCTTTTGGACTAAATAAAATGCCGGACGGATGTCAATTTGTCCAGCTTTTCAATACATATGATCCATGGATGAAATTTACTAACGGACGAACTCCCTTTCTTTGCAGTTGGACGAAATTATTGACCGACGAATTTTTCTGCCTGTACAGTAATTCATTCTGGGTCGTCCATAATTATCGAATTTTTTCACGAAACGAAATAATTTCGTTATGGGGTGGGAGGGGGTTGACCAATTTCGTTTCAGAAAACTTCGATACATGCACATGGCCGTAGGAGCCGTGACACACTTGCGACTTTTGTTTATGCATGTATATGTCAACATTTTTTTTACGTTCTGAGGGGGAGGGAGGGAGGGGTTGGGTGTAAACTAAAATACTTAGTTTGGTGAAAAAAGTTCGATATTTACGGACGGCCCCTTAATACGAACTCCAACTTCATGGCCCCTTAATAGTTCTTGGTTTATCAAGATTGGTTTTTTGTCTGTTTGAGCACATGTGCAGCCTTGGCTGGCTGTGCATGTAGCTTCAGAAAGATCTTGTCCGTCTTCCAACAAATCACCATCCATGGAAGCTTCATGTGGCTCATGATGAAGGTTCTCCTGTTTGACATAGGTGGTGCCTTTGTGACAAGCAGACATACAAGACTCACCAGCAAGAAAGCAACGCCATTTCTTTCTTGTGCACCTGCCCTTCTGCTTACACACTGGCATGGTACTGCTGGCTTTGAAGTTGGTGATTTTCCGCTATCACAATGCCTACTGGCCTCTCTCAAGGAAACCTTAGGACACGCAGCCCAGCCAATCTCAACCTTCAACTGTCACTCACTGACTGACTTGAACCTAGGTCGATGACACCCAATTCTCCTTGGAAAAGCTCAAGGTCATCCGCCCGGTAGCACGTTTGCAGTACACCTGCACAAGTTCTCAGTCTGTAGAGGCTATTCGAAACCTCCAGCACTACGCCAGGAACTCTTAAAGCATCCACACTTCCTGGGTCAATCCGGGAACCCTGAGGATTCTCCTCAGCAGCGCTGGGCTTTTTCTTCGATGCAGACTCTGGTGCTTGCAATTTCTCGGAGAGTCTTTTCTCCGACAGAGTTTTCGTGGCATCCTCTCTCAAACCATCGATGTCGAGCCGCCAGATGGAGTGGGTGGCATGGACAGTGGCGTTCTGTCCATTATCAACTGCACTGGGACTGGGGATGCCTAGCACGTCCCGTGATTACCAGTGTGTCCCCAGACCACGTGTCGAGGACATTTCGAACGATTTCATTCACAAACTCACGCCCGGTGTCATGGTGCATTATTTTCGGTGTCCCAAAAACAGAGACGGCATTTCTGAAACAGAAGGTAGTAACATAATTCTTCCTTGCGCAGTTCATAACCGTCCGAATGACCACTAGGAAAAGAGGGAAGGGAACGAAAATGTTCGGTGCTAAAATTTCCTAGTGTTCATACTGCAAGCAGTTCTTCAACCTTTCATTAAGTTACTCTACACTGTTCCATCTCTCATTAGACCTGTGGGACACACAGCCCAACCAATCTCAGCCTTCAACTGTCACTCACTGACTGACTTGAACTTAGGTCGGTGACACCCAATTCTTCTTCGAAAAGCTCAAGGTCATCCGCCCGGTAGCACGTTTGCAGTACACCTGCACAAGTTCTCAGTCTGTAGAGGCTATTCGAAACCTCCAGCACTACGCCAGGAACCCTTAAAGCATCCACACTTCCTGGGTCAATCCGGGAACCCTGAGGATTCTCCTCAGCAGCGCCGCGGGACTTTTTCTTCGATGCAGGCTCTGGTGCTTGCAATTTCTCGGAGAGTCTTTTCTCCGACAGAGTTTTCGTGGCATCCTCTTTCAAGCCATCGATGTCGAGCCGCCAGATGGAGTGGGTGGCATGGACAGTGGCGTTCTGTCCATTATCAACTGCACTGGGACTGGGAATGCCTAGCACGTCCCGTGATTACCAGTGTCTCCCCAGACCACGTGTCGAGGACACTTCGAACGATTTCATTCACAAACTCACGCCCGATGTCATGGTGCATTATTTTCGGTGTCCCAAAAACAGAGACGGCATTTCTGAAACAGAAGGTAGTAACATAATTCTTCCTTGCGCAGTTCATAACCGTCCGAATGACCACTAGGAAAAGAGGGAAGGGAGCGGAAATGTTCGGTGCTAAAATTTCCTAGTGTTCATGCTGCAAGCAGTTCTTCAATCTTTCATTAAGTTACTCTACACTGTTCCATCTCTTATTAGACCTGTAAGAAAGTTTCTGCTGGAAGCTTCAGCTGCTCGACGTGGGCGCTCAGACTGTTCATCATTACCAGTTGGATGTACAACACTCTTCTCTTGTATCGTTGACTGGTCTGCATGATCTTCACCGCACTCGATCGGGCATAGAGCAGATAGTGGCCGTGTTATGAACTTCCCTTTGGGCAGGCGCAACTTGGCAGTGTGAACTTGCCCATCTTGGCTTGACGCTAGTTTAGTTATTCGTCCTAATCTCCACGAACCTCTTAGTGTATTACTGTCTTTGATGAAGACAACTGTATTAACTGTAGGCTCAAAGTGGCTAAGACCTCCGGGTTGATTGAGTTTAGTTTGGTAACGTTCCCTCTAACTCAGTAGGTAATCAGTTTCCCAAATATTCCCAAATATTTGTAGATGCTTTTCCCCCAGCTTTCCATTTCTGTAGCAATTCATCTCGAGAAGATAGCTTTCCATAATTGACATCATTGCTTTGTGCTGAGAGTTCTGGTAAACCAGGTTGGTTTGCTTGGGTGTTGATGATAGTTTGTAATTGCAGGAGGGTGTTAGTACATTCTTTCCTAGGCTCTTCCTCATTGAACATTTCACAAGACGAACCAATCGTTCGTAAAAGCCACCCATCCATGGAGAAAATTGTGGAATATAAACCCACTTGTCCATAATTATCGATCTTTTACACGAAGAGAAAAAGTTTTGTTTATGGTGGGTGGGTCAAGGAAAGTTTCGTTTTGAAAAAATATTGATATGTGAGACATCCCGGCATTCTTGCTGTCAAGTCAATCTATTTTTCGTTCGGGCGGGTGGGTGGGGGAGGGTCCTAACTCCTAACTAAGCTTTTTCGTTTCATGAAAAATTTCGATAATGCCGGCTTTATACGATTTGACATTTTCATCTGGCGCGACATTATTCCATGCTTCATTAACAGTAGAATTGACAAGCTTAAATTGAGGAGCATTGTCTTGAGATTGCCTGCAAAGGCCTTCCCCACGCAGAAATAAAGCGTCTCGGGCATAGCGGGAATTGTTCGGAAGACATGTCTGTAATTAGTTCCAATGCCATTGCTCTTATTGCCATACACGTGAAAAGGCATAACCAAACCTTAGGAAATGTCCCGTCTGGTGATCGTACATGTAGGGGATCTGGATCCGGATCCGACCAAAGGATCATAGCCTATGACGCTCCGGGTTGTTTGCTATTGAATGGTGGGTCTTTCCTGCTTCTTTTGGGACCTAAATGGTGTAGATTCGATCAAAAATGAGTGAGTTACAGCTTATCAAAGTCATCGACGGATAGTAGTCGATTTTTGACTGGCCGGGTTAAGGGTTAATAGTTTTCATGGCCAAAGTAGTTTGAGCTACCTAAAAAAATGGTTATGAAATTGTCTGCGCCACTCAGGCTATAGCCCTGGATCCGCCCCTGGACAAAAATGCAATAACACTGAGAAGAAGCACACACTTCAGGCTCTTGAACAACATCTCGAAAGTTTTCACTTGTATACTTTCAAGCCTCATCATCAAGTGAAATACAGGCAAAATCAAATGAACAAGAACAATGGATTAAGTACAGTAGAGAGGGGATAGAAATAGCTCAAGGAAGAAGAGCTGAAACAACAGCGATGCATGTGTGACCCATGTCCATTTGATTTTGCCTGCATTTCACCTGACGATAAGGCTTGAAAGTATACTGGTGAAAACTTTCGAGATGTTGTTCAAGAGCCTGAAGTGTGTCCTTCTTGTCAGTGTCATTTATGAAGCAATGGCTTAAAATATGACACTGACTTTATAAGACTCGGATGGAGAGCCAATGATTAAATTTAAAAAGAAAGGACCAAAATGTTACATGTTATCTGTAGCTTGTGTCCAACTCTTACAGTTATATTAAAGCAATATACCTCCATGGCTTTAAAGGTGTGGACGCACGGTGTGTTTGTGGCCATGGCTTTTGCTTGTTAGTATATTACATGGTGTCTGTGTGGTGTGTGCATGTGTGGATTTATGCATGTGCACGTGTTGACCGCAGATCATGTGCATTCACTTGAAGCGCTTCCGCCATGAATTGCAGTCGTCTTCCAAAATCGGAGAGCCAGTGTCGTTCCCCATGCAGAGCCTTGACCTCCGCCGCTTCCTGTCCGATGGTAAGTGGTGGTGGTGGTGGTGGTGTGTGTGTGTGTGTGTGGTGTGTTCGAGCGTGGGTGTGTGTTCAAGCGTTGGTGTGGGTGTGTGCACTTGCATGTGTGTATGCATGTACATGTATGTGCACTAGTACTTGAAACTGCTTCAGTGCCTGTTTTGGGTGCTATAGCATGTGGCATATGATCATGACCAAGGACTGTGTGGACTGCTGCGTCTAACATGAGCATAGCGTTCCATAATTTGAGTTTTGCATACTGGAGCATTGTAAAATGATACAGTCGTCCCTCTCTAATCCGGCACCTTTTGCTACAGCGTTTTCTGCTGGATTAACGAGGGTGCTGGATTAAGAAATCCTGCCCTCTGACCCGGCCCTACCCAATTGCATGCATGTATCATACGTCAAAACGCAGGGTTTTTCCGTGTCGACCCAAGTATTTGGTGCACTGCTTCATATTCTCAACTGTTCTCCAGGAATATACACAGTGATAAAGTGATAAAGTAAAACAGAGAACATGTTCACATGTACTCTTGCACACACACGCACACACACCTGAAAATTGGCAGGACACTACTCCTTGCTAAAATAAGAAAGTATGGTTGGCTGCTTAGCCGTTGTCTCCTGGACAACATTGACCCTCTTGAGAAGGCCACGCAAGCAGTCGACATCATGCAGGTCGAACGTTGTAGTTAGTTGTAGAACGTCAGTACCGTCGGTCAGTGTCGTGCAATGTTATCGCATGAGCTGATTGTTTAGTAACTGGTGGTGTTAGTGGACAGTATAGCGTAACTTGTAGTTCCTTGGTCTTTCTCTTTGTATAAATTGAGTTAGGGTTCGGAAAAATCCTAACAACCAACCGAACTGAACTCTCCCGCGCGAGATCGAGTACAGTTGTCAACTGAACTGAATTCTGAAGTGGCCCCGCGCGCGCGGCACTGACCAGACTCGCCTAGCCTGGCCTGGCAAGGAGTGCACCTGTACGGTACGCGATTTACGACTGCCGGATTATGAAATCAAACTACGTGAAGTTTGAGCGATTCGTTTCAAAAAGTCACTGCCGGAGGCGGAATTCAAGTGCCGGATTAAGATGTTGAACGAAAAAAATCGGTTTCGTCAGAAAGTGCGCCGGTTGGCAAGGGTTCCGGATAAACAAGTGCCGGATTAGAGAGGGACGACTGTATTACAAAGCTCCAGCGTGCAGAACTCAAATTAGATCTTTAAAGATTGAATGCAGGCAGAGTCTAAATAATACAAAGTAGTGCTGTAATGGATGGTACATAACACCTATCTCAGCGATCTCTGTCGACTCTGCTCGAAGCTCACCAATCCCTTTTGTGTGTGGGAGCAGGCAATGTGTGCTCGATATGTGTCTGGTGCAAGACTCAATCCGTTTTGCGCTTCCTGGCCTTGTTTTGAAAGAGCTCTCTTTCTACTGTGTGTCATCATATTCCTTAGCACAACTTTGGCCATGTACCTTGCAGTTAGACAACTCTATCTTTGCCACTTAGGACTGATATATCAAATGCGTTGCTTTTTTAGATCTTCATTGTGATTGACTTGGCCGCTCACTCTTAGCTCTGCTGATGAGACCTATGGCAGTACAGGAGTTGTGTTGTAGCTCTACACTACAAGAGTAGTTGTACTTGCCTTGTGTGAGCCCTGGTTACTATCGGGTCTCCTTTTTTGGGGGGATTGAATGAAAACTTTATTCTCCTGTGATCTCCCTCCCTATGTGTGTTTTCAGATGCGGAAGAGGAAGTCTCTACATATGACCTCATAGCTGTTGTGTCGCATATTGGAGGTGTAGCGGGTGAGCGTAAATGCTTGACATCAATTCCGTTTGATTGTGCTTATGTTTACATGCGGCAGTTGTTTCTTGGCGCTGTATTGCACATGCAATGCTAGTTACAGTGGTGTGAACTATGACAGATGTATGACGATTGTGTGTGCGTGTGTATGTGTGTGTGTGTGCGTGCGCGCGCACGCGTGTGTGCATGGCATCCTTGCTTAGGTGGCCATTATGTGACGTTTGTGCGCCACTTCTTGTCAAGCAACTGGTATGAGCTTGACGATCTCAACGTTCACCCTGGTTAGTGCTGCCACTCTCCGCTGCCTATTCCACATGTCAGCAATAAGCAGCAGGATTTTTCTGAGTTCTTTAAACTGTTATGATGTTCAGAGATTAATTACCCTAATTTTATACAAAGAAATAGTACTACATTGGGGTATGGGTTGTGAGTTACTAGGGGGGGTTTAGTCCCACGTAATCCGTGGGTACTTTACGTGTGTGTACCACGTGATACTCAGTGACCCACGTACAGACGTTTTCTGATTCACGACATACCGTGTATGGAGGCTCACCTACGTTCCGCCAGAACTTGGGTGAAAATCAGAATGGAGCGCATTGTGCGAGCTGTGAGGGTGCTCAGCTGAAGAAGTTTCCGAAGCACGAAAGCAAAATATTGGGTGAGCTTCCTAGGCCCGGGTAGCTTCGTCTTTCGCTTCATGCTTTTGTTTGTTCTGTGTGACTAAACACAACATTGAAACGTGGGTGCCCTTCATCCACTTTACGTGGATCACCCACGTACGCGTTTCCGTTACGTGGGAACTAAACCTCCCTACTGTCCATCAATTTAACCAGATAGCCAATATCAGAATTATGTGTGCATGTAGTTGTGCAACATGTATATGAGTCACTTGGTGTCTTCCTCATGCCCTCACTCAATCTAACTAATCTCTCTCTCTCTCTCTCTCTCTCTCTCTCTCTCTCTCTCTCCTTTCTACTTGACCGTTTACTAACATGCAAAAGCAGTACGGACTGTCATGTGGTGTCTTTCTCATGTCTGCATTGTTCCTATGTCTTCCTCTTTGTGCCACAGTCACGGAGCAGTATGTTGCTGGTGTGGAAGCGTACATGCTGTTTTACAAGTAAGTATTGTTTGTGCCATCGGTACAGGTTTTGTTCCTTGCATGGTGTTTGTCTGTATCGAATCCCCTCTGCATGGATATCGTTTGTCATTGGAGGAAGACGCTCTGCACATTTGTTGATGCTTCTCTCTCTCTCTCCCTCTCTCTCTCTCTCTCTCTCTCTCTCTCTCTCTCTCTCTCTCTCTCTCTCTCTCTCTCTCCATCCGAGTCTATCCTTGCACACCAAATGGGATGTTGTTGACTTTGAACAGGGATAGGATTTTGTCCAGAACTTCTTTAGAATTCTGTTAGATTTGTGGAGTTTGTAGTCGCTGCATGCTGTCCTACCACACATGCTTGACACTTCTGTTCCTGTTGTCTCTCCTCATGGCAGGAAATCTTCTCCAGAGATGAGCACCGAACGGGCGAATGTGATGCGGCAGGTGGCCAAGGCTGAGTGTGAGGTAGGCACTGCTACGCTCATGCCTCTGCTACTCTTGTGCTGTCAAGTGTCAACTGTACTCTACACTTTACAGTGCATATTCTGACATATGATTCTGCACGTATCGTTATGCTCTTTTGCCAGCAACGGCGAGTAGTTACAGTGTGCCTTCTGCGCGCATGCTCTTGTAGCGGTGTAGAAGTGGAAGTGTTATTACATGTACGACTAACAGTTTTGATGAACAATTTTCTCATCAAAGTTCCAAGAAATGTACATTGACCCAACGCTGTATCCCTGCGAAACAAGAAAACGGTTCTAAGTATGTTTAGCAGTAAAATCACTGCTTGTAATCAGCTGAGTACAATGTCACCACTTCCACTACTCTCCTGTGGCTCGTGGTACATCTGATGCAGCGTTGTGGGCATCCAAGGTATCCAAGAGCCAGCTCCGAATTGGGAGATGTGGAGATTTCCCAGCTTGTAGGATGTCTCTGTGTCCTGGCGGTCTTTTTCAGAGCTACCAAGCATTCTCTAAATGTATCCACCCATTCACCTGCATGTGTCTGGCAACATAGTCCCAGGAACTAGCGACTTAAAGGGGAAGTCCGGTGAAAAATTTAAATTTCACAGTCCGTAGAGTTCGGGGCGCTGAGTCGAATGGTCTTTGTCCGAGGAGGCTGCGGCCTATGGTTCGTCAGATACGCCCAATCGAACAGGTGCGAATTTGAGCGCGCCTCGCCCAGATCCAGGTGATGACGTCACGGCGTGCAGCCAGGTAGCCACACCATCTAGATGTGTACAAAACGGCCAAATTCGGAGCGCGTTCGATTGGGGAACCATTTGTCGCAGCTTCTTCGGACCAAGACCATTCGATTCAGTGTTACAAACACTAGGTACCCTGTGATTTTCAGCTCGGTAAACCTCGAGGTTATACTGTATTTTTAGCCGTTTCCGAGTTGGACTTTTTCCGTCGGCATGCACTGGCCTCTACGGCTCTACAAATTCGCTGCGCGCATGCTAGCACACACTCATCACACACGGAACTACTCCCGCACTGCTGGGGTAGGTACAACAAGACTCAGAAAACTAGTCAACACACGGACTTGTCATGTACTACACTCGTATCAGTCGTATTGAACAGTCATGTAGTCAGAGAACGAGCGTCACTCCTTGCCGGTGCCGGTGGTTGTGCTTTGAGAAAGAAAAATAGTTTTCCGCTCCTGCCTCATTATTTTATGCTACAGCGATGAGTGCACAACCGTGACAAGTGACAAAACAGCGAACAGCTCCCGGACCTAGAACTTTCAGATCCCGTAGCGTTGCGAGCGAAAAGTCGTGCCCGTGGTTCAAAGCAGGGAGTAGTACAATACCACTCCCTGGTTCAAAGAGCCTGCACTGTTCTCCGAGTAGTCCGAAATATGCCAAGTTCGCACCAAAACATCACCATGTAGCAGGCTACTGGAGTCTACGCGAATCGGTATGGAACAACATTTAGAGCACTCGCATCACTCTTCTCCATTTTGGCGACTCTGCTCTCCAGCGATCTGATAATTATATCAGCCTCGTCTGCAATAGCTGCTGCTTCTTCATCAGTCGGAAACTCAGTAGCGCTCACTCTTGACCGGCCCGCGCGGCCATTTCTTCAGCTGAATACCGAGGTTCTCAGCCCAAGACCGAACTCATGAAGGTCAGCCATGGCTGCATCCTCACTCTCACAAGGAGTTACGTCTTCAGAGTCGCTTGCACCACCTACTATGGGTCGCCAAATCATTTGAAATAGCACTGACACTATTGCTTTCACGCACTCCTTTTGAACTAGCTGCACGCTATGACGTTGCGGAGGGTGTGGCGCGGCCGCATGACGTCATGGCGCAGCCCCCGAAACTCAGTTTTTCAAACGGAAATATCTCGAGAACGCTTTGTCGGAGACACGTGGGACCAACACCATTCGACTCAGCGGCCGAAACTCTACCGACCCTGAAATTTAAATTTTTCACCGGACTTCCCCTTTTTAATCCTCAGGAGCAGAGATACTGAGCATCTCCCACACCCTTGATGACACCATCCCTATTTTACAGATTATAATATCAATGCACTGGAAGTGAGTTGATTGCCACTGCACAGTGCACACTGCTTTGTTGATGTTACTGTTAGGCTTATTGCTACCGGTACCTACGGGTATTTATTTGTCTGTCTGTCTGTCCGTCTTTGTGTGTGTGCGTGCGTGCGTGTGTGTGTGTGTGTGTGTGTGTGTGTGTGTGTGTGTGTGTGTATGTGTGTGTCTGCAGCCTGGTCAAGAGATGTGCTTCGTCTCCAGACAGTGGGTGCATAGGTTCAACACTTGCTTTGATCCTGGTGAGTGTTCACTACTCAGACTTCATGTATGTCTTGTTGTATACAGTCAGACATCGCTTAACCGCACACATCCGTTTTTAACAAAATATCCGGGTAGGCGAACACACATACTCTATGTACATGTATGCATGACATATGCTGTTGTTGTTGTTGTTGTTGAAATTTTATTTTGTATCGCAGACCAAACGGGCAATGGTGCCCAATATTATGATGGCGATAAAGTAACGGCCGAGAGCCAAGGATACAACAAGCAAGCCTCCACGAAAGAGAGAAAAACACAGAAAACACAGACTGCAAATACTCAAAAAGAAAAAAGAGAAGGGGAAAAAAAGAAAAAGAAAGAAGAAGAAAGCACAGTTGAGTCACAGTTGAGTCACGACTCCAAGTCCAAGCCTAGATGCTGGCTAACCATAAAAATAAACCTTTAAAAGTCTCTTGAATGATCTATGGCAGGCGAGGGACTTGAACTCTTGGGGCAGGGCGTTCCATAATTTAACAGCAGAAACGAGCGGCCGACAGTCACCAGAGACTCGCCTGGTGGCAGGGACAACATACGCATTTGGATCGTTGATCCGAGTGACGCCTTCAGTCTGGCGACGTAGGCGCTTGGACAGGAGATTACTAATTCTGGCGGTGTGGATACGAAGCATGAGGAGGCGGAGTTTACAGTGGGCGTTTTGGATGATGGGGATGAGGCCTAGACGGGTGTAGATGGGATCTGTGTGGGAGGGGAATGGCTGGTTGGCAACGCAGCGGATACATCGCTTGTCGAGGACCGAAAGCTGATGCCGTTGGTGCGCAGAGAGAACCGAGAAGAAGGCATTAGATCCATACAACATGTCCGGTAGTATTAACGATCTGTAAAATAGTAGGGCTTGTTGCTCAGTTAAGCAGGAGCGAATGGCTCGCAGCGCCGTCAGTTTCTGGGAGGTCTTCCGTGTAATAGTTGCAACTTGAGTCTCCCACCGAAGCTGGGTGTCGAGATGTAGACCTAGATATCGAGCATTTGTGGTCTGAGCTAGGGGATTTCCATTGCATTCTATGTTAAGTAACAAGGGCTGCCTGCGAGACGCATGAAGGGCTAGAACGTGGGTTTTGGAGGGATTTAGTATTAAGCCTCTTTCTTCCAGAAAGTTGGCCAGGTTGGAGACTGAACGGGAGAGGGTTAAATTCAAGAATTCGACGGATTGACTGATGGCGTCTAGCAGGATATCATCAGCAAACAGCTGTGAGTGGGCTGGAGCTGTGATCTGTTCTATTTCCATTGTGTAGATGGAGAACAAAAGAGGACCCAGCACACTTCCCTGAGGAACACCACACTCACAGGGAGAGAGGGCGGACGACTGGCCATTGCTCAGGACGACTCGCTGACGGCGGTCAGTTAGGTAGCTCACGAACCAACTGAGAGCCGTTGAGGTAATACCAAGCTGAAATAGATCTGTAACCAAAATTTGGTGTTTGACCTTATCGAAGGCCTTGCTCATATCGACAAGTACAAGACCTGTATGGCGCTGCTGATCCGCTGCCTCCAAGTATCTGTCTACAGCCAATGTCAGGGCATCTTCTGTGGAGTGAAGTGGGCGATATGCGAACTGGTTTGCGGGGAACAAGGAATTTCCGGAGAGGAACTTACAGAGTCTCGTGTGGACTACCCGTTCTAGGACTTTGGAAACTATTGGTAATAACGATATTGGTCTATAGTTCTTAGCGACAGCTTTGTCGCCTGACTTGAAGAGGGGACGAACATCCGCAATCTTCAGAGATGCAGGAACAACACCAGAAGCCAGAGATGCATTGATTAGTATGGTAAGGGACGGTGCAAGGACAGGAGAACAGTGTTTGAGGATTGCAGCTGGAACCTGGTCGCTGCCTGCAGCTTTGCGCACGTCGATGTTGGAGAGCAGCTTAGCAATCTCTTGCACACTTGCTGGAGCAAATTCTTCGAGGCATTCCTTCTTCGTGGGACCCAATGGGGCTGAGAGACGTAGTGGTCTAGTTGGGTCTGACACAACACCGCTGAATTGGTCACTGAGCTGTGAGACACTGACGGCTGGTGGAACTGAGGACTTGTTACGACCGCTGAGGTAGTTGATGGTCTGCCAGGTTTTTCGTGCGTTGGCCTGACTAGCAGCAAGAAGGTCCCTAAAGTAGGTGGCTCGGAGATGTCGTGACATACGCTTGGCTTCGTCTCGGGCAGAAGTGAAGACATTGCGTAGTGCCGGGTCTGCAGGTGATGCTTTCCACCGTCGATGGGCCGCGTCACGTCGCTGGACTAGGTCATGTAGAGCTGGCGTCTTCCAGGGGAAGGATTTCCGGGTAGGAGCTCTTGGGCGGTGTAGACGGATAGGAGCATGAGTGTTCAAGGCCGCGACAAGTTTCTCCAGCCACATATCCCACATTTCATCTTCTGTCCGCGCAAAGCAGAAGTTCTCTAGATCGCTATTTAGAAGGTGGTGTGCAAATTGACCCATATCAATTCTTGCAATGTTACGGCCACGTCGCACGGTCGGTGTGCAGGACGTTGTGAGTCGCAAATCAAGTGCCAGAGCGAAGTGGTCACTGATTGTACAAGGTACTACGACACAAGAGTTCACATGATCGTCTCCGACCAGAGCGAGATCCAGGGTTGTTTGGCTGCCTTGGGGTCCAATTCTGGTAGGACAGTCCACTTGGTTCTTGATGTCGAAAGAATTACACAGGTGCAGCAAGCTGTTTAGCTGGGGGCTGTCGCGGGAGCTTACATCGACATTGAAGTCTCCAACAAGGACCAGAGGTGATGTGGGAAGTGTGGAGATGACAGTGTCTAGTGCATTCGTCAAGTCTTGCCAGAATTGCACAGGAGTGCCTGGAGGACGGTACACACCACCAAGGAGAACCTTGGAACGCTGCCCACTGACCTCTAACATGAGCATTTCCACCTGGGTGTCAGCCTTCACAATTCGGGCTCGGAGATGATCTCTTACATAAGCTGCTAAGCCTCCGCCATGAGTTGGCCTGTCGCGTCTGACCAGGGTGTAATTCTGTATGCGTAGGATGTCATCGGAAACGGAGGTTGTTAAGAAAGTCTCTGCCAGCATCATTATATCAACTTTATGGGAAAGAATATAATCTTCAATTTCATGCTTTTTATTGAGAAGATGGCAAACATTTAGGAATCCTATTTTGAGGTTACTTTTAATTAATTCATGCTGTAGGGGGTTTACAGTGGGGCAACTATTTCGTGGCTGAAAGATAGGTGCATGAGGGTTCAAGGGTTGAAAGGGGGCTGCGTGAGGATTTAAACAGAACATTTAGTGCTCCTCTGCAGCTCGACCAGTTGCTACACTGTCAGCCTTGAAGCGCCATTCTCTAACTCTGACGTTTGAAGGCCAGAATTCCGGTTCCAGAACAGTAGCCCAACGATTTTCTTCTGGACGGCGAGGGATCCGGATAAAAGAGGACCGGAGAAGCGAGGTCTGACTGTGCCACACATTCACCTGACGGCGATGTTGTCTAAACTCTAAAGGTGTTCTGCTGCTCAGCAACCTTACTTCTGATTGCCTTGATATCTTAGTGTTGACGTAATTGTACCGTCTCTTGCTCTGGCTGGGCTCAGCTCGGTGTCCTTGTGTGGGATGCTGCAATGCTTTGCTTTGAGCATATTGTCTGGTACCTGACTTGTTTGTGTACAATGTTACTTGGATTGTTCTTATTAGGTCCCATCACAAACAAGGACTTCATTTGCGAGCATGGTGGTACGTTTCTCTCTCTCTCTCTATATATATATATATATTAACTGGTTTTGAGGGAAAGAGACAAACGGGAAAAGTCTGAAGAAAAAATCGACTGCCACCACCAGATATATATATATATGCGTCCATGGAGCTATGAAGCCGAGACCTCTGGTCGGCGGAGCTTAATGGGCCCCACCACCACACTCCATCATTCACCCCAGTGTCTGGAGATATGTGGATTTTGTAGAAAAAAAAAAAAAAAAAAAAAATCTCTTCTCTCTCTCTCTCTCTCTCTCTCTCTCTCTCTCTCTCTACATTGCGCTGCCCCAAAGTGGGGATTATTGATAACACCCCATCTTGCAGTTTGTTTTGATCGCCCAGTTTGCCAGTTTGAATTGAATGGACTGTAGTGAGGCATATGATGTTTGTGGTCACCAAACATTCAGTAATCCAATCGTGCCTATAAGTCATGTAATGCTTGGTTCTTCTTCCATGTCTTGTGCTCTGTGTGTACTGGTGGCATGAGTAGGAGCTGGCATCCACACCGCACAGGAGATCTTGCAGATGGTGACGTTTGCTCCGCGTCCTCTATGGGACAGCCTCGTGGACCGGTACGTTACTGTGCATGTACTGGCTAATAAGTCTTGTGTAGCACGTAAGCAGAGTATCCCACCGACCCAACAAAGAGTGCTTTTCGCTGGAGCGTGAAACTCGGAGTTGTAATTTTAGTTTACCCCCCCCCCCCCCCTCTCTCTCTCTCTCTACACTCTACTCTCTACTCTCTACTCTCTCTACTCTGTAACTTGATATGTCTTTGTAGTGCTTTATCATACCCACCCAATTATAGTGCATTCGCCAAATACGGGCCCTGATACACTTAAACTACATGTATGTGTACCATCTTGACGAACTCTCCATGATGGTCCAGGATCGGGCAGCTTGGAGAGGCACCCGGTATAGCGCGCATGCGGTCGATCTCTAGCTGAGGAACAGCAGCGGAACCATGTGTTGCACGATACTGATCAGTAATCATCATCATTAATTTTGTATTGTGTCAATGCGATTTGTCACAATTGTGTCGGAAAAAAAAACGTTTTGCACATGTCTTGATCAATTTTCACTGCATTCACTTCATCTTAGGCTTAAAACAACGGCTATCATATTTCTGACCTATATAAGTGATCGACTTCACCGTCTTGAATACGAATGAAGTGAGACTGTGAAAAAACCTATGGGCCCAGAATTGGCGAATTCACTAAAAATCCATGTACGTGCACGGTCATGTACAAGTTGTTAATTCTTCTAACAAGTGTAGTTGCACAGTGGCAAACCACACTATATCTTTGTAAGCATTAGTTCGCAGCCTGACGATTGGTGCTTTGCCATGAAATTCTTGACTTGCAGCTCTTGGCTTGTTTGCAATCGTGTAAATTTGTAAAGAAACTCTTCTGTCCCGGGGCTTTCGAGCACTGCCCACTGTACATGGTGGGCATGGGGTTGTGCTGTCTAAATTTCTGCTGCTTTATGTAATTGTGTTGGTTTCATGTGTATGTGTGTATGTTTCAGGTACTGTAGTACATGGTGGGCATAGGATTGTGATATCTAATTCTGCTGCTGTATGTCATGTATTGGCTTTTCATGTGTATGTTCTAGGTATGGCGGTGGGCCTCTTGCCACCACGCTGCGCGTTTGCATGGACTGTCGAGTGAGTGACTATAACCTCCGGACTTGTTTGTGCGTGTCCATTCTCTGTGTCTTGTCTTCATCCACTTGTTGTGCTGTGAGCCCATAAGTAAGCAAGTCCACGCATAGTTGAGGGGGCGAGGGTGGGGTTGTTGGGCAGCTCGAGAACCTTTTTTCACATTTCTAAGATAAAAACATGCATGTCTTGATGTGGATGTGCTTACTATAATGCAACATGTGCATATGAGTTTGTGGTGTGTGTGTGTCGCTATCATTGCCTATGGCAATGGGACGTATGTGCATACGTATGTGTGTGGGGGGGGGGGGGGTACTAAGTATGCACTGCAGCCATTGAACAATTGTATTTCCCTTTCGATTATCTTCTGCTACATAGCAATCCTATGATGCCCTATTACGTCGAAGGCACCTGGAATACCAGAAGTTTGCTCTGGTAAGTTGAACAAGAAGAAGAAACAGACCACTGTCACCCCTACTTTAGATCCAACACAAAGAGAAAAGTATGTTGCAGCACCAAGTTATACTGAACTGTTTTACTGTATTCATGCCATACCCTGTCTAACACACCACAGTCACGGGCGTTGGCAGGTATTCCGCATTGATCTGGCCATGGCCATCCTACGGGGATTTTCTTGGAAAATATAATATTATACCAAATAGCCCATATTTTGCTGCTTAAAAAATTGCAAGATTAAGTTATTGGTGTGGCTTTGAACCTGCAACACCGGTTCCGACGCCCCTGACAGTGTACAGTCCTGTCCAACACACCGCAGCCTACAATATACATGTCGTGTGTGTGCGCGTGTGGGTGTGGGTGTGTGTGCTGTCAGACTAGAATTTCATTTTCCCGGCTTGGAATTCTCAGGTCAAATACTAGTATGCTATGAACGTAGCTTACTGTGGCTATGTCCGTTCGCCAAATCGGGGACCCCGATACACTAAAACTATGTGTCTGAAAAAATACTTTCTGTCTATGTAAGGGCATGTTCGTTTGGTAGGGATCGGGATCCAGATCTCAGATCCGTCGGATCCTTCAGAGTCAACTGGACACTTTTTTGGGCCTTGACTGTTTCCATGTTGACGAAGTAATAAAAAGTCGTACTCACCGCACCAGTTGTACAAAAAGTCAACAAGCTCTATCTCGATCCACGTGTGCGTACCACAATGTGTACAAAAACGATTTTACCCGCCATGTACGCACAAATGTTACATTTGGATCCGTTGGATCCGGTCAACCCTGCTCCCTGAGTTGGGTTGACCGGATCCAAATCCGAAGATCCGGATCCGGATTCGACCAATCGAAAGGGTGCGAATCCAGTGGATCCGGTGGATCGGGATCCCAATCCTACCAATCGAACATGCCCTAAGTCGTCGACTTCACGGTCTTGAATAAGAATGAAGTGAGACTGTGAAAAACCTATAGGCCCGGGTTTGGGCCATCATGCATTAGCAATGTGCTGTGCGTTACTCAATGTGTGTGTTGCTTGTGTCACCACAGCTCAACCAGCCCATGCAGGAGGATGGCCAGATTATTTTCTTGGTCGACCGTAACTGGTTCCTGCAGTGGCGAGACTGTGTGCGCTCAGATGACCCGGGTAAGTGCATCAGGCATGCATGTCTGCATGTACTTAGTATGCGTGTGAGTGTGTGTACATGCATACATGTGTGTGTGTATATGTGTGTGTCTGTCTGAATTTATGCGCACATTGCATATTCGTGCCATGTGCATGCGCATGTGAATATAATATATGCATGTGGACGCTGTGTACAAGTGGTCGTGTGCATATTTTCATCCTGGAATGCCTAGGCTGTAACTTGCTATGTGGGCTGGTCGATCCACCGTGCATACCCATAGCAGGAGAATGGTTGTGTGCTGACGACTTGCCTGTGCCTTGCACACAGGAAAGAGAGGTGCATGTTCGTGCCAGACGCTGTACTAGACGCTGTACACGCTCTAAAAGCCAACCTGTCACTGTGCATTTGTGTGCATGTGCGTGTTTCTATTGATCATGTTCAGATGTGCGTGTGCCCGGTCCGTTGGATAATACCCGTCTCCTCGCCCAGTTACGTCGCTATGGTACAAACCTTCCCAAGGGTAAGATAGTACACTCCGTTGGCATGCAACCGTCTGAACATTTTACATCTGAACTACTCGAGATGTACAAGTGTAACTAAGCATTGATGCAACAACTGGGATTTTCTTCCAACGAATGTTCCCTCGAATATTGCTTTGGCGAACGAATAAATATTCTATATTCTTCTGAAGTGGCTCAGTCACTTGACTCCATCAGACCCAACAGACGTGTCTACTGATAATGTGGACAGTAAGATCCACTACTCACTAGTGAAAAAGTGAATTTGACCAATTTTGACCAAAGAACAAGCTTCACAGTTCTCAGAACTTAATGTCTTCCCTCATACTCAACACTCCAGAGGAAATCATGGTCGGAGCTGCATACAACAATGCAGCAACACTTTTCGAGTAAAAGTGTAGTCGAATGTTACTGCCTGCTTTCGAATATTCTTTCTCGTCGGTATTCTAGAATATTCCGAATATGCGAATATTTGCTGTAACTGTAACTATTAGGATGTTTCACATGTACTTCAAAGTTGTGCAGTGCCATCACTGCTGTGGGCTCTCTCTCTCTCTGCCATGATGTTCATGTGGTCTTCTCTGGACTGTGTTTGGCTTGTTTCCTAGGCTTGTTCCCATTGGAGTTGACGTGGGACGCGTTTTTCTTCCTGTTCAGTCTGTATGGCGGTGGGCCAGTTATCTATGCCATTGGCTAAGGGCCAGTTGCTTTTTGATTGCTTTCCATTGAGAAAAAGGCACACAACATATTTCCCTTGAAGTACTACTCAGCACTATCGACAATCTCCAAGGGCAGTAGTATTTATGCCACCCCCTCCCCTCCCTCCTTGGCACCACTATTAGAAATTGTTTTATCCCAGAGCACAATCACCTGTGCACCATATTGAGTTTGTGTTAGTAGTAGTGTAGGACAAATCAATGTACACGTTCACCATAGCCGTGATCATATTGTGTACGCGTATGTGCTGTGACGCCGCTGGGGTCTCCCCCCCCCCCCTTCCCTCGTTAGCCACAGCTTGCTATAATTATTCTCCCACTAGATTGTCACGTGAGTGAGTCGTCCTTGGCCGTGTGGCCCTGTGTCCTATATAATTACTCTTGCTCCTCTCCCCGTCTGCTTCGTTGCACTTTTCTAGATACTCCTCACTTCATCACTACTCACTGCCCCCCCCCCCCTGCCCGCCCGGTTGGTCACATGATCAGAGGTCTTGTAACGCAGTGCCGTGATTGCTTTGTTCTGTCCTTTTGCTATTTTTTTATATTTTTTTACAAGAGATCCTCATTGTTACTGAGGGGTTCATTGTGCACTATCCTTATGGTCATAACAGCCGCTGAATCTTTTTTGCTAAAGAACACAACATCTGTTTGAACAGATGAACCCTTATTTCTACAGCTATCGTGGCATGGGGGCTCACCATTGGTCTAGTGCTATTCCGGGCTTTCTAACAATAGTACTGATTTATGGTGTGCGTGTGTGTGTGGGGGGGGGGGGGGATATGTGCGTTTGCAAATCCAGCAGGGTTTTTGTGCGTTGTATGTCTTCCATGGCTCCATCCAACGGGTTGCTGCTTCGAATGTGTGTTACAGCCACCTACATAACACGCACACACCACACCACACACACACACACACACACACACACACACACACACACACACACACACACACACTCACCATGTACCACCATGTATACACCCATCGCAAGAGAAGCACGCAAATCTGCAAATGCACTGGATGTGCTCCCACATTTTTCTCTTATAGCAACGATAGCGAACAAGATCGGAATGAGACAGATCAAGACTTACGCCAGATAACTGTCTAATCCACACAACTGGCAAACACACTCATGCACACACACACACGCACCATGTACCATACACGCACACACGCGCACACACACTCTGGGTTCTTTGACTTTAGCTGCTGCCTCCTAATGAGACTCTCGGATCCCTGGAATGGCTAGATACATGATTGTGTACTACCAAGAGTATATCGCCGGGGGGGGGGGGGGGGGGAGGGTTATATTTAGGGCTCAAACGGTTAGTCCGATTAACCGGTTGCAGACCGGTTACGAAGAATTAACGGTTAACCGATAAAGATAACGATTACGCAGTAACTTTTCAGTCAATTTTTCAAGTATCAGGTCGTTGCAAAGTATGCACTTTCGCAGGCTGTCGCACGCGTATGCAATTTCTGGGCTGTCAACTCCATATCTGGTCTCTTGGTGTGAGAGTATGTATGAATGAGCATGCAAGAGAATGTACATGTGTGCGTTGTACTGAATAGGGTACATTTTTTGAATAAGTATAGTCAAATATACGGTTAAAAAAGAGTCCGCAGGATTGCCGTGGCTTATAGGTTATAACCGTTAAACCGACCGTTAGCTTAGCAGTTAACCGTTGGGGGTAAAACCGTGACCGTTTGAGCCCTAGTTATAATTATACTCTTGGTAGTACCAGTGCAGGCAGTAGGTGCCACTTCCACAATTCCCTGATGACCACCTATACGCACAGTGACACCACATCAGCATGTACATGACTGTACTGACATAAATTGTATAATACTGTAACGTGTTACATACTTCCTTCCCTACTTCCTACCCTGCAAAGACAAGAAAGGACGAAGACTGCCAACTAACTTCCCAGCAGGATGCATTTAATTTTGATTTCACAGTACAGTACAGGTGTAACCTGCTTTGATCAAGATTAGAAGATCTACAACTTACTTACTGCAAAGAGTGCTGGCACAATACATGTACTGTACCTGTAAAGTCCTTGCTCGTGTTGAACTGTTCGCTAGCTGCTAGACTGCAGTGGGCCCAGATGCACCATTATTTTGATCAGAAAGGTGTGGCATCAAGAGTTCATACCTTCAGTATGAACTCTTGGTGCCCACGCGCTATGCGGCGCGGAGGAACGCTGTTGTATTCTCGAGACTGAAGCAGGGGTTGTCGGGCACTTGTCCTGGAGGAATGTCATGTTGCGACGTTCCGGGCAGGCCAACTGCAGCACTCTTTTCATGTCATGGTAGTGGGCTAAAGACTGAAGTAACAGTGGAGTAAAGTAAAAACCGACGCGATGTACACAGTACAGCGTACAGTTTCTGGTAGATCTACGTCAATGATTTATGTAGATCATCCACTGGCTTTGCTACACTTCCTACATCATTTCTACATGGCAAGGTCTACGTGCCATCCGTGACCTTCTAGTTCTCGGCATATGACCGGATTCGTCGCAGATGAGCCGTGAAGGTCGAGGTCACTCGTCACCCTGCTAAATGCATGCCTAGCGCGCTAGCGCCTGCGGAGCGAGATCAACATCAGATTCAGGGCCTACTCCTTGATCAGAGTTTGGTGGGGTCGAATTTTGACGTGTTCCAATGTTGTAGATCTGCCGAGACTTTACCAAAACAAAAGACCGACTAACTAGTAGATCTACACGGAGTCGGTGACACAAGTCACGACTAGTGCTAGTGCTAGTAACAGTTAGTTAGTTACGTGTAGTTGGTGTGCTTCATTCACACTTCTGTTCTTGCTGACTTGTAACCCACTGACCCAACATAACAGATCTGCGAGTCCTTGCTGCATGCTTGGTAGCGATCACTAGGACACTGCTGCTGGCGCTGGATTAGGTCAGACTGATCAAGTTCTCTCTTGACTGAGTTGTCGTTGGAATTCGTCTTGAACGTGAAGGGTGCTGCAGAGTCTCTGCAGCGATCAGTAACTTGTCGTGGTGGCCTGAGTGACTCTGTCCGATTTGTAGCCATGCCCCGTGTTTTCAAGAATCAGAACTACAGTAAGCTGCGCAAGCAGCTGCAGACGTCGGGAGCGCTGTTCGAAGATCCCGAATTCCCTGCTACCGACAAGTCGCTCTACACTGCTGATGGTGGACCCTCTTCTAGCCAGCGGGAGATAGAGTGGAAACGACCCAAGGTACGTCGATCACGCTCGTGGTAGTTTCACTCGATCTCGTGTTGAGGCCAGGGGTATGGTATGGGTACGGTCGGTAGGGCATGGGGTATGCTGGTGATCGTATCATGCACAGCAGCACAGGTGCAGGTGTTCAACTCGATCACCGAGCCATTGTCGCTGATGCACGTGCACAGAATTTGATGTGCAAAGAATGAATGAGTTTACGAAACACACACGTACAAAGTAACATACACTCGGTGACTACTGATGCAATCTAGTGATCATGGGAAGACATTCATCGATAGATTCACCGTGGTGTATTTGCTTGGTTGGTTATAAAAAAAAATAGTAACTGTGAGTGATCGTGTATGTTGTGCAATAGCACAGGGACATGGCATGGCCACGCATGCCATGTCCCTGTGCTATTGCCCTTTAAGGGGGGGGGGGGGTTCCGGGGGCCTCCCCTTGAAAAAATTCAAAAAATTAAGCAAAATCCTGCATTTTGAGCGAAAAAAAGGGGGATTCCGGGCACCCAGGAACCCATACGGGGCACGCGCCTGCATGCAATAGCACAAGGACATGGATGTGCATGCATGCCACGTGTGTAACACAAGAGCACCTCACCATCATCACCACCGACAGCCTTTCGTAGTCGTATTTTCGAGCTGTGGGGCGGATGAGCAAATGCTGCCTGTAGGTCATCGAACCAGCATTACGCGTGTGCAGGCGGCGGCATTACACGCGTGCAGGAAATCCGTGTGTACTTACTTTACCTCTGAGCTGAATCGCACACAAGAACAGAGCCTCGGAACTGCTGCATGGGGTAGTATAGCAGACCATATAACCCGGTTAGTACACTGTAGCTCCGGTTAGTACACTAGCTCCTACACGATATGACCTCTGTTCCGTATTCCCCGGAACCAGGTTGCATCAGTACCGTAACTGTAATACCGACTGCGGATACTTTCCGAACCCACGTTCAACAATGGAGACAAACTTTACTGGTTCGAGTTCTCACTCTCAAAACACCAACTCCATCTTGGATTATCTTGGATGCACTCTAACAATGCCCTAGCAAAACCTATCAAGAACCTAGCTAGAACTGACTGTAGAACAAAGAATACACAGCTACATGTATAAGCAAGCGTCGATGTGTATAGGGAGTACAAGCAACACTGTCAATGGTGAATGCGTGACGTAGTCTAATGAGTACGTGTTGGCGGTCAGACACTTGACCTTATCGTATTATGGTATGAGTCATGCACATGTATGGAGCTTGAGGCAGTCATGCATGGCTACAGGTGTAGTGCTCGATGAATGCACGCAAAGTGCAGTCCTGTAATGTGACCTGTTGAAACCTGAACGGTACCAGGCGTCACCACGACTCCGACATACCTCCCTCGCGAACGAATCATAGCCTACTCAATGTATGCGAGTGAGACAAACTAATATTCCGAGTGATGTTCTAACTCCTGGGGAACTGCTATTGGATGTCACACCTAACATCATTGTGTCAAATGCATGCCGTAATGTCACTAGACATATCCGGGAACGAGGATACGTCTTATCTAGCCGGTTGGATGTATTGTTCACTCTGATTGTGGATTGCTTGCTAACACTACAGTCACAGCCTTACTACCTCATCGCCACTGCCGTACCACCATCCACTATTCGCTCAGCTGGTGACATTGTCCACATTGACGTTGGCTGTGGCTGGGCAGTTCTCGGAGTCGAGCTCCACCTCACCCTCTGTTACCTCCAGTGGGATGAGGCGATGAACTGATCGTCGATACTCCTTGCCTTTGATCTTCACGTTGACTGCACGGACGACACCATCTTGCCCTGGGTATGTGGCTGTGACGCGTCCCAGAGGCCATGTCGCGCGCGGAGTACTCTCATCCATGACAAGGAAGACCTCACCCTCCTCGACGTCTTTTGCCTTCCTGTACCACTTGGACCGGACGTTTAGCGCCGGGACCATCTCGCGCAGCCACCTCTTCCAAACTTGCCTTGTCAGCACTTGTAGAAACAGCCAGCGCCGTCTGGGGTGGACCTTCTCCAGGTCCTCTGTCTCCGCCTCGAGGTGTGTGACTGCAGCCGCGCGTCCCATCAGGAAGTGGTTTGGCGTCAACGCTTCTGGATCGTCGCTGTCAGATGATACGGTGGTAAGGGGACGGGAATTCAGCATTGCCTCGGCATGTACCAGCGCTGTTGAGAACTCCTCATCCGTGAGGCCAGCCTGGTGCAGCACATGCCAGAGTGCGCGTTTGACTGCCTTGACCATCGTTTCTACTACACCACCGAAGTGGGGCGTTCTCGGTGGGTTGAAATGCCACTGTACATCTCGCAGCTCGGAGTGGGTGGTTAGGCGGTCTTGATCTATCGTGCAGGTGGCTTCGCGCAGCTGTCGCTCTGCGTCGGTGAAGTTCGACCCGTTGTCTGTCACTATGAACTCCGGGGTTCCACGCCTCTTGCAGAATCGGGTCATCGCCATCAAGAACCCATCTGTGTCGAGCGAGTTGACGGGCTCCAGATGTACCGCTCTGGTCAGCAGGCACGAGAATACGCAGATATACCGCTTCTGCTGCACCTTGCCTCGTCCCTGGCGCGTCAGAAATGGACCGGCAAAGTCGATGGTCACCTTGCTGAAGGCGATAAGTGGTGACGAGGTCCGGTAATCCGGCAACCCTCCCATGATTGGAGTCAAAGCCTTCGCGTAGCCTCGTCGGCACTTGACGCACCTGTGGCGATGCTGTCGCACAACGGACTTCCCGTTTATCAGCCAGTACCGGTTGCTGAGGTTGGCCAGCAGGTGGTTGGGACCCATGGAGTGCTGACATCTCTCGTCTTCGTCATCCACGATCAGAGCTGTGACCCGATGTTTCGGTGGCAGGATGATGGGGTGTCTTGTCGTCAGCGGCAGATGGTGTGCAGTGGTGAGTCTCCCACCGACCGTCAGTACGGTTGTGCCATGTACCTCCTCCAGCTGGGGTCGCAGCTTCAGCAATGGCTCGTTGGGATCGGGTTCCTTGCCGGACTCCAGTCGCTTGATGACCTTGCCATACACCTCCTCCTGGGCCTTCCGTACCCAGAACACGTCGGCCGCCTGGACCTCTGCAGGGGAGAGAGCGGGTACTGTCATACCGTTCACTGACCTGGCAGATCCAAACTTGCGTCGTGGAGCGGGGGTTGGTCTGTTGGCGCCAGCCTCCCTCGGTATACGGACGTTACGTACAAAGCGCTGACACCAAGCGGTGACACGGATGAGCCGCGTCCAAGACGAGAAGTTGGAGGGGTCAAGCTGGTACTTCCCTGGAACCGCGCTGAACGACATAGCGGATCGCTTCTTCAGCTCTGCCGGCAGACTACTGGGAACCTCGATCGGCCGCGCCGGGAATGCACTCTCGGGTCCGCGTAGGAACTTCGGGCCATGCCACCAGTCGTCATCGGATGCGAGCTGGGCTGCAGATAGGCCCCGGGTGCCCTTGTCCGCAGGGTTGATTGATGTCGGAACGTGCCTCCACTGACGGGGGTCCGACAGTGCTTGGATCTTGGACTACGCATGGCGGTGCCTGGTAGTGGTAGCTGTGTGCCGGAGTGAATGCACGGACATGCTGGACATCTGAGTCCCTCTCTACATGTGCGTCTATCACTACGTCTACCGGTGGTGGTGTGCTAGCCTGACAGGCCTCTGCATGGTGTAGACCTACTGCTGATTCTGACGTTACGTGCGTAGATCTATGGGAAGCCTCTCCTTCTGATGGCTGAGATTCTACACCGACTACCGTGTGTGACTCTGTTGGTGTTGGAACAGCAACTGAACTAGGTGCAACTACATCATCGTCAAAGTCGATAAGCGACGTATCTTGGGCTGCAACCGCCTCATGCAACTCACCCGCTTCCTGGAAGACTTCTTCTCGCATCGCAGGAGAGCTGGAGGTCTCAACGGACCTTTCCCTCAACGTCCCTTCGGCTTCCGACATCGCCTGCTCCGTCAACCGGGCGATTTCCAGCCGCTTTTCCGCCACAGCCTGTTCCGCTTGTAACACGGCTATCCTGGCGCTGAGCCTGTCAGCTGAATTCGCGGTGACGGCTTGGCTCCTACTTTCGGTCATCCTGTCATCTCCACCACTAGCACCAGCGTAGGACTGGGTGTCTGTGTACCCGAGTTTTGGCGCTGCGACGCCTTTCGTCGTGCGCTGACTCCGCCTGAGCTTCTCCATAGTGGACGTGATCCGGCTCGAAGGACCACTATGTTCCGTATTCCCCGGAACCAGGTTGCATCAGTACCGTAACTGTAATACCGACTGCGGATACTTTCCGAACCCACGTTCAACAATGGAGACAAACTTTACTGGTTCGAGTTCTCACTCTCAAAACACCAACTCCATCTTGGATTATCTTGGATGCACTCTAACAATGCCCTAGCAAAACCTATCAAGAACCTAGCTAGAACTGACTGTAGAACAAAGAATACACAGCTACATGTATAAGCAAGCGTCGATGTGTATAGGGAGTACAAGCAACACTGTCAATGGTGAATGCGTGACGTTGTCTAATGAGTATGTGTTGGCGGTCAGACACTTGACCTTATCGTATTATGGTATGAGTCATGCACATGTATGGAGCTTGAGGCAGTCATGCATGGCTACAGGTGTAGTGCTCGATGAATGCACGCAAAGTGCAGTCCTGTAATGTGACCTGTTGAAACCTGAACGGTACCAGGCGTCACCACGACTCCGACAACCTCTAAGTTGTACTTGTACCGGTACCTTTTCGTCTGAACTCGGCCGCGGCCTTGTCGCGTCAGGAATGGCCCGGCAAAGTCGATGCCGGCACGGTAGAAAGCTCTCAGAGGTCCCGGCGGAAATCTGGGAGGGGAGCCATCTGAGATACTACTGGCTTGCCGCGTGCTTTCTTGCAGCTCACACACTTGTTACGATGTTGTTTCACAGCTGCTTTCCCTTTCACTATCCAGTAGATGGTACTCAAGTTGGCGAGGAGGTGATTCGTGCCCACGGCATGGCTACATCTCCGATCTTCCTCATCGATGATCAACTCTGTCCCTTGATGGTGCCGGGGCAGGATTGTCGGACTTCTGGCTGTCTCCGACATGTGCTGAGCTCCCTTCAGTCGGCCTCCAACTTTCATGACTTGGGTGGTGCCTGTAGATGTTGACATCATGGGCTGCAGTGAGATGAGCGGCCCAGTTGTGACTTTCCTGCCCTTCTTGAGCTCATTGTAGGTGCTACCATACGCGTCCTTCTGGGCCTGATGGATCCACACGTGTCGGGCATCCTCTAACTCTGATGGTGTAAGTTCCTGTACCAGCACTGTCTTGCCATTGCCAAGTGTGACATCAATGCCTGTCTGATCAGTCGAGCCACTCTTGCTGCGCCGCAGGGCTCGCCGACACCATGCTGTTTTCCTCACAAGTCGCGTCCATGAGGAGTACTGACTCGGCTCTAGTCGACAAGCACCTTCAGTTGCTGCTAAGTGGGTCGTAATCTGGCTGCGTTTGGTCTCGTTTGGCAGCTTCTCGGGAACGACTATGCACAGAGCAGGCCACTGGGACTCTTCTTGCTGTAGAAACTGTGGTCCATGCCACCAGGTTGCACAATCAGCGAGGTCCTTTGCAGTCATGCCTATGGTCGGGTAGTCGGCAGGGTTCATCTTCCCGGGCACATGCCCGCTCCACTGGTGACTTGATGTTGCCGTTTGGATCTCACCAATCTTCACCCCGACGTCGGTTGTAAATCGCCGGCTGTGGGATCGCACCCAGTACAGGCCATTCATGCTGTCCGTCCAGAAGACGTAGTCCTGCATGGGAATGCCAAGGGCTGAAGACACTTCTTTGCTGACTTGCACGCCCAACACTGCTGCCTTCAGCTCCATCTTCAGTATGGACACCTTCTTGGTGGGTGCCAGTCGCGCCTTGCTAATAGCGAGTGTGGTCTTCACTCCAGTTGAATGGATGGTGCTCACATAAGCCACGGCGGCAATGGCGGCATCAGACGCATCAACGAAGACATGTACTTTAGTCTTGATGTCTTCTGCATCCTTGAGCTTGAAGCAACGGTCAATACGGATAGCAGACAGGTCTGGCAGCTCGGAGAACCACTTCTTCCAACGCTTCTGTTCATCAGCACTCAGCATGTCGTCCCAACCATGGCCGCGTATGCATGCTTCCTGAAACATCATGCGCGGTCGTATGGTGAACGGCGTCAGTTGTCCACGTGGGTCGAAGATTGAGGCTGTCTCGCGCAATACTACTCGTTTTGTCAGCTCGTCAATCGGCTCTGGCTGGGGATAGCGGAATGCGAACTCATCCTCTTTCGCTAGCCAAGTGATGCCCAGGGCCTTGGAGTCCCGTTGGGAGAAAGCTATCAGCTTGATCTCGTAAGTTGACGACAACCTCGGCTGCTCGGTCGACTTTCTGTAATCTAACAATGGCCTTTAGGCCTTTAGGCCTTTAGGTCAGGTTATGATAATGGGATACTCTATTTGGATAATTATATAAGTACAGTAGCGGACATGGAAATCCAGTCGATTGACCGGGGCCGGCGCCCTCGGCGCGTGCAGAACGCGGCGTGCAGTGCACAATGTTGATCCGATACGACCAGCGCGCTGTGGGCGCCTAATTGCATGTGTGTACCGCTTATCCACGGCTGCATGGCCAGCGCCCTGGGGCTGCCAGAGGTGCGACCGGATTCCCATGTCCACGACAGTATTTTGGCAAGTACATGTACAAACAAAGACAGTAAACCTTCCATGCAATTGCACATTCGGCATACTGTAGCATTACACTCATCTGTATCATGCTTACCCCCCCCCCCCTCTCTCTCTTTTCATTCCAGGACATTTCGGAGAATCCCAAGTTGGTGACAGATGGTGTGTCGGGCAATGACCTGAATCAAGGTGACGTGGGTAACTGCTGGTTTGTTGCTGCCTGTGCTACCCTGGCTGGTGTCAAGCCACTCTGGGACAAAGTTGTTGTCAACAGCAAGGACCAGGTAAGGACACAGAAGCATACGCATACCGCATGCTATCCTCAGTTGAGCGCTGGGCTATGGTATTATTTGCAGGCCGGACTGCACGCCGGGCGAATCATGCAACATGCACGATATTCACACGCCCAGGCCGGGGTGAATACTAACTAGCCTAGTAGGGATTATCACGCATTTCCATTGACTACGGTGTGGGCCAGATTTCCATCGATAAGCATACATTTAGCATAGTCCAATACTCCACTCTCATTCACTCTCTCTCTCCTCCCCTCCCCCCTCTCTCCCCCCCCCCCCCCCTCCGAGTCACACACACACACACACACACTCTCTCTCTCTCCTCACCCCATTCCTCTTCCTTCTACCCACCTCCCTCTCTATTATACATGATGTCTATCAGTCTGTGCGTGCCATCATCTCCAACTGTGACTCATACAGGACTGGGATGGCAACAACCCGGGTAAGTACACCGGCCTGTTCAGGTTTCACTTCTGGCGGCTTGGCCACTGGACGGAGGTGGTGATTGATGATCGGCTACCAACGTCACGCGGCAAGCTGATCTACATGCACAGCAAGGATCCTAATGAATTCTGGAGCCCGCTGCTGGAGAAAGCATACGCCAAGTGAGTGCCACATGCTTGGACCCCAACCGTGGAACAGGCTTACTGTTAGTCGATGTGTGCTTGAAACTACAGTGTACTTCAAGTAGTTGTAATTCCTTGGTACAACCATGAACCCTGTGCATCCCCAAAGGACAGTGTCCACCAGCCCTGCTCAGAGCGCTTCACATGTCATTCGTATGCGGGTATGCCATGCAGTTGTGCCCATTTCCTGTACATGTACTTCAAATCATGGCAAGGAAGGTTGTGATACACTGACCCCCCCCCCCCCCCCCCCCATAGCCTCCAATGCTTGTCTTCATGAAGATATAGGAAGGGGAGCTAGATACAGTATATGCTTTGATCGAAAACACGTTGAACTACGTTCAATATCGTGCTTCACTAAAATTGCTCCGTGGCAAGCGATTTACCACCAGTTGGTGAAAGAGAGAGAGAGAGAGAGAGAGATAGAGACAGAGAGACGTAAAACGGGGGACCGGCTGGCTAAGCAAGGTCCGGTAGTACTTACTGGTGCATGTACATGTAGCGTCAGCCCCGGGGCGTCGGAACTGGTGTTTATTCTGTGATATTTTTGAACCAATGATGTATGGGCTATTTGGGTCCAATCTGGGACCAAGTTACCAAAACCTTTCCCCGGGGAGGGCCCTGGATTTTTCATAGCCACACAAATATGAAATACCTTCCAATGCCCCAGCAGCCTAACCTAGTCCTTCATTTGCCCACTGTGCAGGGGCGCCGGAGCCGTTGCGGCAGTGAGGCCAAAACAGGGCCAATAATTTCATATTGCTATTTTTGAAGCCATAATATATGAGCCATTTGGGCCCAATCTCCCCAAAATTTCGTGCAACGCCCACAGAACCCCACCTCTCCACGGTCGCACAAATGTCGAATACAATGTACCTTCCGACGCCCGTGCTTTGTGTTTGGTGGTGATGTTGGCAGGCTTGCAGGCTCTTACCAAGCACTGGATGCCGGCACCACTGGTGATGCACTGGTAGACTTCTCCGGTGGGGTCACTGAGCCGCTCAAACTGTCCGATCACTCCGACAGCTTGGACAAGAGAGACAATCTGTTCACGGTAAGCCACTGCGGCATGCCCAAGAACACTGGCCAAATGCGTGGATGGTTATCACTAACTCAGTGTGTGGAGCCGCGTTGTGTTGTACATTGAGTGTGGACTTACTGGTATGAGTATGAGGAACAGTGAAACGTGAGATTGTTCTCTTCCTTTTGCATGCTCGATTAATGGAGCTGGGGTGGGGCATTTTGCAACGGACACAAAGTAGTGCACTAGCCAATGGCACTGATATCTGGTCCACCTTTGGTGGTGGTGGTGGTGTGTGTGGTGTGTGTGTGTGGGGGGGGGGGGGGGGGGGAGAGAGAGTGTGCACTTTCGTAATTATTGAAATTGCACTGTACCGTGAGTATACATCGACATGTACTTGTACTTCAAAACGGTACATAGCTACAGGTAGTTGCAAGTACAAGTGGACTCTGCACACTGCTACTGGAGTCTGGCTTCACAGCAGGCACTGAAGTTTCGAACCGGCAACCATGCACATGCTGATTGAAGGTGGAAAGGCCCGAGTGTTTTTGGGGAGGGGGCCGGGGGGAGGGGGGGGGGGCGGGGGGTGCACATGGCCCTTGTGCCCCTAGCGGGGGGGGGGGGGGGGGGGGCTACTTCAGTACGTACCTATTAGTCATTGTGTGATGCACTCTGTTTCTGGGATATACACTAAATACAGCTGATGGAGAAGGAAATCAATCGCAACTCCATGATGAGCTGCTCGATTTCAGCAGCTGATGCCTCAGAAATGGAGGCCAAGCTGGACTCTGGGTTGCTGAAAGGACATGCCTATGGCATCACAGCTGTGAAGATCGTAAGCTGCTTACGCATGTGTGTGTGTGTGTGTGTGTGTGTGTGTGTGTGTGTGTGTGTGTGTGTGTGTACTCAGTTGGTCGAACGGTTGTAGTCGAAATAGGGAAGTGATGATGTTGATGAAACACATAATAATATGTGGTGTGTATGGTGATATTCGGTCTATGAATTAGTTAGCCGGCCAGATGACACACACCATACACCTCACGTTTCTGTGACGAACACTCTGGTGGCCATTCACTGGAGCGTAGACGTCTAACATACTCCTGAGCCGCTCGGGCCTCATCGAGCACTGCCATAATAGGTTACATTGTGTGCTTCAAAATGTACTCTTTTCCAGAGTATGATCTTCTACCGTGTGTTCGTAGTCGTTATCATTGTCAGTTTACTATTGCATAACCTTGTTATATCTCGTTGCCTGCATTCACCTTGGTATTTCTACTGGTGTTTAGGTCAAGATCAGCGAAGGCATCTTCTCCAGCAAGAAGTTCCATCTTGTGCGCATTCGCAACCCGTGGGGCCAGACCGAGTGGAATGGTGCGTGGAGCGACGGGTCGGACGAGTGGAAGAACGTGTCTGAGAAGGAGCGCAAGAAGCTGGGCATTGTTTTCGAGGACGATGGAGAGTTCTGGTAAGTGCCTGCCGCTGTGCTCAGTTTTGCCTGGAATAGAGGAATGGCAGTGCATGTAGTCATATCCGTAGGTGTGAGTGAACTCACCTTGCAAGCCGGTCATGCCGTAATTTCTATAGCGGCGGCTTCTTCAGTGTTGGCTCAGTAGTGTAAGTCTGTGTCACAGTAGAGTAAGTCTGTGTCACAGTCACAGTGACTCCTACTGTCTAGTACTGCCATTGAGCACTGCATGTCACAAGGAGTTGGAACTTGCTGTATAACTTTCACTATCTCTAGGATAGCCATGCCGACAACAGATATGTTGCATGGCTTATTGCATCCTGCAGACAGCATGTGTTCACGTATCACCTGTTATGTGAACACAGACATGCCGTGTATGCAGGACCACATGCTTGTTGCGTTTCCCATCCACGGCTCGGCGTAATGCCTATGGTTTAAATAATAGCCTTGTCCGAATGGCCCGTTGCAGGATGTCATATGACGACTGGATCAAGCACTTCACCAACTTCACCATCTGCCGCATTGTCAACACGTCGGTACTGAGCGTACGCAAGACATGGCATGATGTCACCTTCTACGGTGAATGGGCGGGAGCGCGTGCAGGTGGCTGCATCAACAACAAGGAAACTTTCTTGAAGAATCCACAGGTGAGTGGATGCTGGGCTGCCTTTAATTTTTCTTGCAAAATTCTGTTGCGGCATGTGATGCATTATGAATATGAGGGGCCTGGTGAACGTTTTTTTGCTAGGTGTTGCTAAATCAATTATTTTAAAAGGTATGAGCTACATGTACTAGTATATAAATGCGAAATTATCACGATTGTCTCACCCCTGAAATTTATACCAGAACCGCTTTGTATTCCCAGTAGTAAAGTTGTAATGAAGGTATAGGCAACGAGGGGGGGGGGGGTGCATTCACTACTTATGTCGGCTATGAAGAAGCAGAGTCTGGATGGCATTGTTGCTGGATGTACGGTTTGAGCAGCAGAATCATTTACATGACATTCCATGCACGCCACAACCCGGTGAACACGCGTATCACTGAATATTTCTGGTTGGTCTCTGCAGTGGACAACGTGTCTGAGGTCCTTGCTGCAAAATAGTGCTCAAGCCCTAACACGGGCAGAGCGTACTCGTCTCGGAAGAGTGTTTTTTGAACATGAAACTCGATCGGAGTCGCGAGAAAGAGATTGGTCTCTTTTGTTCTGCCTTGTGTGGTCTCTGTTGTTCTGCCTTGTGTGGTCTCTGTGTGACAGTATGTGTTTGACCTCCATCACGGCGAGGATGGAGCCGTGATGATTGACTTGATGCAGGAGGATCGCCGCAGCACCAGGTCAGCTACTCCGCCAGGCGATGGCACGAGTAACTCCAACCTCAGCATCGGCTATCAGCTCTTCAAGGTGGGTGCTTTTGTTGGTTAGCGAGGACTCTTTGAAGGCATGTGTAATGTAGTTGCTGTGTTTCATCTAGTTGGGCCACACGGAAGCTGCAGCCCTTATGATTCGTCCAATATCCCCAATCAATTTCCCGCACCTCTGCCAAAATCAGGAGAGTGAACCTTCTAGATGGGTAGGCTAGACTGAAAACGTTACTGGAAACTTTACTGGAAGCGGCACTTTGTTCAGTGAACAGAATCAGGCTTCAGGTTCTGAAAGTTTTATCCCTGCGTCATAGTGACCTTTCCAGTGATTGTTCCAGTTAAATTGTCCACTGATCTAGCAGACTCGGAGAGGGAACATTGAGTTTTCCTATTTCTGGAGAAACGAACGAATTCAATTGGTAGCCGCAATAGGAAAAGGGAGCATCACACGCGGCTTCCTCGGACCAACGCCATTCGACTTGGCTTTCCATGCAGAATGCTACGTGTACACATACATACATTGGGAATTTGGTACTGTCTCCTAACAAAGTCATGTTCTACTCGCTGTACCTGTGATGCAGGTTGAAGAGAATCGCCGGCATCGCGTTAAAACACTGCCCAAGGCCGCCGGAAATGTCACCTTCACGAATTCCCGCTCCGTGTTCGGCAAGTTTGAGCTCTCCGAGGGCCGTTACGTCTGCGTGCCGTCCACTTTTCAACCGGGGATTACCGGCAACTACATGCTGAGGGTGTTCACGGAGCATGCGTCACATGCCAAGTAAGATCTAGCACTTGTTACTTGACTTCCGGCTTGTCGTGTTTGTGCTTGAACAGGCACTGGCAGAGCTGTTCCATTGCAGCACGTACTACGGCTGACTCGTAGCATTGCTAGCATTTCATACAGTCATCATTGCATACTGGGTAACGCAGGTGACTCCAACATCAGCTGAGTCTTTTGGGCCTTGCCACAACTCACAAGAGCATGCAGCAAGGACGTACTTAGAATTCGATTGAATAGGTACATGTATACTTATACTACAGTAAAACCTGTCAAGGCGACCACTCGGATAAGGCGACCACCTGTCTTAATAGACCACTGAAACCAAGACCAAGTCGGGATGCTATTTCCAGTCAATTAACCCTGGATAAGGAGACCATGTGGTAACAGAGAGCATACTGTTTTGAAGGTCCCTTGAGCGGTCGTCTTAGACAGGTTTCACTGTGCATGTATGTATTCCTGTGAGCTGGTGTTACTGACAGAAAGTTTGTACCCTTGATTCTTCATGGTAGGGAGCTGGTCATGGATCAGCTAAAGAAGCCTGGATGGAATTGCTGCGTCAGTTCGTTCACATCGATTGTCAGCGTAACCGTGAACTCGGTCAACGGACTGCCCAACCAGAACCTAGTATCTGAGGGTAAGCATTGCTAAGCAATATGCACACAGACAGTAGGAGGGAGAACGCGTGGGAAGTCATTGCTCTAACGATTTAGACTGTGTGACTTTTGTGATTAGTGTTGAATGGTTCTGTTTTGGCTTAGAGAGCAGCCATGTTGACGGTGGTGGTGGTTGGGCGGGGGGGGGGGGGGGGGGGGCAGGGGTGTCGGAAGGTATTTTAGTGTGGTATGGTCAGCCATCTGAAGTACTACCGTATTTCCCCGTAAGTTAGTTCTCCCCAATGACTTAGTACCCCCCCCCCCCCTATAAAATACACTTTCCACTGCCGAGGTTATCACCCCGAAAGACAGTTCCCCCCGAAAGATAGTAAGTTCGTACCCATCCTACATGTACAGACACCGTACAGGACATACATCATATGCACGGACACTAGAGTTGCGCAGGCTTCCCACTGCGTGTCATTTACCCCCCATAAAAAAGTACTCCCCGAAAGATAGTACCACCCCCGAAAGCTAGTACTCATGTGGCTGCTAAGTTCGAAAGTTAGTACGTACTAACTTACGGGGAAATACGGTATTTCCTCGGGGGGGGGGGGGGGATTTGGAAAATTAGAGCCCAGATCAGTGCGTTTCATTAATTCATGGGATACTTCATTGATTCATGGGGTACTTGGGGCAAATAGTGGTACGGGCTATGCCGTAGTGACCGTAGCGTGTCCGACGCCTCTGGAGGGGGGTATGGAGGCCTGTCATGTCATGCCTGCAACAACCACTTGGAGAAAGTACATGCCAGTAGCCCAGACTGTACAGGACTGTGGTGCATGCGTTCATGGACCTGTTCATGGACCTGTTCATGGACCTGTTCATGGACCTGTTCATGGACCTGTTCATGGACCTGTTCATGGACCTGTTCATGGACCTGTTCATGGACCTGTTCATGGACCTGTTCATGGACCTGTTCATGGACCTGTTCATGGACCTGTTCATGGACCTGTTCATGGACCTGTTCGGCATGGACCTGTTCATGGACCTGTTCATGGACCTGTTCATGGACCTGTTCATGGACCTGTTCATGGACCTGTTCATGGACCTGTTCATGGACCTGTTCATGGACCTGTTCATGGACCTGTTCATGGACCTGTTCATGGACCTGTTCATGGACCTGTTCATGGACCTGTTCATGGACCTGTTCATGGACCTGTTCATGGACCTGTTCATGGACCTGTTCATGGACCTGTTCATGGACCTGTTCATGGACCTGTTCATGGACCTGTTCATGGACCTGTTCATGGACCTGTTCATGGACCTGTTCATGGACCTGTTTAAAATATCACCTCATCTTTGTGTATTCATGAGGGTGATGGTGTTGAAATTGCCCGGGATCTTTGGGTCTTCACATTTCGGTGTGTTTCTTACCCCTTTTTCTGGAAATGTTTCAGGTGCCGACCCGTACTGTGTTGTAAAGGTGGAGGGACAAACGTGCAACACACCCGTTGTCAAGGACACGCTGACTGCACGGTTCGACTCGTCTTTCGTCTTCTTCACCAAGCGTCCGGACCAGCGGCCTGTGAAGGTCGAGGTGTGGGACAAAAACGTGCTGAAGGACAAGCACTTGGGAGAAATTGAGCTAACCCTGCCCAAGGCGGGCGAAGGCAGGCAGTACACAGAGAAGCTACGTGCCAAGGGCGACGCCACCAAGGAAACGCAGGGTACCCTCAGCGTCACGTTGGAGTGGTTCACGGATACCACATCCCGGTAGGACCGGCACTGAATCGAAGGCTGATAATTCTTTCCTATTCGGACCGGTACTGACTGTGGATGAACAAGCAGCGTGCATTGCTAAATGGGTATAACCGTGACCCAGGGCCTTTCCCGCGACAACATACAGATGATGCCAGCAGATCTGGAGCTGGTGTACCGTATGCTGCTATCCTTAGGGTAATCCGTCTTATTACCGATGTTGCCACTAGGCCTGATTGCTACTGTGTCTGTAGCGGGGCACGGTAATCATTAGTGCACACTCCCTCACAGCTAGGCGGCAGATCATAGTTAGCCGAGCAATGCTCCTCATTCCTCATTCTAGGATGCACGTTATACTGTCTTATCAGTTAGAGAAGTGTGAATGGTCCGTGCAGTGCTCGGCCTCAGTCCGTACCCACACTGTTAGTTCTAAGCGAAGCCGAGTGCAGTACTACACCGGTTGTTGCAGCAGCTAACGACGGTTAGGGTGGTTTAGTACTAGCATCCACTGGCTGCTAACCTGAGCATGGCAGCTGGTCAGCCTGCTATGGATTGGTGCAGTAGAACATATCTGTAGCGTTGTTAGTGCGTGCGAAGTGGCCACATGAAAAAACATTCTGTAGTGATTTACTGCCGCTATCATTCTGCAAACCCGATGATGCCGCCAACTTATTTTTATACTCTTATTGGTGTCTTTGAGTCACAATGGAGCTGCCAATGCCATGCATGTCACACAAGTTCTTGTTGTGTACTCATCCTATAGTTTATTTTCAGTTCTAGCTTAAAAACACTGAAGCAAAAAAACGTGTAAGGCATAATTATTTTGGTGTCCACCCAATGGCCAATTCTTCTTTTAGGGGTCATTATCACGAATTTTATTTTAGATGTCCGTCTTTCAATTGATAATTTCATTCTCACGCCGCAGGCTTTTTTTGGCTCTCTGGAGTTTGTTTCACACCAACAACTGACTAGCTTAGGCCTGAGTGCAAGCTGTTTAGATAGATCACCAAAATAATATTTTGGAGAAATGGCAATATCAATGGTACTGTACTGGGATTACACCGACCTATCAAATTGTGTAGCTGACAATGCAGAACTTGTACAATCATGTACTCTCCCATGCACAGTCTCCAGCGACTGACCGCCGCCAGCTGAACCATGCATGGCATACCATTAATGAGTTCAATGACACAGATTCAGCCCAAGAAACATGGTGCTGACTAGAAGACATCAGGGGTACAGCACAAGCTGTCCGGTATTGGCTGCGATGAAGCACAATGAGGTTATGGAGCCCCCCCCCCCCCCCCCCCTTCACACACACACACACACACACACACACACACACCACACACACACACACACACACACACACACACACACACACACACAGATAGAGTATGCGTCACGTGTATTTTTGGTCTCTTCCATGTTTTAGAACTGAAGGAGTACTGAGTCTGTGTTGCCCCAGCCAGAGTCCAGACCAGACCAGTCCAGAACCAGACAAGTACGTATATAGGATTTACCCGGGACTTTCCTCAAAAAGTAGACAATGTCCGATTAGCAGATCATGGCATGCTTGTACATAGTACAAGTAGGACTCCTGGACGTCATGCCAAAGGACATGACCTACCCCAACATGCTAACAGAAACCATGATCAAACAGAGGACTGTACCGAATTTGAAAGACCCCTAACACTGTCTTGAAAAGACTGGATCTTCTATTGTTGGTAATAACGAATCCAAAGTTAGCTCTCACACAGTCATAGGGACCCAGTTGCTATTGAAGCACAAGTCTTCCAGGTGAGAAGTTAGAGAGAATATCAGATAATATAGATTGGATGACGACACCTTGCTAGCACTGCTGCGACCCAGTAATATCCTTGACTGATGTATAGCAATCGGATTTCTCATCTCAAGCTCAAGTGAAAATTCAGATAAGACAAGGGAAGGACTACATGTACGTAAATCACACCGTCACTGGTTGAGCTCAAGTCCTGGCTCCAACACCGTCACTGGTTGAGCTCAAGTCCTGGCTCCAACACCGTCCAGAACATCAATTGCCAAATATACTAAAATAGTCAAAATAAAGATGTGTTCGGCTGTCAGCTGCCATTATTGGTAGTGGGCTCAGGTAATTGCTGCACACCTGGAGTAGTGTCACTGCCATAACTCGGGACATCGTCACTTCTTGTGGCAGGTGATTCATGTATCCGGCCCGGGCTGGATTCAGATGATCTCGTTCTTGGCGCGGTTTTCGCCTTCTGCGCTCTTTTGCCTGACGGCAGCTTTTTCTTGGCCTTGCGCTCCAGGACGCCTGGGTACATTTTGCTCATGTATTCAATGGTCTCCTTGTGCGAGGCAAGCACGGGCTTGGGCACAATGCGCTTCATGCTCCACCAGCGGCTGTGCAGCCACTGCGGCGACCGCACACTTGCCCAGCCTTTGGCCAAACTAGTCCAGTCGATGCCGGACTCGTCGCTGACGTCCAGTGCTTGGATCTTCCCGATTAAGTCCAGCTCATCTTGTGCGGTCCACTCTGCGCCCTTCTGCTCTTTCCAGGAGAGGAAGTTGATCCACTTGATGCGGCACTGCTTCTCCGAGCGAGACGGAACCTTTTCGGCCACCTTTGACCAGATAACGGCTTTATCCACGGTTTCCCCAATCGGCGTGGCCGTAACATCATGCACCGCGTGAAGTAGCATGTTTTCTTCTTCCTCCGTCCACTTACCGTTCTTGCCATTCTCCTTGACCAGTCGAAATCGGTCCTTGACCGAAGACGCGCTCCGTCCCATCAGCTTGCCGATATTCACCCAGTCCGTCTTGTACTTACTGTGCAGCTCTTTCAGTTTCTCTACTTCTGCAGGCGAGTACTTGCCGTTCTTGAGTTCTTCGCACATGCGTCTGACACGCCGATACACGGAGAAGAGCGGCCGGTCTATGCCCTTGGCAATGATGCGGTAGAAGTCCTTTCTCATCTCTTTCTTAGGCACCATCACCACCTCCTGTAGCGTGGCCTTGTTGTTATCCAGCAGGTATTTGCAGATATTGTCCTGCAACATTTTCACTTCCGCTGCCGACCATGCCCCATGCTTCCACGTTACTCCCTTTTCCTGCAGCTGATCTTTGTCTGGTTTTCGCGTGAACCATACCTGGCTCATGGACTCCTTGACGGCCTGTAGCTGCTCGGAGGACAGTGACCGCTCCTCGTCATCGGCCGAGCACTCACACTCGTTCCTTCCCCCCGCGTCGCTCTCGTCCGCGGACACACTGCCCTCGACGTCAATCTCCATGTCGCTCTCATCATCATCGTCATCGTCGTCGCCGTCGTTATTGGCCAGATTGGGAGAGGAGCTAGCATGACCACTGGCATCATGGTCACCCGCCTCGCCTGCGCCTGCGCTGGCTGCTGGACTATTACCACAACACCCAGTATTACCAGCACTAGTAGTGGCAGCAGCAGTGGTCGAGGTGGAGGTACTGGCGTGGGGCATTGTGTCCAGAGCTTGAAGACCTTCGCCACAGTTCACCGCAAGTGTATTGCTGCCTGGTGCGGTTGTTGCCACTCCGCTGCTGCTTCGTGTTAGTGCCGCTGTGACGGTGCTTTGTGATGCAGAGAGTGACGGAGCCACCGCCACCTCATCAGTATCACCACCATTGTTGGCATCATCGCTGCTGTCGTTGCTGGCGTCATCATCTTTATCGCTATCGTCACTGAAATCACTGCTGTCGTGTCTGTCCACAGCGTCCGCATTGTCTAGTGCTGGTGTTGTGGTGGCTGCCGCTACATTCACAGGTGGGACTGCCGCGGGCTCGCCGTGTTGCACCACACAATCTCTCCAGACATTGAGGGGAGCTCCAGCGGCGGCGATTCCACTCAGCGTGTTGCCAGCTCCGACGTGGTGACACGTGGGCTGCATGGGTATATGCATGGCCGGGTAGGTGTTGGCGTGGTGGCATACTGGCACGTCGATTGTCTGAATGGTCGGTATGATGCCGTGGTGGATAACGCGCTGCCCGCAGCACAGGCCGCCGGGCTCGTGCTGGTGATGTGAGTGCGCCACTAAGAAGTGCGGCAGGTGCTCGGGACGCTGCATCATCTGCATGCGTGCCAGCTCCAGCACCTTCCAGCTGGCCTGTATGGCAGGTGGCAAGACGGTGCCATCGGCCATCACCGTGCGAGCAGCAGCATCGTCAGTACCGCCGCTCAGCAAGCATGCACCGCCACCGCCCAGTGCAGCTGCCCTCCCATCTCCCACTGCTGCCGTAGCCGCCGTAGCTGTGATGTTGGCAGGAACGCTAACACTGTTTATCCCGGAGCAGCACGCCGCCGCCGTCGCATCCATAGATGTACTAGTTGGTTGCTGTGATACTGCTAATGATGATTGGACTGGTACAACGTGCACTGGCTGCAAGGTCGCCAGCTGACTGTGAGTAAATCCAGTAGCTGCACTGGCAGCAGTAGTGCCAGCGACAGGGGGTATTACGTGCTGATGATGTTGATGGTGAGGATGATTGGAGGCTGCAAACTGGAACGGTGGTGCACCCATTGGGTGCACTGTCATCGCCTCACCACCAGCGGGGCGCAGCAAGCTAGCGGGCATTGCACTGCCCACAGCAGTACCCGTGCCCGGGGTGAAACTGCTCCCACAATATCCATTGTGAACGAAAGCGGCACCACGCTGCGGCTGCATTGCCACATGAGTGGAATGGAAATTCCACAATTCTACTTCTCTCTCAAAGCAGCACACTGCAGCAAATAATTACTTAGTTGCTAGTTCTTCACACCATCGCTTACCGATCTCCTTCACAGGCACAACTACCGTGACGACATTTTCCTTATTTCCGAACACATACTGTGACATAGGCTAGCATGAGCAAATCACGTGTAGAGTCTACATGGTTCTGTTCCAAATGAACTGGCCTGTAACCAATAACCACGACACAGAAATAGTAAATTTCGTACCGCTGCTAAGTGCTAGCTGCCACCACCATTGAAAGTAACATAGTTTGAAACACAAAGCACTGCCACTAGTGTTCGCAGTGATGAGCTGCCGGCCCTGCGCTGATCAGTCAGTCCACACGGTCCAGACCAGAGCTACGAGTAGATTTAGACCTACGGCTCAGCGAGGCTGTGGACTGATTATGAGAATTTATGAGTGTGAGAACAAAAAACACTCGAAGTCAGTGGCGATCGAGTGCTTAGAATACGTAGTACTAGTAGTTGTAGGTGGCAGTGCAGTGGTGCTTACAATGACAACACGTTACAAGCCTACACAGATCGAGTGCTTAGAATACGTAGTACTAGTAGTTGTAGGTGGCAGTGCAGTGGTGCTTACAATGACAACACGTTACAAGCCTACATGCACTCCGCTCTCCGGAGCTCCACGAGTCTCCAGCGAGGTTTTCTCCATCATCACACTCACACTCACAGTCATCATGGTCATGTAGAATGAATAATAATATTATGTAGCCGAGCATATCGAGCAAAATAGCGCCAGTGATGTCTTTTTGAGCGCCAAAATCGAACGAAGCTGCAGACGTCGAGTACAGTCACTATCGATATCACCCGGCCACATCAGAGAATGACAGGTGACTTTGAACAAAAAATTTAATGTTTTCTGAAGGTCCAGTATTCTCACTGCATGCAGTGTATGTAGCGGGCTTCCTAGCATGACCGGTTAACAAATTCTGGCCTGCCAAGGCATAGCGTTCAACAGCGGCTATTACTTCATGGAGGAATAGCGTGGATCTGGGATATCCATACGACGGAGCGGTGTTTTTTCCGGGCTCTGCGGACGATTGAAAAATAGTCGTTACCGATATTAGTCACTATTATAAACAGAAGTCGCGTTCATAGCAGAATTGCCACCATGACGCATATTCTGGTAAGGGAAATCAATATGTACGATATTCGTACATCTACATTACTTTGTCCGTTATAATTATTAGGTTTGTCGTCCCTGCCTGTTTGAGTCTGCTTGTCCAGGTACGTTCTGCCCTTGCCCTGGTGGAGAGGGGAAGTAGGGGGGCATTTTGTACATAACTACATTGTGTGTGTTTAAATGCCCTGCATTCATAGCTCATACACATTGTTGCATAATGTAGAAAACAGGGAAGTGCCATCCCTAACAACAGCCATGGTGCAAGTATAAATGACCTGCGCTGAATTCACGAATGCATATCATGGTCATTCTGCACATCCTGTTGAGCGCTTTCTACGTCTTGGGCTTACAGGAGGATCCGACACTGGAACGCAGCTTTGAAGGGCACCGCGATTCCGTCACCTGCTCTGCATTCAATCCCAACATGAAGCAGTTAGGTAAGTGGAGCACAGCAGCAACGTAATATTGTGGCCATTCATTCCGGGACCCTCTCTCAACTGACATGGATTATTTTGCCAGCACTCATTGCTACTGTTGCTTGAAATGCACTTGATCCGAGAATGCTGGGTTTGTTGTCCAAACGTTGTGGGCAGGTTTTGCTCCAAGCACAACAATACTCATAGTACTATAAAAAGTGAAAAGAGTTTGAAAAGCCAGGCTGTGGGAACAAGTTATGCGATTGAGTCTACCAACTAAACCGGATCCGTTGAACAGTCAGAATCTGGTTTAGTTAGTGGACTCGATCGCATATCTTGTGCCCACACTTTTCCATGTTACAGTTTTTTTCCTTGGCTCACCATCTGAGTTCCTAAAAGCCAGGTTCTTCTATGTTTCCGTAGAGGACTGCGGTACATACATGCTGTTTGCAGATAGAGTGAGCCATGTGTGTGCTATACTAGTACTTTGAGATTTACCGGCTCTGGTATACCATTGGATACTAGCGTTGTTTCTTCTCACTACTCTTTACCCCTATAGCAGAACTTTGATTCACGGTTCTCAGACTTTTGAGCGTGTGATGTGCTCCTCGGTGTTGTACAGCCACTGGATCTATGGACTGTTGCCTGATGGTCTGGAACTTCAAAGACCGGGCACGGGCGTATCGCTTTGTCGGCCACCAGGTATGCCCGTATCGTGTAACTACAAATATTCCAAATAGGGTGCTAGCAAAAAGGGAATACATGCCTTGGACATCTGCAGCGCGGTTAGCGTTCCTGGCACCAGTTTCACTATATTTTATCTCCTCATTGTATGTCTGTGGCTGCAGGATGGCATAACTTCCGTTGCTTTCTCGCCCGGTGGTCGGTTTGTGGCGTCAGCATCACGCGATAAGACTGTCCGAATGTGGATACCGAGCGTGTAAGGCCGCAAAGTAGATATTTGTTGGCGAAACTGTAGGACTTGCTTTTCTGGTTGGGCACTGTGTCTGCAGGTTTTCCTGTAGTGCTGCAGTGGTTGTACCTCCCCCCCCCCCCCAATAAGGGCTGGATGCACCCTGTACTGACGTAAAGTTGATGGCCGGGAGGACCCCCCCCCCCCCCCCTCTCTCTCTGTCTCCATCAATCAGCAGCGAAAGAGAAAGATTCACGACTGAGCTTCACGGTTCAAATGGATCTGAAGTTTTGAACCACCGGCCCTTGATCTCACAAATGGGTTTGTTCAGATCGCCTGTGTGCTATGCATTCTTGCAGGAAGGGTGAATGCACTTCATTCAAAGCGCACACCGCAACTGTACGTAGCGTCCAGTTCTCTCCGGATGGCGATTCACTGACAACGGCCGCAGATGACAAGACTGTCAAGGTACATCACCACTTCTTGTTCTCTTTCTCCGTTGGCCAATCCGATCTCCAAGTTCGGCCACACATGGTTGAGCTGTGCTTGTTCTGCTCTTGTCCTTCCAGCATGTGTTGTAAACCTTAGCAGGTGTTGATTAGGAAAACTCTGGTACATGTACTGTGCATCTGATGCAGGTACACACCTCATGCAGTGTGGGTATGCATTGGGTATGCATTGGGTATGCATTACCTTCAGTACACCCTCTAGTAGACCCGGTCTACCATTCATGCAGCCCACATTCCCACGACATGTCGGATACCAAGAATAGATACCCTGCGGGTCATGTACTCCTGCTACTGTACTGTATGTACCAGTATGCAACTAACTGATAATGGAGATGAAGCGCTTGTACTAAATGTATAGTGAAACCTGTCTAAGCCCTGCCGGCAACTCCTGGGACCTTCAAAATATGCCCCCCCCCCCCTTACCCAGGGCCTTGACCCCCCCCCCCCTACCCAGGGCCTTACAAGTGGAAGTGATGTCCTGGATTGTGGGCCCTCTAGGACAAGTGGTCGCCTTGACAGGTTTTACTGTATTGAATATCTACTATTGTTTGCGGTCCATGTGTTTGCTGTCTACTGCATGCTGCAGGTCTGGGCTGTGGAGAGGCATAAGTTTCAATTCACACTAACCGGTCACCAGAATTGGGTGCGCTGCGCAAGGTAGAATCCACACGGTGTGCACACTTGTGTGTGTGTGTGTGTGTGTGTGTGTGCGTGCGCGCGTGTGTGTGTGTGTGTATGTGTGTGTGTGTCACTGTGTATGTGTATGTGTGTATGCATGTATGTCCTATGTGTGCGTCCGTAAGGGTGCGTGGGAAAGCATTGCGGTGTCATTTCACGTCAGACTACATGACTGTATGTAGTACGCTGTGGGCAACCCAGTGGTCAGTGTGGGGAGAGGACCCGTGTAGCTAGATGTCAGAGAACCTGATCTGATTTTTTTGTCTTTGATCAATCAGGTTTTCACCGGACTCTCGCATGATTGCATCGGCCAGTGATGACAAGACGTTACGACTGTGGGATCTGCTGTCACGAGAGACTATCCACACGTACCATGAATATGCTGGGTAGGTATGCCATGTTGCCAGTCACATCAACTGTGCTCACGTTTAGTTCAACATGCTTACTCGGAGGCTATCACCTGGAGGTGTTTAATTATCACGTGACCGCATAGTTCACACATACGCCAGAGTTGTTTGAACTTGGTATTATAGGACGGGTGGACTTTCTAAGCAGATACGATGTATGATGGTGTATGCTGCACTGGGTGGTGCACATGACTAGTCACCAAAGACATGTGGTCTCTAACTGCAGTTGTTGCAGGTCAGTGTACATTTCAGCGGCGTGTGTAATTGGCTGTAGAATGAAATACCCCTGCAGTGCTACCACCAGAACGGCGGTGTGTTTGTGGTACGCAGAACCCCAATGAACGCATCAGATTTGCCGTCTTGCTTTACCTGTGCAGTTCATGCCATGACCCTGTTGCTGGATGGGATGCTATGTGTGTAACTGTTTGTCTTGTTCGGGAATTTCTGTATGCTGATGTGCATGCATTGCGTTGCGCCCGTCCTTCCTAATCCTTGTACTCGTGTAGGTACATCAATCATGTAGCGTTTCACCCGAGCGGCACGTGCGTGGCAGCAGCATGTTCTAACAACACTGTCAAGGTATGTGCCATCAGTTGCAGGCAGCGTTGAGTACTTGGTCTGCTGTATACACAGTCGTACATTGTATACCATATTTTCTGAAATTGGGGCCGGTCTTTTGAAAAGTTTTTTTCGAATTGGGTGATTTTTTTGGGCTTGGAAACTGCTAACCGCCTCCACCAGTATTGCCGAAAATATGGCATACACAGCCACAAGGTGGCTGACTGTATGGGCCCGCATGCCGCATAACCCTCTTCTGTTTGTTCTGTTGTCTTCTTCCGCAACACCCAATCCCCATTTTCCCCATTTACGATGCCTGATCACAACGCCAACACCGAGACCTTTGGTCGGTCGAGTTGCCCTCCCAACATCCCCTTCGTCTTGTTTTATGTTGTCATCCACATGTTTCCCAGTAGGGCTGTGTTCATAGTAAAAAAATAAGCAGTTTTGTATTCGTCGGTTCACAATGGTACTGAATGCACACAATCTGCTCCAACGGCTTGTGTGCGGTGTTCACACAGGTCTGGGATCTGCGAATGCACAAGCTACTTCAGCACTATGACAGTAAGGCTACATGTATATCGATGTACCCACACACTGTACTGGACCGGCGGGTCATCGAGAATCTCTAACTCCAGTAATAATACATGCAATGCTTTAGTAGCTTCAATTACCACATTGGATAAAAGTGTCAGGTGTCGAAGAATGGTCAAGCTAGAAAATCACGAAAAAAATTAATAGGAGCGGACTGGAAAACTAAAATTTAGGAACACCAGTGCTTTTTGATGTAAATTGCATGTTCTTATTCCGAGCACTCACTCAAGGCGAGTCCTTAGAAAAGTATACACTTTATGCATGCTGTAATGGATTACAGGCTTTTACAGTACACCTTGCGAATAACGACCCTCAATGGGGCCGGAGGTCAGTGCAGTGGGGATAGTTGTGTTATTCACGAGGTTCATAAAGGCATGCAGTCAAGTGATTATTTGGTCTGAAGATAGTGTTGTTCTTGTTCTTCGCGAGCTGTTGTTTTATCCGAGGCCGCTATTCGCATGGTTGACTGTAGGACAAAGGGGCTGTAAGCGTGAACATCACCAGCCTGAAGTGGACACCACCATTCTTCTGAGTCGGGATATGAATGAAGCAACTTGTTTCCTCGTGGACATGTTGATCTGATCATCTTATGCAATGCTTAGCACATATAGCCCTTCTTTGCAGTCCGTTTTGCAGACATGTGTTTTCCTCCGCTGTGTCACATTACTCCAGCACACACTGGACCTGCCACGTGCGTATCTTTCCATCCCTCCGGCAATTACCTCATCTCTTCATCCAATGACTCGATGTTGAAGGTAACATGAGACGGAACATTCCGTACTGTGGTGTGGCGCTGATGGTTTTGGCTGCAAAGTGTTCACTCCAGATATTGTTTGTTGATGTGAGGCAGTCGTCAAGCATACCACTCTTCCATTTGATCCATCGCATGAAACTTGCAGCTACGTGCGAACGCAATGCGGAGTAGAAAACTACAGATTATGCAGCTATGGTGTAGATGCTCACTGGACAAGGGGTCCATTTAACCCTGATATCATGCCAGTACCGGCTCAAATACGCCTTGTGTTATTATTATTTATTAAATTTTGAATAGGGCATTCCCACAGGCCTAAGTCCTTCTTACAGGGTACCGTATATGTTTTTGGTATGGATGAGCGGAAATCTGATGTCATTGCACTGTTATGCGTGTCCGTTGTACAGGTGGTGGACTTGCTGGAAGGCCGACTGTTCTACACTCTCCATGGTCACCAGGTGAGTGCTGTCGTTACCATGGTTATCTGTGCTCATGCAGGGCCTGGTTCAGAACTGGCCGTTATGCAAACATCATACAGTATGAATTATGGAAAGAGAAAAGGACCTATAAGTTACGAGTTATGACTAACAGTCCACCAAGGTAATGGGATAGTATACAGTCAGACGAGTCATAACTCGTAACTTATAGGTCCTTTTCTCTTTCCATATTACAATTGGCTCAACATCCGAGTATGAATTATTATGATGATTGTTGTCGCGCCGGGATGATCAACTGACTGCACATATCAACACCAGTTTCAAATGGATGTGAACGTGCCCTGTGTGTGTGTGTGTGTGTGTGTGTGTGTGTGTGTGTGTGTGTGTGTGTGTGTGTGTGTGCATGCATGCTACTTGTGCTGCAGGATGCAGCGCTGTCAGCGACCTTCTCACCCAGTGGTCAGCACTTCTGCTCAACTGGAGCTGATGGCAAGGTGAGACACAGTTACAGTCGGTATTCAATTTCTCTGAAACTGTTCCCAATTGGTGCTAAGTTGAAGCCTAACGTATTGGCTGGAGTGTAGTAGGTACTGCACTTTGGATAGTGGTGAAACGAATATCAAAACCCAGTAGCCGAATATTCTTTGGCTTAACGAACGAACGAACGAATATTCTTTCGTTAACAAGGATGACATCACACACCCTCCTCTCAGTCATTTTATTTGATATTGTCACTATTATTAGGCATGACAAACGAAGGCACATATTTCACCATCATCTCTAGGTCAATTTTCACAAAATCCCCAGCTGAAGAGTGAAGTGCATTTTACACGCTCAAAAAAACAGCTCAAGACGTGATTTTTCGTTCGACCGCCATAACTCCATTCCAGGACCTCGGATCGCGTCCGGGTTGCTTCGAGACGACAGCTGAGAGTTTTCTAATGCCGATGGAACTTTCGATGAAGCGGTTCGGTTAAGTATTCGCGAAGTTACGGAAGTTTGAAGTCGCCTGGTAAACTCTGCATACCCGGTTAGCGAATATTCGCCATGAGAAATATTCGTTCGAATGTGACAAACCGAACGAACATTCGAATATTCGGTATATTCGTTTCACCACTAACTTTGGACATGCCATTTTAGGCCCGAAATCTCGGGTGCGGACTGTAGACCGCCTATGAACTCTGTGGTGTATCAAATGTGCCTTCAATGGTATGCCGTTTGGTCAAATAGGGGGGGGGGGGGGGGGGAGGACGTGGTATGCACGCTACGTGCATGTAACATTGTTGGCAAGTTTGTGCCTGAAGTGAAGAGGTGCCACATTGTGTGGCTTTGGTTGCATCCAGTACGAGGGTTGCTTGACTGAAGCGGAGTGCTGCGAAAGCCGGACCCGCTGTGCTGGCTGCAACGTCCCTGCTGCACTTGATGGGCGGCCATGATTCCTGGCTACAAAGTTAGCGTTTACCATTCCACAAGCTTACAGGATACACAAGTATGAATATTGTCTTAATACATGAAACCAGACTGTGTAGTCATCCTTCGGTTGTTTTCACAGGTTCTACTGTGGAGAACCAACTTTGATGCTGTGGATTACAATGACCGTAAGTACATGTACGCTCGGTTAGGTGCCTGCTTCGAGCTTAGTTCGAAGTGCAAGAAAAGTCTGTACAAGCTCCAAATGTCGCTTGTTGCTGGTTTGGTAATCAGATGGACAAAATAGAGGAAACAGAAGGGCGATGGGTTTGTCTGGTGTCGTGAATAACTACGTGGCGGTGGACATTTTCGTGCGGTCGTTTCTGATGTGAAACAATGCTCTCAATGCATTGTTGAAGTATATCCGGATTGTGTTATTGTGCACTTGCTTCTGATTTCAGGTATGGCGGCATAGCTGCCATGCTCCACTGTACACATAATTATGTGGATGTAGTTGCTAGTTGTACTAAACTGCTCACTCTTTGCTGTGTGTGTGTGTGTATGCGTGCACGCGTGCGTGCGTGTATGCGTGCGTGCGTGCGTGTGTGTATGCGTGCGTGCGTGTGTGTGTGTGTGTTATGTGCTGGGTTTGTGCAGTTCTTCAGTCTCGTCCGCGACGTGACTTCTCATCAAGTAAGTCATCACAGAGGCCTGCAGCGAGTGCACGGCAGCAACCACCATCGTCACTGCCAACGTCCTTGCCGTCAAGTATTCCGCCGACAAAGACGACATCGTCGATGATGTCATCAATGCCAGGCCGCTCATCGGCTGACAGTGCGGGCGGTCTGGAGCCAAGTGCCCGTGACACGGTGAGCCGGCTGTATGCCAGTGTGTGTGTGTGTGTGTGTGTGTGTGTGTGTGTGTGTGTGTGTGTGTGTGTGTGTGTGTGTGTGTGTGTGTGTGTGTGTGTGTGTGTGTGTGTGTGTGTGATCATTTTCAAGTCCACCCAGAGTTTTGGGGATTTCAGGGAGTGTCGGCCGGTGGGCGGTTCAATAGCCAATTGAGTCATCTTTCCAAGATTCCTTTTGAGTCTCTCTCCCCTCTCCCGGGGAGACCCACGTGACCAGTTTTGGCAGTGAGCAACAAGTACAAGTGTGTGTGTGTGTGTGTGTGTGTGTGTGTGTGTGTGTGTGTGTGTGTGTGTGTGTGTGTGTGTGTGTAGTGCTATTTCTGATTGTTATTTCTAGCTTGACGCAGTATTCCTCCAGCAGTCCTTTGACATGCAACTCCTGTACATGATAAGTCAGCATGTACTTGTATGTCTGTATGCAGTATGCGTACGCCACACTTTTGTCTCCATTGCAGGAGAGGGGAGCGCATTGCACCTTCCTAGCACTTGAAAAAAGTAGCAAGAGCAGATTACTTAGTACAATTTCCTGAGCTGGTTGCCTAGCAGCACAGCACAGCACAGTCCAGATAGCACTTCCAAATGTCACACTGCATCACCTGTCCAGGCTTTGACTGCTGGACTGTTGTTCATGTACTGGGTAGCATCCAATGACTACGTTGCAACTGTCCTTCCATCACATGCTAACATCACATATCTTGTAATTGTTCTTCTTATCAGCATGTGGTTGCTGGCCATGATCCAGTCAACACGGTGGATCCTTCACCCCCAGTAGTGGACGTCGGCCGCGCACTGTTCTCCATGCCCAAGGTAAAGTGACTGACAGTAGAGACATGGTGGTGACTTGGTATGTCAAAGTCACATCACAACAGATGATGCACATCCCTCGGTACCAACTCTGTACAGCTCTGGCAGTGCCATGATGTTGAATGCTTGCACAAGTACCTGCAAAGTGCAAAGTAAAGCGTACGTGTGGTACTGCTGGTGTGCAACCTGGTCCTACAGTACTGTCGGGTAGCGCCGAAGAACGACCAGGCTAGAATTTCATCAAGCACAGCATACCAATGTATACACGGTGACTCAACTGTGCATAGGCTGTAACACATGAAAATAAGAACGATCTAGGCTTGGAGGCTGATCCCCTGGGGTGCGTTTGGTTGGTACGATCTAGAAGAGGATCGAACAGCTGGTGCACACTGTGGAGCAGCCTCATGCCAACCAAACGGTACTCCAGAAACAGAGCATATTTTTGTGAAAAATATGCCAAACTTGGTGCATTCTTCAAAATGTGTATGGGTCACCATGGGCACTGTGTACGGTACGACAAGTCCAACCCAAAAGCGTATGCACGTGATCATTTGGGACCAAAATTGATGTTCCCGCCAGGTTTCACTGTGAAAAGGTGAAACTGCTCGGTCTGCTCCGGCCTCGAGGCCGGAGCAAGCAGAACATGCTCTGGCCGACCCAGAACAGGTGCAGTCCCAACCAAACGCGCTGTTCTGGTGAATCCTGTTCTAGTTCGTACCAACCAAATGCGCCCTTAGTTCTTCGGCGACCGACAGTACTGTAGCCTGGTATATGTATATCTGCAGGTAGTGCTGAAACGATTACGTTTTTTCCTTAGTGGCTTAGCTGATACCATAACGATCGGCTTATCGGCTAAACGATTATTATTGTAACTACAACAGTACAATGTACATTCTGTGAATTTCAAATTTTTTACGAGTCCAACATCTCCAACGACGGAAAGCGGGTACATAGATCCGATGATCCCGCAAAAGTCCGTCAGTTGCTCGGGCTGACCAGACGAATACAGACAAGACAGTGGCGACGCACTGGTTGCAACCCAAGAGCTGACGGTGCCCTTCGCCTGTGACTTCGCTGGCTCCGGCGATGAAGTCAGAGAAGCCGGCCAGGGGTGCAGATCCGTGGATTTCGAAAGATGAGCTGACTTGAGGCGCGCCAACAAGTAACTAGTTGCTTTTCCTGTCTTTGCTCAAATTAGGCCTAAAGTACGCTAGGCCTAGCTTGTCGTCGATCAAACTGATTCGGGAACCGTTGACAGAACGGAAAACACGAAACTGAAGACCACTTTACTGTCTTTAGCTCAAGATTACTCGCACGTGGAGGGAACTCCAGCCCCTGCAGCTAGTGTAGACACATACTGAGCCTGCCAGTCCTGCATGCTGTATCTAAGAAAAGAAGTCAGCTGAAAAGACGGCGACGGTGATCGCGGCGATGTTTCTCAGATCGCGCTTGTACTTTTACACATACATCGATATTGCAAGTGTACAGTCATGTACATGTTCGTGTCGTACTCGCAACACTTTCGCCAAGTTTCGGTGCATGCACGCTTTGTGCACCCCCCCCCCCCCCCCCTCAAAAGGAGGGAAATCCCGTACCGAGCGCAACTACCATTCTACTCGTTTAGCCGATAAAATCGAAATAACCGCTCGATCTATTTCTTATCGAGTAAGTAACGAGTAATCGATATAATCGTTTCAGCACTATCTGCAGGGCTACTGTACTAGATTCCGCAGGGTGCTTATTCCGTTTTCAACCATGAGAGCACAAACATCCATTCAGACGAGAACTGCTTTTTCAACTACACCAGCCTAACTCTCTTTGCTACACTATGTTTGTTTGCGTGCACAGAAGGATTACGCAATAGGCGAACGCGACCCTGCCACGACCAGCGTTCCCCTTCAGGCATCATTCCAGGCCAGCGGAAGCACGTCTACCATGGCTGGTACGGCAGCCAGCACTCAGCGTGGCGGTGGCAAACAGCAGGGACAGCAAAGATCCCACAGTCACCCTCCCAAGTCGGTCAGACAGGCAGCGCAGCAGAGTGCAGCAGCACAACAACAACATCAGGTCAACAGTCACGGCCATCAGCCCTCTCAGGTGACGGTGCCCTTGGAAGCGCACACAATGCCGACGCAGTTGACCAATGCCCTTGAGCACATCACCACGCAGCTCGACATGATCACACAGGTAGGCGTGGGTAATCGGGACCAACATGTGTGTATGGCTGTTGCATGTGTTGTGTATACAATGTCCGTGCACGTGTGTTTGCTCATGTGCTGTGTGTTGATTTACAACAGTGGCACTTGCCGTATAGGCTCCTGAGTCCTTGTCTAGCTGATAGACACGTTTGCTTTCACATCAGGCATGCAGCATGTGCACCTGAGAACACAATGAAAATGACTGCATCAAAACACACACTTCCTTGCCTCTCCCTTGTCTTATGCAGACGGTCAGCATCATTGAACAGCGTCTAACTCTTGCCGAGAACAAGCTAAAGGAATGCTTAGACAACCAGCAGAAGATCACCTTGCAGATCAAGCCACAGTAGGCAGTTGGTGGTCGCACACCCCATCAACCTACCGCATCGGTATCTACGCTATTTCCTAGTTTGGTACGCCTGTATCCCTACGGCTCATCATTATTTCGCTGAAAGAGAACAGCTGTACCACATTGCAACAGTAATGCGCGTCTCTGGAAGCCACTTCTGCCTGCCCTGCCCGCTGCCTGGTATGGTGTGATCACTATCAAGGCATGAAGGTAACCCCCTGGATCGCCAATCCAAGCTGACACAATGAGAACAGCTGGCGTGTAAAAGCAAATTGACTGGACTTGAAGTATTTCTCCTTTCTTCCTTATGAAGTTAGGACTGCCAGTAATGGAAGTAACTTTCTTGCTTGAAACTGAACTGAAGTTGTTTATTTTCTTGGAATGCAAATGGAACTATTTTTGAAATACTCGAAATTTGAATTTACTATTGCCTAATATAATGAAGCTATGCAGTCCTGTGCCAGTACTTGTAGTTCCATAGCAACTCTTTTCTTTATGCTTAGCTTGAGGAGCTATTTTTAAAAATAAAAAAATTGAAGGTTTTGCCATTGCAGCATAAGGGATTGGGTTAACCCCCCCCCCCCCCCTCGTGTGTGTGTGTGTGTGTGTGTGTGTGTGCGCGCGCGCGAGTGTGCGCGCGTGGTGTTGGGGAGACCATGGCTGTGCTATGTTGAGCCAGCAACTCTGTGCAAGCTGTATGGATGTACATGATGCATGAGGCAAATATCACGGGCGTCGGAGTTGGCCCGGCTCGACTCGCGGCCCGACCAATTTCCTGGCCAACTTCCTTGTACCTCAGTCCGCTACATACATGTAGCTGTTGCAATTCACTGGGGTTCTTTTTACAATATTATTTTATCATGCAAGATTGGCAAATGCATAAAATGCTCTAAAAAAAAGCACAAAATGGGCTTGATTTTCTCCAAATTTCCGGACCCCTCTAGCTCAGACGTCACTTGAGCTAGGCCGGACGAGTTGAAAATAGCTTGCGACTCGCCCACGTACAGGTATCCCTATCAGGACTGCCGGAAGCAGTTTTCATGTTAGTCCGGTCGTACCATAGTCTTTCATACTTTGTGTATGATATGGCGCGTACACAATCTACACATGCCCTCCTCAGCAGTACACAATCTACACATGCCCTCCTCAGCACTACACAATCTACACATGCCCTCCTCAGCACTACACAATCTACACATGCCCTCCTCAGCACTACACAATCTACACATGCCCTCCTCAGCACTACACAATCTACACATGCCCTCCTCAGCACTACACAATCTACACATGCCCTCCTCAGCAGTACACAATCTACACATGCCCTCCTCAGCAGTACACAATCTACACATGCCCTCCTCAGCACTACACAATCTACACATGCCCTCCTCAGCACTACACAATCTACACATGCCCTCCTCAGCAGTACACAATCTACACATGCCCTCCTCAGCAGTACACAATCTACACATGCCCTCCTCAGCAGTACACAATCTACACATGCCCTCCTCAGCACTACACAATCTACACATGCCCTCCTCAGCACTACACAATCTACACATGCCCTCCTCAGCAGTACACAATCTACACATGCCCTCCTCAGCACTACACAATCTACACATGCCCGCCTCAGCAGTACACAATCTACACATGCCCTCCTCAGCAGTACACAATCTACACATGCCCTCCTCAGCACTACACAATCTACACATGCCCTCCTCAGCACTACACAATCTACACATGCCCTCCTCAGCAGTACACAATCTACACATGCCCTCCTCAGCAGTACACAATCTACACATGCCCTCCTCAGCAGTACACAATCTACACATGCCCTCCTCAGCAGTACACAATCTACACATGCCCTCCTCAGCAGTACACATGACATGTGTTGGTGGCCACAAGGTTGGTCCGGTGATAACCTGACCAACCGGACCGGTTCCGGCGGGCCTGCCCGGGCTGTGTTCTTGCTCAACAAGCCTACCCCACTGCCACTCACCCCGGGTCCCAATAGTTATGGCAGCAATGACCCGACGTATTTTCTACATGATCAGTGTGGCTAACCGCTTGCCACGCTTATAGACTGTATTCCAGTTAGGCAATAGTTCCCTGCGCATGCACTAACCCCAGCTTTACAATGTAAAGTACTTACTTGAAGATGACACTTGACAGCTTTCAAGTCTTTAGTTTTGGCATGCCAAAGCCAAGAAGCAAACTGCAAAGCCTGAGATACAGTGTAGTTATCATGTGGAACTGTTCCACATGATTGTATCAGTCTACATACAGTGTGTATGTCGGGATATCCCTGAAACTATCGTTGGTTCAGTATCATCGCAACATCCACCTCCAAAACCAAGACTCCCGGCTTCAAACAAAAGACTCACGTGTAGGCTCTACAGCTGCATGCAGATGGCCATAATTATTATGGTGCAGACTCACACACCCTGCTTTGGACAGTTTCTTCCTCAAACTCAGCCAAGGAGAACGATGACAACGCCACACGTCTCTCACACGTACCAAGAGTACAAGTCATGTACTCTTGCACGTACATGTACATGCACACGTCGTGGTTCCCATGGAAATCTCCGCTAAAAGCTGGGTTTCCTCGGTTACAGGATATGGCGTCAAATTTGAACTCGTACTCATGGACGCTACTTCATTTCAAAAGTTTTGAATTATGTTGAATGGAGCTTTTGTCTTCTTTGCCAGCTTTCTTTTCATTCACTGCTAGCTCTAGCTCTCGTTTGACCTTATGTCTGGGTATCATGTCTGCCTGTTTCAACTACCCCGCAGCTAGCGGCCCTGCATCAGCACGGTGGTACAGGTAGACGACGCTGACTTGAAGAGGTTGTGTGCTGTGCAAGTGTCACTGTTGAACTGCTACAATGGGAGTTCTAACGCTGTGGCCAATGCTGGAAGCTGCTCGTGAGGTGTGTGATCTCCAGGTCCTGTCTGGAAAAACTCTAGCAGTAGACTTGAGTGGATGGATCTGTGAAGCCTGCGCTCTTCGGGCGACCATTGGAAAAATCAACAAGCCACATCTGCGTACCCTGTTTTTCCGCGTTGCTCAACTGTGTCGGCTGGATGTGAAGCTAGTGTTCGTGTGCGATGGCAATGCTGTGGAGCTCAAGTACGAGACAATTTCCAAGCGTATCGATGCCAGGAATGGCCGAACCTCGGGTCAAGCCACTGGCAGCAAGACGAAAAAGAAGTGTTCTCGCACACAGCTGAATCGCCGAGTGAAAGAGGTTAGCAGCTTACATGTAGTCTGCAGGCCAGCTCTCAATTTAGTGTACTGTAAATATACAAATTTTCGGCAGCTATTTAATTTCGGCTATATTCGGCACCGACCCAAAACGCCTAAATTAAAACGCCGATGAAATTTTTCACAGCATCTGTCGCACTATACCATGCCCTCTACCCCACGCCGAAAATAGATCGCCGCCGAAATGTCAAAAATCGTGAAGTGCCGAAATTTTGTATATATACAGTATCCACTGTAACCGTGTAGACTATAAGTCACTGACGTGTAAACATACCGGTATGCATGTCTTTTACTGTCTTGTTCCTTCCTGGCCTTGTAGTGTGTAGATCTATTGAGTTGCCTGGGAATACCCACGATCAAGGCGAATGGCGAGGCCGAGGCGTTGTGTGCACTTCTCGACGCAGCAGGGGTGAGTGATTCTGCCGGCTACATCATTGCACAGTTTGCATAATTTATTTTATTTGATCTGATTTCATGCTGAAGCGCATGTACTATTTGAACCGGCCAACTCGTACCTGAGAGCAGTGGTAAGCACGGTCATGGCCGGTGAACTGCTCAACTGCTAGGGTCCAGTGTAAGAGTAAGCACCGGGTGCCATGTGAGCGCAAGAACGAATGATATACTGTAAGACATGTTATTATATCGAGTCACAAACTTAAGTCCGAAATCCATAGGATAACGAGAACATACGATAACGATCTTGCAGTCTTCAGGCATATCCGGCATTATCCGCACATGTAACATATGTGGCCTTACAGCCTCAACAGAACTTATTATAACGAAGAAATGTCACCGTTAGATTTGCTTCCTCGTTAGATTTACATGTCTTACAGTAAGTAGCGGAAGGACCGGCGCTGGCATAGCCCGGGCTCCATTCAATATGGATTGTTGCCCAGTAATCTAGATTCTGCGTGCGGGCTATCAGCTTACGGTAGCCAATAAAGGTTTTTTTTTGTTGCTACACATTTTTTACACAATTGGTGGATTTAACCTGGTTCCCAAGCATGCCACGAACCATTCAGCCTACGCCCCCGGGGCATACAGTGCCACAATCATGGTGCCAGCCCCGTGCCGGCAAGTCGGAGGTCATAGATTTCAACTTTAGTTCCGTGTTCTATTTGCATTGTGCTTCAGCTGCATTGACATTATCACCTATCCTACAGATTAGCATGGCAATTAACGGAATACTGAAAGTCAGATTTCTCACTGTAACTACAGTATTGTCGGGCGCCGAAGAACGAACAGGCTAGACTTTCACCAAGTACAGCATACCGTTCTATTATATGCGGTGGCTCCACTGCGCATAGACTGCTCTACACGAAAAATAAGAACGGCCTATGCTACGAGGCTGACCAGTTCTTTGGCGCCCGGCTGTACTCAGTAACTGTATTAGAACTACTTGTACTAGTGGAAGCAAAAAGTGGTATCAGCTGGTACAGGTCACTCCACCCATTCAGCAATGGACCGTTAATGATTCATCATTGCTGTGTTGTATTTGTTGACAGCTAGTGGATGGCTGCATTACTGAAGATGGCGACGCTTTTCTCTATGGTGCCAAGGTGATTTACCGTGGCTTGTCAACAAGCTCAAAGGTAAGAGATCGATTGCCTAGTCTTGTGTTATCTTGCCTTGTTTATGGTGTCCTCTCAACTCACTCCATTGTGGTACAGGTATCCTGATGAGATCCAACAATCACTATACACAACACAACACAACCCCACAGCAGGAACGAATAAACCTAAAGGAAAGCGGCCTTGTCCCTCCCGATATCCGTTGTGCTCCGGCACATTCAGCGGCCTTGTCCCTCCCGATATCCGTTGTGGTCCGGCACATTCTAAACAGCAATGCCACTAACTTAGTGACAGGTGCTGGTATTTCTGAGAAAGTCGACTAAGGGGCCGTCCGGGGTTACCGATTGTTTTTACAAAACGAAATGTTTTAGTATTTTTCAGCCCTCACCCACCCACCCACCTTTTCAGCAGGTAAAACGAATTCCAATAAAATATTGATGTCAATTTTCGACACCCAGAAGTAACTGGGCATTCTCCATCAGCATTCAATAATTATTTTCAAAACGAAACTCCGTCAAACCCACCCACCCACAAACGAAAACATTTCGTTTTGAAAATATTATTGGTAACCTTGGACGGCCCCTAACACTGTTTTCGTCTTCATAGATATTCTGGGCACGGTTCTATTCTGCTATGGTTTAGCGCATTACGTTGTCATTTTAGGTGCTTGTATCCGTGGTGGATTGGATGGGGGGGGGGGGGGGATCATTGCTATTCGTAGTGGTCTGGACCAGGTGTTTTGATTTTGTAAATATTGGGATTTGTAGTGTGCGTGCGGTGAGACATATAATATCCTCTCATATGTTGCTGTGTGTGTGTGTCAGGAGATGGAAGTCAGTCGTTACTCGATGAGTCAAATAGAAGACAAGCTTGGGCTGAATCGGCGCAAGCTAGTGTCACTCGCCATACTCCTGGGCTGTGACTATCTTCCTCATGGTATACCCGGCGTGGGCAAGGAAACAGCCCTGAAGCTGCTGCAGTGCGTGCACGGTGATATTCTTGACAGGTACATGACGCTGGCTGCTGCTTTTCGTCTATGTTGTTTTTACTGGAATTATTGCATTAGATTTCTGCCTGAATACTTGGAAGACATTTATTTCGAATTCCATGTGGTCTTTTTCCACTTTTGCCTCGCTGGTAATCAGTGATAGCATAGTACTCGAGTGAAGCCTCTCCAGCACTTGTGGAGACCTCGGGGCCCCAGAAACGCCTCTCTTGCATTCACATGTGTCCCGGTTTAAATGTAACGCATCTCAACTTGATTGGAACCGGATTGGACTGAGCAAATGTGCCCGCAGTGTGACAATGTCCGCTGCTCAGGGAGGATATCCAACTTTACAGATCTATACATATACTGATTACTACTTGTAGTACCCATATACGTATGTAGCAAAAAGAGGTGGCAACTTTCTGAAATATGAATGAAACGCACACACAAGGTAGTACATTCATAACCTGTTACTGTAACGTCACCTGGATAACTTCCACATGTCTACCATACATGTGCTGAGCTATACAGCTTACTTCATACACCATTAATTTGAATGGACGTAATATGAATGTCTGCCGTTGATGGATAATGTCTTGTACTTCCTATGCCTCAGGTTTAACTTTTGGACGCGCTGCAGAGGCAAGTCCAGTGAGATCACCGACACCATTGAAAGTAGAGTTTGCAGGTACAGGGCAATTGGTCCTAGTGTTGCTGCTGCTGCTGCTGCTGCTGCTGTTGCTGCTGCTGCTGCTGCTGCTGCTGCTGTTGCTGCTGTTGCTGCTGTTGCTGCTGTTGCTGCTGCTGCTGTTGTTGTTGCTGCTGTTGCTGTTGTTGCTGCTGCTGTTGCTGCTGCTGCTGCTGCTGTTGTTGTTGCTGCTGCTGTTGTTGCTGCTGCTGCTGTTGTTGCTGCTGCTGTTGTTGTTGCTGCTATCAGCATTGTTATTGACATATTGGCACTGTCATTTTTAACTGCGTGCCTTGTGGTGAAAATGACAATCTTTGCATATCGGTGCAGGTCATAACTTGACTCGACTTTCAAAGGTGTTCTGCAGTTGCCTAATGACTTTCAAGCTTCCATGAGCTAGCTTGTGAATACGTAGAGGCTTTTAGCCCTGATTTCATTCCAGCCCGGATGCACGCTGTGCGTCTGTGTCTTGTAACCTCTGTGCAGGAAAGCATTGGACGTGTCCGGCTTCCCTTTCCCAGAGGTGAGATACTCTCGAGCACTAGCTTTTCAGAACTCTGGAGTGGATCAATAGAATGCCAGGTTCTGACTTCTACGGCTATGGCCTGTGTTAGAACAAGATTAAAAAAATGGCCTCCCAAGGGGCGTCACACACTCGTACAACCAGGATGGTCAGGGGGTTGTCCATGTTTATGTGTATCATATGCGTACAGCTGCAGGCAAAGTGGGAGTGCATCATCATGCTGAAGTCAGCGCCGTATGCTGTGCAGCCCTAACACTATGAGTATTGAGTACTGTACGCACTGACCTGAGCAGGTCACTACTACAATGGAATCGTGTGCCTTGCTTTCCTGTGACATGGCTGTAGGCAATAACAGTGACTTATCGGTAACAGCTGCTTCTTATTCATCCTTCCCTCAGGTCACCAATGAATATCTAACTCCTGACGAAGCTCTACCACCAAAGGCCTTCTCTTGGGTGCGGCCACGACTTCATGCTGCATGTGTAAGTCCTGTTGCTGTTTTAGAAACCCGTGCTCTGAATGCACATACAGAGTTTGTCAATGTTAGTCCACACTTGCTCAAGATTAAACCAGGTACCTGTTGTTCTAGACTGGTGGCAATATGCTCCAAGGTCGCACGGTTGCCGGGAGAAAAATGAACGTACATGTACGTGGTGTCTCCGCCAACCATCCACCAACCATCCACCAACCATCCACCAACCATCCGCCAACCATCCACCAACCATCCACCAACCATCCACCAACCATCCACCAACCATCCACCAACCATCCACCAACCATCGGAGTGGTTGTCAACTCTTTTTTCCTGCCTATTTTCAAGCAACTGCTTGCTTTGTTATTCATCTCCATGATGACAAGTGTGGTGTTTGCTGTACATGCCTTTGTGTGTGCATGTGTTTGTGTGTGTTTTGTGGTGGTCCGTGCAGGATATGTTATCATTGCTGTTAGAGTGGCCAGAGCAGTACGCATGGGACAAGGTGAGGGGTAGGTTTGTGCGTAGACGTAGTGCTGCACCATCTTTGACGGCTCATACAACGTGCCCATTTGATTTTATAATTATGTTTAGGGGTTGAACAGAACCCTTTGAAAAATTGCTCAGTACATAAATGTATGCGTGTAGCCTGTCCCGTGCATTCAAAGAAAGAGTACCAGTACTCTGGTAGTTTGCGTACTGTGATGAATGTCAACAACTTCCAGAGGGCGGCTGTGAAAATCAGAGACGTATTCGTGTTCATTTCTGCATGTGCAAACATAATCTTTCAACAGGTATTTCCGCTACTTGCAAACTGGCATCTGAAAGTCACCTTATCACCACCAACACTTCTTCAAGCACACACGTAAGAAGACCTGGCTAGACTTGGAGTAAGACCTCGCTGTGCTCTAAACTAGGCAGTTTGTTGTTTCAAAGTACTTTTCTAAAAACTCGCTCTCTCTGTTTATGACTTCTGAATTCGTATTGTAGTGAAGCAGTGCCTGTGTTGTGTATAGAGAACCGTAAACGTTTCAAGAACGCCGTTATTCTGCCATGTACTGCTCTGTGACTTCCATCATCATGCTACTGAAGTCAATGTACAGTGTGGCCTGTGCTTGCTTGCCGTCGCTGTTGTGCATGTGGTGTAGTGCTTTTTGGATACGGGATGCATGTACATTGGTAGTGTGTTGTCGTACTCCTTGTTGGCATTGTTGCCAGGCCCGTGTGTTACTGTGTAGTGTTTCGGTACTGGCTTTGCGATACTGCTTCCAATTCAAGAAAACTGTTGGGGGATCTGCTCTACAAACGAGTTACTCGTCACAAAGTTTTTATTACAATCAGCAGAATGTGAGAACAACAATGGACAAAGAACTCAATGGACAAAGAACTCAATGGACAAAGAACTCAATGGACAAAGAACAACAATGGACAAAGAACTCAATGGACAAAGAACTCAATGGACAAAGAACAACAATGGACAAAGAACTCAATGGACAAAGAACAACAATGGACAAAGAACTCAATGGACAAAGAACTCAATGGACAAAGAACTCAACGGACAAAGAACTCAATGGACAAAGAACTCAATGGACAAAGAACAACAATGGACAAAGAACTCAATGGACAAAGAACTCAATGGACAAAGAACAACAATGGACAAAGAACTCAACGGACAAAGAACTCAATGGACAAAGAACAACAATGGACAAAGAACTCAACGGACAAAGAACTCAATGGACAAAGAACAACAATGGACAAAGAACTCAATGGACAAAGAACTCAATGGACAAAGAACTCAATGGACAAAGAACTCAATGGACAAAGAACTCAATGGACAAAGAACTCAACGGATTCAAAAGAGTTACTACTACTGCATGGAAAACTATCAGTGACTCTGTCCCTTTGCTCTGGAGAAAGGGTAGCAATGACCACTGCCCATGTTGTCATTTCCTGTACATGCATTGTGCTGTTGTTCTCTACATGACGTTTTATCTGCAACAGGATCTTGAAGACATGCGTCCGTGCCGGTGTACCCTGCTATGAAGTGGCGTGGAGGGGCAGCGAAGCACAGCGGCCGCGTAGTCTGGACGGTTAGCTCACCGTACACTACGATGTCTGTTGTTGTGCCTGCTGCCGCTGCTGCTGCACACATTGTATGATCTGCCATCACATTATCATGTCTGTATTGTTCATAATGCTACGAGTCAACAAGATGCAGCACGGATGGGTAAAGTCGGGATTCCGGCCGGATGGCTTTGTGTCAGATTGGCCTCGCTCATGTGTTCTGTACAATGCCATTGTCTTTGGTTGTGTGTGTGTGTGTGTGTGTGTGTGTGTGTGTGTGTGTGTGTGTGTGTGTGTGTGTGTGTGTGTGTGTGTGTGTGTGTGTACTGCAGATGCAGCCACGGCAACTGCTTCAGCTGCTGGGGAGCCCGACTGGATGATCAGCATTGAACATCGTGATGTGAGTACGGGAGATGCATCCACCAAAGTATTTGCAGACAATAAGAAAAGTGTTTGTTGGTTACTTTAACAAACTGATGTACACTTTCTCAAGATGCGCTTCACTGTAACCATCCACTACATCCATAGATCCTCACGTCAGTAGGCTCCGTGAATCAAAGAGGGTTGTGAGAATGTTTGGATACAGTGTGATGTATGTCGGTAAATGCTATCTATTGAAACCACAAGATGGTAAAATATAACTTTGATTGAAATCAAATCCTGGTGATAATTAGGCTCTAGAAATAAGGGCAGCGGAAGAATCTGCAGCCATGCATTTGGCCGGTGATTTTGTTAAAGATGCTTTGTTGCGCTCTCCATTCTGTTTCCTTTCAGCTTGTTGAAAAGTGCCATCCTAAGGTTGTTGATCAATTTGTGGCTCAGCAGGAGTGCCTGAAGAAAGCAAAGAAAGCTGGTAAGTTTTGAGGTGCATGTCCGCTGCTTCTTGCTCCTCAAACTCCACTTTGATGATGATGTGGTTGAAGTCCAAAGTATTTTTCACAGGAAGATCCGTGTGCTAGTGATGCGTTTGTTTTCTGCTCACGTCTTGCCGCTGTTTTTGTGTGCAATGTGTGTGTGTGTATGTGTGTGTGTGTGTGTGTGTGTGTGTGTGTGTGCATGTGTGTGTGTGTGTGTGCCGCACTGCATGTGTTTCAGGAGCTCGCCAGCGCAAAAATACAGAGAAGAAAAAGAAGGGGTGAGTGAAATAATACTATACTGACTATGCTGAGGGTCCCTGGTTCGAGTCCTGGTGGTGACAGTCAATTTTTTTTCAGACTTTTCCCATTTGTGTCTTCCCCTCAAACCAGTGAATACTGACTACAGTGACTATTTAAAACCATCTAACTTAGAAGATACACTGAAGCCACCTAGATAGCCTGTATGGGTGAATTGCCTTCATCTTGTCACGATGTACCTATGGGCATAATCGGTGTGGACCTCCTCCACAGGCTGTGCATTCACTTGTGCTTGGCTACACAGAATAGGCAGCGAATCACACGACCCACCCACAATACAGCGATCCCAATGCACAACGTGCTTTACCATTTTTGTCGTTTCACCCTTCTGTGTGATAGGGCTGAGGCAACAACAAGTACAGCCACAGCCGACAAGGAGAACACTGTCCCTGAATCTGCTAAGACTGAACTAACTACTGAACCACTGCAAGCGAAGTCAGCATCATCAGGCAAAGTCGCAGAAAATGCCGGCGTTCCCTTGCCAGGTGCGGCTTCCCTGCCAGCTGTGCGTTCATTGAGAGATAGACTGAAGAGGCCAGCTGCGCCGGCAGCTCGGGAAACTCTATCACAACGCGGAGTTGATCCTACGAACATTGATTGTGTTGTGGCCTCAACGAATCCTTTCAAGCTGCATGATGAGAGCCTAGAAGTAATTAAAGCACAGGGATTTGACTATGCCCTAGCTGACCTGGATGCACCCATGGCCAACATTAGCCTGACGGATTCCGCTGCTACCAACGAATACAGCCCTGATGTGATCGCTCGTGCATCAGAGCAGTCTACCTCTAATGACTACAATCAAGCAGCTACTGGAATGGCAGCTTCGGCTTGTGTGCGGCGTTGTGAGCTTCCCTACTTCGATCTTGATCTGTCTGAGGATCTCACCGTCCACTGTAGTGAAGCAGTACAGACGGTCGCCCACACCACCGAATCCCCTGCACCTCCAGTATGTGAGAGTAGGGCAGTAAGTCGAACACCGCCAGCAGCACCAGCGCCAGCAGCCTATATGCCGCTGGCAGAGCGTCTACGTGGCAGGCGTAACAAAGCAGTGAACGCCGGAAAGACTACAGACGTGACGGAAAAGCCTACAGCAACTGCTCAGGCTTCTGCGAATCATTACGACGGCCTAATTCAAACGCTGGATGATCGGAACGTTATATCAGCCGTGACTAACTCCAGTCGTAACCAATCTTCCCAAGTTATCACTAACCCATACAGTGATACTAGCCACAGTAGAACAGTAGCTGAGCAGTCATCTGTGCACATGCACAGCGACACCGTGAATGTCAACACGAGAACTACGACTGAACCGCAAATATCACTTGATGATTCTTACATCATGACAGTGTCTACACCACTGCAGCCTCGCTTTGGCAGACCGCGGGCCATGTCGGTTGACAGCCCAGCCGAGATGCGTACGATGCATCGCTCCCCCTTCGCTGGCGACACGTCAATGCAGGCTGGTGCAGATGACGACCAGGCTATGGATATGACGTCGTCATTCACAATAGGTAGCCCATGGCGAGTCCATCCTGTGGAGGAGAGTTTCGGTCTGAGCAAGGATGCACAGCTCTTGGCCAGCCTGGCGTCCGCCACACCAGCGGAGCATGTGCAACACTATCGTCAGCTGGCTTACACAGGCCACGGTGCATCCGTGCATGGAATGTCCACTCCGACAGCGGCCATGAGTCCCTGCTTGCCACGCGTGCATGCACTCAAGCCGACAACCAAGCCCTCTCCAATGTCAGACTCGATGAAGCTGGATGTTGGGCTGCTGACATCCTTAGCAGACGGTAGCCCTATGTAAGTACATGTATCTAGCTCTCTGTGAGGAGTGCATGCCAGTACTTCAGTATGTGAGGAATGCATGCCAGTACTTCAGTATGTGAGGAATGCATGCCAGTATGTGAGGAGTGCATGCCAGTATGTTCGGCACCATGTGTATTGTTGTTTGCTTGATATTCTCCATGGTATTCTTCTGCTCTGCCGCATCAAGCATGCCAGCTGTGCATCAAGCATGCCAGCTGTGCTGTGCGATTGTGTCCTTTCCTGTTCTACTTGTACAGTCATGTACTTCGAAGTATATCAGTCTGTTGTGCATCATGCCGTGTTGTCTTGCAGGGCGTGTGGTTCAACCCGAGCTGCTGTGTTTGGCCTGGAGCAGATGCCTGCATACTGGGGAAGTTGTGCCAAGCCTATTGTCATCGATTGACACCCTGGCTACTATTTGCATGTGTGGATTTTTGGAATTTTTGGAATTTTTATTCTCACAATGGCCTGTAGTGTGCTGTTGTCAATTTATGCAGAATGGCCTGCTACCGATAGGAGCAGTTCTTCAAAGTATTGTGTCACTGTATTCTGCCCTATTGTCTCGTGTCTGTGTACATCTGTAGGTCTATGCTCAGCTGTGCAGGTCACAGCATTCCTGTTCTATTCTCACATATTTGGCAAGTTTGAAAAGTTGAAGATATTCATGTCTACCTTTTAATATTGACATAGCAACCTCACGCAAGAATTTAATTTCCCTGTGCACTAAGACTTTCAACACATGCCATAATTATGTTACGGTTTGTTTGATATGTGCTCACATCTCTTTCGAAATCGTATTTTCTCAACCAAACATGAAACACACGGAAAGAAGAAAGAAGTTCAAAGAACAACAGGCAAAAAGTGGAACAAATCGTCTTTTGGCCTTAGACAATTGCTTTTGTCAATCAGTCCTTATTGTTAGACAGTTCGTTTGCGTCATATTGGTAGTTTGTAGAATAGATGAACCCTGAAGAAATCTGTGATAGGAATTAAAATGTTTGCAGACCAGAGTTTGGGCGAGTTACCGCGACTTGTTTACTGCTTACACTTGCAGGTTGAGGCCCCTGGTGCCTCTCTGCTGCTGGCTTGCTCGCATTTGATGATTTGATTAAGCCAGGTGGTCGATGATTGGAGCCACGTGACAGCCGAATGCGATTGGCATGCCTGCCTGGTTGGTGTTCGGTTTAGTATTCCAGTCAGTACCCAGCAGCTGCTGCTGCTACTGCTGTCACCCTTGCTGCACCTGCGGCCATCGTACGAGACCACAAGTCCACCTGGTGCACGCTGGCACACCCGCCCCGCTACACTGCTCAGGCAGGCTGAACTGGGACTTGTCAGCGTGCTCGGACATCGCTCAATTCGTACGCGCTGCGGGTGGTGATGAATTCGACCTGCATCCTGTGACAACTGGCTGACGACGGCAGTGCTTTGTGCCGACGTCAGGCATGTCATTGTTGCCATGTCCACTTGCAGGCTTGGTGTAGCGGACACCTCTCTGCCCAGTCGGATTCTCTTATGCAGGACGAGCACCGCCAGCTTACTACCGTCTCCGCTGCCGCCGCCCGTACTACCGGTAGTAGCAGCAGGCGTGCTGCCTGGTTGGAGATGCACTGCCCAGATTGACCGCTGAAATGCTGACCGTGTCATGTCTCCATAGCGAACAACCACCTGCTCTGCACGCAGCTCGTACTGCGTGACGTTCTGCAGACAGTACGCGGCGACGATCACAAAGCGCTTGTGGATCAGGGCGCCGGGGCAGATCAAGTTTGGCGTGCCCTTGTGCGGTCGCTTGGTCCAGAGTGCCACTTGCCATCGGAATGGCTGCTGCATTGTCGGTTGTTGGCCTTGCAGTGAGCTTGCATTGCCGATCACATCTTGGCAATCTGTGTTCACGGCATGCAGGAACAAAAAATGACAAGTCATTACAGTGGTCTTGAGTCTCTTAGCACATATTCTATTCTGGGAAAATCATGGGTTTTTGATTATACAAATACATTTTTATGAGCCGCTGGCATGTACCATGTCTAGAAGATGTGGTATTTTATTGCAGAATGGAAAAATTTTGTGATTACCCAGGCTGTAGCGGTAATATTGTGTGATGCGCTTGAAGTTACCAGCGCTGCTTCCAATGTCAGAATTAGAGAAGAGCTGTCACTGAGCCACATCAGCTCATGATGCTGAGGTTCAGGACTATGAATCACACTGGCCTTTGAGATTGTTTCTCCAGACAAGAAACAACGTATTTTACGACTCCCTGATCCATACTCGTACGTCATCATGCACTTCATGATAATCCTATGAGCTACAGAAGACATTCAGCCAATATTAGCTCATACCGATGCATGTCGGATCTGTTCCGGTCCACGTCCCATCCCAGCTGCAATGCCGGCTGTCGCTGCCGATCAACACTGCGCCAGAATGACAGGAGTAGCTTGCCTCGGTACCGACTACGGCAGTCTTTTTGCTGAGCAGTACCTGGCCATTGAGTGGTATGGACAAGCGCGGACAGGTGACGCGTTGACATGGTTCAATGCGATACCACGTCCCTTTGCCAGTGCATAGTGACCTGGCTCGGAACCCGGTTGAAAACCTGTATCCGGGGTTGCACACATATGTGGCGTAATCACCGGACGAGTAATTTGCCCGTGCCTGTATCGGGGAGGCGTTGGCCACTATCGGTGGTGGCGGACATGTAACGAGAACGCACCGCTCAATGGGACTCCACTGGTTGTTCTCCCTGCACTGTTGATACTGCACTGCTGCGTTGATACCACCGGCTGCATACCCGGGCTGGCACTGCGTACGAATCACGCTTTCCAGTGGTACACGGGAACCTGGCCGGTATTGACTACTGTAGCCAATGCCACGGAGAGTGTTTGGTGGGAATGACGGTACGGTGCAGAAGATCTTCTTGCATGCTGGCAATGGTGTGGTCCACTGTTCGTTAGCCTGGCAGCGTGTTGATGTGATGGACTTGTCCACCAAGACAAAGCCACGCTGGCATGTGAGAATCACGACTGAGCTATATAGATAGGGCCTATCCACAGCGGGCAAGTTGTATGAGTTCAGCTGCACTAGCTGGTGCGCGTGTAGATCGTGGATGGCCTGCCGGATCATGAACACACCGCCGCTGGGCTGTGCCGTGTGCCATGTGCACTGTGCCGGCTCACAGTTGGGAGGCTGAGACCAGCTGCCGTTGCTGTTACACGTGACCGTGTTGAAGTTCGGATTAAACTTGAAGCCCGCTTGGCACACAAATGCCACGTGCTCTTCAGGACGGTAGTGTTTGCTGGCTGGTTGATGTGTGGACGGTCTCCCGAACTGTATGGTCGGCAAGTTCTCGCAAACATGATTGGTACCTGGATAGCGGCAGGACAAGACAGGACAACGGAGAGCCCAAGTGGGTATGCCGTGTCAAACAAGTACTTGAAGTACATGTAAAGCATTGGCTGCCTTGCGTTGCACCGCTACGGAGCATTGCTCCCAGTTATGGTTAGCCTTTGTCTTCTATCTCTTAAACTATTTCTTTGACTGTCACCAGCAAATAATATAATTATATAGGATTTGGTTTCAGGCTAAACGATTTCACTAAACTATCTATGCAAATTGATGAAATGGGTTTCATGAGGTGTTTGGAACTGTTTTCTATACACTTTCGTAGGAATAATCCCAATTTCAAGCCGATCGGCCAATTTTCGGGGTGAAACTTCAGCTGTAGTACAGATAAAAGCACTAGATATGCCAACCTGGGGCAGTGCTCCCCAATCAATCACAGACATCTATTCATGGTATCTGTGTACTTATTCAGCATACTAAACATTCTATCATCATCTGCATCCATTACAACACTCTGGATAATGCAGAACACTCAAAATCCTATATAATAGGATCCGACAAAAAACTGACACGTCCTCTCTAAAATGGCTCTATAAGTCCAGCAGTGATAATAACTGGCACTCTTGAAAACTTCTGAAGAGAACCTACTGATACTGCCATAACACATTACAATACAATTTAGGCACACAACTTATCCCGGGCGGAAGCAGGGTCATGATTATTGGAAATGTTTTCAAAAAATCCTATATATAGGATTTGACAGTTTAAATACAGACTACCGGTACAGTCGACCTACCCTTATAATGATATTTGCGTCAGACCAAGAAATATTGTTATAAGGGTAATATTGTTATAGGGGTAACTGGTTCATTTCATACATGTACGTTATAATGCATGGATTTTGTTCATTTTTTACACTCTTCATAGCATTAAAAAACTGACGTACATGCGCATTATATGCACAGCAAGGTGCCCACTGGTGCCGCCATTGTATTTCAACATGTCCCAGCGACTTATCAAGTGAAGCTCGCCCTACCTGGTTAGTGGGCTCTATATATTCCCTGCTAGATATTGTTATAAAATGGAAAATGTCGATTGGTCAGCCCATTTTATATCGTTATAGGGGTAATATCGTTATAGCAATATTGTTATAGAGGTAAGGCATTGTATACACAAGTCAATGGAGTGATTTGGTTGGGCAGAAAAATATCGTTATAAGGGTAATATCGTTATAGAGGTTATCGTTATAAGGGTAGCTCGACTGTATACAAAATGGCCAACCTTAGGGCTTGTGACAATTACCTGAAGTGTATGGATTGTCTATGATGTATTTGTACCATGGATATAAAGGAGTGATTTGCTGACAGCAATTGTGCCAATCTCACGAGTTTGGCTACTGCAACACACTTAGCACATTCATTGTCGCCTATCTCGCAGTATATTCACCAGGGTGGGCCCGGCGTGTTTTGTTTGTTTGTTTGTATTCTTTATTTAGAGTGGGAAGTCCAAAACAGGCCCTAGCCTAATAACAATGGTCCCACTAGTGAGGGAATGCTGTATATCTGTGCATAAGCCTAGCGGATCAGTGAGTGTAACAGCAACTAGTAGGGAAAGAAAAAGAGAGAAGAAAAACAACTCAAAACAGGAGTTGCGACTTGCATAGGGAGAAAATAACGTAAAGAGCAGTGCATACAGTATTTGTAAAAAAGGCTTATTTATCTGGTAAGCAAAAATGCAGTGCTGCCATTATCATACTTGCATGGTAAACTTAGAAGCAAGGCTTACCAAGACATCAATACCTTTCAACGTACAATAACACTCTTCGAACCCAGACTCAACAAATCTGGGTACTCCCGTCTACCAAGCACCTTTCTAACCCCCTTCGAGTCATCAATAGTGGGCTTTTAGACGAAAGGGTGCACCAAATACTATTGATTCAATATTCAATGTATGAATCGATGGCCATACAAATTGTTCACTTGCATGCAACCAGTATGATTGTTTGTTCTGAGTCACGGGCAATTCCTAGTTACCGGTGCGGGCAGTACCCCCCCTCCCCTGGTCCCAACGTGCCCGGATACTGAGTGAAGGTCTACTGCAGATCTACAAGGTGGTGTGCGATTTACGCTTTCCATACTATGTCATTTGACTCATTTCAAGTCATTTGCACATGATTGTGTTAGTCTATGCAAATGAACTAAACTGGCTGCTACGAATTCGCCACCCGACTTCTCGAGAAAAACGAGGAAACAATCCAAAGGTGCGCCTCGATTCAGCCCCAGACACTCCTTGGCCCTGACTCAATCATGCTACATGCTAAATACTGAAATCACTGAAACGAATACCGTCAGGGAACCGGAGGCCCTTGAAGATAGCTAGACATAATCAGAGTAGGTCTACATTCCAAAGGTCGTTTTTACCTTCCGTAGCGGTGACCACACTTGTGCCGAAGATCACTAATCCGAGTGAGAGACGTATCACAGCGAGCGCTCTGAGATCAGACTTCACGGAAACCATGTTTACTCGCCGCAGTCTTTACCTGTGAGGGGACGGAGTTGTTGTTCACAGGTCCGGCCAAACAACAATCCCCAGGTGACCCGACTCGTGGCTTGTTTGGTAACGAACTGATCACCTCGTGTCTTCCTTAGCCACATAAATATCGTCTTCTCCTTCTTGTGGCAGCCTTCGCGGTTCTTCTTCCAATGAAACGCGGTAGGAGCAAAGTCATGCTTCCGGGCACCATTGCCAGCTGCCGACGGTCGACACGATTCCTCCAATAATACTAGTCGCTCGTTGTTCCACCTCGGCGCGGCCATTCCACACAGATGCATGCAGACGGCCATCCCTTTGTTGGCGTGAGGGTACCAACCATGCACTGAATGCTGACCTTCCTTGGCGGAGATGGCCGGTGTTCCTTCCAGTCTGTTCTCACCCTCTGGAAACCCGCGCCCTATGCAGTCCACGGTATACTGCCAACCACTCTAATCCTGCACGCTCGATAATGAAGTCGAAGTAGAGAATTAGAAGTGGTCCAGAAGTGGGCAGCGAAGCGTGACGCGAGGAAGTACACGTGAAGGGTCTGCTCTCACCTGTTGGGTATGTAGCGGATGAAGGATTAGATCTGGTCGGCCGCAGCTTTTGATGCCGCTGAACAGGCGTGCACACAGCAAGCGCGAATGTTTATTGTGAGCTGAAAGAGCAGGACAAGGTTGTTGCCGCTGCTGCTGCAGGGACTCCCAGGGAGACGAAAGAAGATCTGATCGTGGAGAGGGAGGAATACGACCCGGCAAGTTTTCCGAGGAAGGACCGACGCGGCGAAGGCTTGGATGCCGCATGGCCCGGGCGCTATTCAGCCTTCAAAGGAGAGGGCACTGCAGAACCGCTGATTTGTCCAACGGTGGTGATCATGGTGATTGGCCATGCCTCTGAGTGATCGTAGCATGTAATTCAAGGCTGAGAAGTCCAAAACTACTCACTGGGCAACTACGTGGCAGATGTTGGCCATGATGAAGTGATCGGAGCTTGACTGATGAACGACATGCCGTACCACAACACACACATGCACGTACCGGTACATACGACCTATCATCCCCCCCCCCCCCCATCTTTGTCATTGTTACAGTCATTTTGACGTATTGGACCTAAAGTTGAGTCACAGAGTGTTGGGTGGGACCACCATGGCTTTGGCCACAACATACATACTGTGCCACCTACAGTGCCACTGACTCAGCCAATGACATTATTATAGTAACTGTTATACATGCCCTGCGGTATGTCTCAATGGGTAGTGATTGTGTAGCCGCGTGATTGTTTTAGAGGAGTCAGAGAGAGAGGGCAGGGGATAAGCGTGCGCCACTGCTTTGCTGTGTTATTCAAACTGCGTGACACCAATTGTTTAGTCCAGCCACAAGCGCTGTATTTGCAAACGGTATGTATATCAGGGCCCCTGGAACCGGTCCGGTTGGTCAGGTTATTACCGGACCAACTCTTTTCAAGTTTTGGCCACCAACACGTGATTCTGTGGAGGGCATGTGTACCCGGGTACTCGCTACTAGTATAATCATACACAAAGTATAAAAGGTCATGACACTGCCGGACCAATCAAAAACTGCTTCCGGCGGTCCTGTGATGCTGTATGTGCGGTATGTAGAGGTTATGCATGATCAGTTGAGATGCTGGAGCTTTGGCAAGGTCTCGACTCCCGGCACAGTGCGTGATAGATGCACTAGCGACAAACACTGTACACATTGTACATAGGGCCCATACGCGGTTCCGCCAACTCATCATACGAGCTCGTAGTGACTTCTCTTGCATAACCTGGATGATGCCAGATACATCCTACATGCGTACACAAGATAAGTACTCCCGCCACCGACCGAAGAGTGCCCAACACTGTCAAAAGTACCTTGTTCATACAACTGGGAGGAAGGAAAATTCACTAGCATGGAGCAGACTGGTGGTGACAGGCGTATACAGTCAACTTTGCTAATAACGACTGCGGATATAACGACAATTCGTGAATAACGACAGAATTTCCATGCCCAGAGCAAAGTCCCATCCCACTGTAATACATATGCGACTTCGGGTATAAGGACACTTTTCTGATGCCCCGCCGAGTGTCGTTATACACAAAGTTAACTTGACTGTACTAGTGCAACACCATGGCAACACACATGGTGCTACACCCAGCTTGCCTGGTTGGAATCCTGAGTTTGATGCTCCGAACCACCCCCAGCATATGCATGAGTACGGTACACGTGCCAGGCATGCAGCACACAACAATGAAAACTCCAAATAATATAGCTGGCAGATCATGTACTGAGCCAAGAGTAGTCAAGGAATGGTTTGAAAATAGGAAAAAGGATATAGGAACAATCAGAAATAGGGTAGAAGAGGCAGTAATGCCATAATTATGCGTTCTCTAATATTCTGTACTTTGACTGCTCTTTGTTGTCTCTGGTCACATACATAATGCAAGGGGACTAAAAATAGAGTCCGGGTCACGTCCTTGGACGGTTTGAGAGAGAGAGAGAAACGATCCGCGGCTTGCCTGGTCCGGAGTTGATGGGCGCCAAGCTATATGCACAATACAGAGATCAGGAAAAGGAATTCCATTCCCATGATCATTGGTTGCAGTTTGAGAGAGGACTTGCTGCTTGACTGCTGCGTAGGAGTTGATGCCTACTGGCCTACTACACTGTAGTGTAGCAATCCAGAATGCAGAGATCAAGAAAAGGCCCATGAACAATGATTGGAACGCACTTGTTGGATATGCATGCACATCAAGGTTAGCGCTTAAAACTTCTGGTCAACGGTTAAAATGTCACCCAAAAAATTATGACTAACAACCTACAAATAGAAAGTGAGCCAGCACACTAGGCGTCTGGTCCAATGATCAACGCCGATGCAGCAAATAGCAGGAACACAACGGCTCCTATCAGTGTTACTGTGCGCACGGAGATCTTCTGAGCAACCAGCCGGCCACCAACCACTGCCAAGGTAGTGCACAGCAAATGTCCAAGCGTTCCACCTATCGTCACGCCGACAGGATCTTCACGGGCACCGAGGATGATCGTGGCCAGCTGAGAGCGGTCGCCCCACTCCGCCAGGAAAGTTAGGGTGAACGCCTGAACCCACACTGGCGAAACGACTCTCAGCATTCGTGACCACTTCAGCGAGGATGGCTCTACTGCTCCGCCACCGCCTTCCACATCTGGGCGCGATGATAGCTCTGTCTCCTTCTTTTTCAGTTCCTCACTGACTTCCTCAAGTTCTTCCTGTCCCTCATCTGCAGCCATATAATAGCCCTCTTTCAGCATCTTCAGTCCAAACAAGGCAAATAGTAGAGATGACCCATAATATGTGTATGCACGGGGAATGATAGTTGCAGCGTAGCCCAATGTTGTGGACATGACAGTCATGAATGCCAGGGCTGATACTGCACCAGTCAAGACCGTCACGCGAGAATGGCGCATGGCCATGATGGCTGCGATGAAGAACGTCTTATCTCCCAGCTCCGACACGACTATGACCGACAGTGAAGCGACGAAAGCATGGATAAAACCACCCAATCCCGCCGGAGCGACAGTAGCCGCAGCAGTTGTTATCTCCTCCATAGCTGATAATAATAATATTACTATGAAGCTGGGAAGCAAAACACTGAAAATTGAGACCACTGTCCGGAACACCGCCTCGTCCCTAGGCAGATAACACAGACAGCGTTGGTGTCTGCAGACACTCTCTGCTACACACTGCCCGAGGTAGAGTTTGGAAGTAGTTACCAAACCGGAAGGTGAGCAAGTATTTTGTAGTTGAATGGAAGGAAAAGACAGACACCACACCGTCGAAATTTCGAAGATCAGTCGTTTCGTGTCTGAAGACAAAAAAATATTTCGCACTCACTCACGATGACATCATGTCAACAATTTTTTTGTAAATACATGTATTAATATAGGTACAGGTCTAACCAGGCCTGAGCTGAGGGAGTCGTAAAATATGTATTTTACGACTCCCTGGTCTATTACATAACCAAGAGTGTGCAACTGCCTGCTGGGTTATTGTACTCTTGTTATTACCAAGAGTACAATGTCATGTAACTTCTTGTTATTACCAAGAGTACATAAACCAAGGTTTATGTACTCTTGTTATTACTGATTAGAACTACAGTCAGACCTCGCTTATACTCATACAAGCTCCCAAGAACTTATTTTGCACTTGGACCTACACAATATACCGGAGCGTACATGCATTTTCTTGATGTAACCATGTCGTTTTCGTTTTCGTGAACATTATTCGTGTCAGTTTTTTTGTCCTCAAACCATGATGCATGAGTGTTGATGTCTTGAATGTTTGCACTACTGTAGCCGTGCTGCTGTAGGCCTTCCACCAGTGGTATGCCAGCACACATACACAGACTCTCAACATGGCCGCGTTCACAATGACTGTGAATGCCGCAGGAAAGCACAGAGCGACGCCTCTGAGATAGGCATCAACGTGGACTTAGAGGCACACTCCACAACGACAGCACACTCGGCAACAAAACAGGGCAAAGACGGGACTCTGAATGCAGTGTGCTGGTCGGCCAGGAAAATAGTAAAGAATAAAAGTCATGACATCATAGGGCCATAGTCAGTGTAGCCTAAGACAGGCATGTAAAGACCAACACAACAAAACATCTCATATGCAAGAGATGGGACAAAGATTTTGCGGCACAGCAGCCAAACAGATGGCAGGACTCGATGATGGACGGAACGAGAAGCAGCTGGAGGCCTTAGAAATTCAAATACACGTCGCAGCAGCAGCAGGAGGATACTGATGACATACTTAGTCCTAGTGGCGGCTGTGAGTGCTGTGAGTGCTGAGGGTGCAGGGAACTGTGAGGTGAGGCTAGGCATCAAGTCAGGTGCACGTGTATTATACCAGGGTTGGAGTGAGCAGAGCATGTCGGTCTATCATGGACAAGTACACGCACCCTATGGAAATGACATTTAAAAAGTGATATCAAAACTAGACTGCTAAAATTGTAATTGAAAAACTAAGGAGCCATAAAACCACCTAGGGGTAGCAGCAGTCAATAAGACGCCCGGTACAAACGAGTGCAGATACACGACACAGGACATTGTTTACTCAAAACACCAGGCCTCCACGGCTTGTATGGTGAACTGCTCAGTGCTTGCAAGCACCTCGTTGTCGTAGGTCTTGCACGGGTAGCTGCTACCGTGGTAGAGATTCTCATCCAGCCACAGGCCAAACGTACCCCTAGAGTACGCACACACACCACACACACACACACACACACACACACACACACACACGCGCGCACCCGGGCACACGGAAAATCAAGGAAAGCTGTGATGATGATCATAATAGGGAGGTTTTGCATTCAGACTTTCGGAATTATTTTCGGAATCTGTTGGCAAGTCGAAAAAGTAGTCGAACTTTTGGCAGTATGGTGGTGGAAGTGCATGGTTTCCCAAAAATACTTTTAGGTCTTTCTCGTTTTGGCGTGCTATTTTGAATACTTCGCATGTGCCGCAAGGTTCAGGACGCGAAAAACCAGTTTTTGGTGCCTTCTATGGTCGCCATTTTGTTTTCGCATGGCAACACTTGGAAATGAAGTTGAATCAAATTTTCGGAATGGAAACCACTGAAAACGACTTCCTTTTTTCGGAGAGGCAAAGTCGAAAAATATTCCGAAATTTGGAATGCAAAACCTCTAATATGTTTAGCAAGTCTTTACAAAGAAAAACGATCCAAAACCGATTTGAAAATCTTGAACAATCCTACAACCATATCAGGTGCTCCAAGTGAAAGGCATACCCTCCAATACAGTAAAAAAAAAACTGGGTTGCAAAACAATTTATACGTGCATGGTACTTCATACCACACCTTAGAGTAGACCTAACAGGTCGAAACAGCTACCGTATTTTTCGGAGTATAGTGCGCACCTTTGTATAACACGCACCCCCAGTCTTCATGGGGGTGCGCGCTTCAATCTTCATTGAAGTACATGCATTTCACATTCGGAGCATAGTGCGCACCTGCAATTTAGGGCCTAAAATAGCACATCTAAAGTGCGCACTATACTCCGGAAAATACGGTAGCTGCCCAGAGATTGAGTGTAGTTCATACCACCATGATTATCATATCAGATTACATGCACAACTTTGATGCTTTACTGGAGACGTAAAATTGATGAACTACATTATAAACTCGGATGTTGAGCCAATACTAAAATGTAGAGAAAGGAGAGGAGAAGTCTGAACAGCCACAATAAGCACTGTGAACTTACTCTCCACTGCCAAAACAAAGTGCATCCGTATCTCCTTTGACAAAGAACTCATTCTCGCCGGTCCAGGTAAATATCTAGTTTACAGAACAAACACACAAACACACAAACACACACACACACACACACACAGTGACACACACACACACATACACACGAAGAGGAAGGGAAATTGAAACTGTAAAAAGGAACACCACGCAACCGCAACTCTGCTTCATCAATGTCCCACGCAACCGCAACTCTGCTTCATCAATGTAGTACACCAGGATCAAAAAAAGGAAAGAAAAAGAAAAAAGAAAGAAGAGCTCACCTTTAAGCCGATGGTGTTGTGAAACGTGAACAGAAAACACTGGCCAGTTCCAATAAACTTATCGCACACTTTGAATGCTGCTGACGACAACACGCCAAAAATCTACACCATAACGCCAGCAACACAAAGCAAGAAAGAGAATAGGTCAGAAATACGGCAATGGCAGCAGCACCACAGGAAAGAATACAACACAAACACACACACACACACACACACACAAACACACACACACACACACACAAAACACACACACACACACACAGGTGGCAGCGCTTGGGACAGTCAGGATCACCACCATCATCATAACAGACAGGAGGGAAGGTTCCATGCCATGTCATACAAACAATATACTTACGTGTTGACTCTCATCTCGCACGGCCATCAGGATCGGCCCGTCCATCTCACGCATATTTCTGTACATGGTGCGTAAGCTGATGCCATGTACATTGGTACTGTATGCCAGCTTCCAGGAACAGCCCACTACGCTGTTGGGTAGATGACGGGCCAGCTGTAGTGACAGAACAGAGTGCACAGGGCAGCAAGCAAGCAACACACCAGTAAGCCACACATAGGGTAGTATCTCACTAAGAGCAGATACCTCTCCACAAAGGACAGATGTGTCTGGTTCCTATACATACACTCCCTTTACACAAACACACACGCATATCCCGCTTAGGCCCATTATTAGTGCATGGGCAACGCACAAGTGGAATCTAGAAACCCGAGAGATTGATCAACACAGCCATGCTGCATGCAAGCCCCATAGCTGTACTTGCTGTGGAAAGGAATTCAGAAAGCATGTTGAAAAGAGAGATACAATGTGGAAGCAAGAATAGTTGAAATTATTGCCCGGGTACTGGCCAGAACCAACCTTGCAGAGGTGGTCATACGATAATAGCGATGGCTCATCTTTCATGATCGGCAGGTCATAACTCAATCTTTGCACAAAGTACAGACAGCAAAAGAAACAAGAGAACAATTTCAAATTTGGACTTAACGGAGAATTTCAAAGAAGGAAATTAGGCCACCTGCCTTGTACTGCTCTTTATCTCTCCGAAATTCAACACTTGCAAGTCAGATTCGAAAGAAATCATCAGTCACATCACCGGGACTCGAACAAGGGACCTTGCTATTCGTGAGCAATGCTCTAACCAATTGAGCGGGAGTCCGACTCTGATGCACGGTGATGGCAAAAAGCAAAACAAGAGAACAAGCAGAAGAATTTCAAAATAGCTTTAAAAAAAAGCTGTTTTGAAGGAGCTGGCAACATCACAGTTCTTGAGTAATTACCACTCCGCCAATCACCAAACATATCTGACTATTGAGTTACACAACACTACAATCGCCACTCTATTATACACTGTACCTTCGTTGGAAGCTGGACGATTTCCCTGCAAGCGGAGAGGAGCTGGAGGGCGATGACCTGGACTGCGGTTTCGATTGCTGCTTCTGTATCTTCTCAGCGGGAGACTTTGTTTTCTCACCGCCGACGATCGATTGTGATACCTGTGCCCAGGAGACGCACAGCAAGACCAGTCATGACAGAGGATGTCAGCTTGTAGAACAAGAAAATAATGAAAGAAGTCTTACAATAAGTTTTTCATACTTGACCATTGGATTTTGGGGAAATCAATTGCTTTTCACTAAAAACAACTGGAATTTTTCACAGTCTGCTTCGACCCGGGTTCGGATTTGTGATAAAGCAATTTTGCAAAACCATATAAACACAATCCCCATTTGGCCGGATTTTTGGTGAGGTTTTTGGTAAAGAAATTTACACGAAAACGGTTCCCCAGCCACCCTCTCAATGACACAAAACGCCTCATTAAAACACAAGACACATACTGTAGGTATTGAGGCGAGTATTAAAGTGGTTGAGAACTTGCGGACTAAAGGCCGATTCATACTTCATTTCGCGTACGGGAAAGCCGTCGCGCGATGGCTTTCCCGTACGCGACATGAAGTATGAATCGGCCTTTAATGCTGCAAATGCATATGTCAAATAAATAAATGCTCAGTGCTAGTGAGGAACGAGAACAGGAAGACTGTAAATCTGAACAAGTCAAACATAATCGAGTATCTTTTCCTTCTGGTGTCTATCAGGAATTCAAGATAGCACCCAACATGCACCAGGCATGGTAGTACATCAAGTCCATGAAATTACAATGCATGATTAACAGAAGGTCTGGTCTTCCAGACAAGAAGAGTTAGTGGAGTAAAGGTGAATGAACTTCGTTGCACCAAGACATTCTAACCAGTCTTATTACGACATTAGTACATTTAACAACCAGTGAAGCTTGCTTGCTGGTGGACTGAATTGGAGTAACGCTTGGCAGACCATAGTAGCGCGAGTATTACAGTACACAAACGCCAGAGACGATAATTATTTAAATTTATTTTATTTTAAAAATCCTTATCCACATCTGCATTAGGAGGTCCATGGTGGAACACAATATACGAGATACTCGTACATGCAGCAGCAAACAGCAGTCTTTCCCCTGGAATTTGCTCAGGTTGAGATGTAGGGACACACACCACAATGAGACCATAAGAAAAGCTGACAAGACCAGTGGCAGTGGATGGCAAAAGTCATGGCCAATTGTCCTCAAAGAGAAGCCAAGCGGCGGCTGCGAGAAAAGCGAACTGGAATCCACTCCAACCTGATATGGAGAAGGACATTAGAGATTTTCCAGGCCAGTACAATACATGGGCGGTTGAACACAGCGAATGCAATCATGACTGTATCGCTGTGTTCTGCCACTGACGTAATTCAGGGCGGCAGAGTTCGTCGCATCGGATCCAAACATCATTACGAGAGCAAGCAGCTTCAGAAGAAGTTAGCTCAGTGTACTGCTGGCTGCACTGTTCACGATGTACAACGGCACATTGACACAGCAATGCCCACAAACGAGCTACAGTTCGCAACAAAGACAGCGGCAATTCTCTCCAGCGTGAAATATACAAAACCTGGGGTATGCGCACAACAAAGCCATCGTACAGCCTGGGGTGGGGGCTCACTAACAGCTGACGCATATACAGGGTACAGGCATGTAAATCTTACATACAGCCAGCCTTGCGAATAACGACCCTCGATTGGCCATGAGAAAAGTGTGGCTATTGGCGAGTTGTGTCATATCCGAGGTCGTGATTTGCAAGGTTGACTGTACATAATTACTGCATAAACATTAGTTTAAAAGCAGATTATCAAATCAACATACGCACACGTGAATGCGGAAAATAGCAGCGTGCCAGCGAAAACGGAGAGAACGAAGCTATTCCCACCGTCTCCGAGAGAGCTTTGGTCGGTTAGATTGAATTCTAGTTTACGAAATTAGGGACTGATTATGGCCATCAGCGCATGTCATGAGCAAAAATGCACACACACACACACACCCTCACTCATACTCATACAGTTTTATCTAGAGGGGTGGCAAGTAAAATCTGACCTCATGAATATGGCAGAGTTACATTCACTGCAGCACAGCACTGTGTTTGTAGTGCTATGGCCACGCAAGGAGTCCAGGGAGGGGGTGGTTGATTCATTCAGAGGTTAGATTGTGATATAAATTTGGCAGAGCAGCTCCATTCACTGCATAGCCCTGTGTTTACAGTGCTCGGGGCCACAGAGTCCGGGGGGGGGGGGGGGGGGGGGGGGGTAGATCAGGCACGAGGTCAGATTGGACTTGCTGCCAGAGCATTACAAGCACAAGCACACACACCCACACACACATGCTTCGCATCACACCACCACTCTACTGCGCATCGTCAGCCACAACACAGCAGGTATCAGAACGGCAGAAGAAACCATAAGCAAGCAGTACATGCAATCTGCACAGGGCAGTAGAAGAAAGGAAGAAAAAGAAAGGAAAGAATACTGCATAGAAAGAAAGGAACATGGCTAAGCAGGAAGAGAGAGAGAGAGCGCACCTTATTGCCGTCAGTGGCCATGAGTGGTGACAAATAGCATCCTTTGGCCTCAGCAGAAGAGAAGAAGTCCTCCACTATATCCAGTCCCTGCGTTGCGGTACACGGCAATGGGAACGCGACCGTGAACCGCAGGGATAGCGGCGTGGAATGGCATGGCATGGCGTGGTGGTTCATCATGAATATGGCAGTGACGGGTGGCGATGACGACGCAGATGAGAAAGTACAGACACGTACAGTCAGACAGGCAGTACTAGATGACTGGACCGCGGCACTGCTTCAGATGCAGATTAGCTCATGGGGAAGCTACTGAGCAAATTATAGCTTTGCTTCACACTTTAAAACGAGCCTTTCGCACATTGCATACGAGTAAATGTAGGAAATTACGCTGATGCGTGTCAGGCCTATTGGGTGTCCTTTGTATGCTATACATGCGTACTTGACCAAATTTTGCAAATTCCACCCGGCAGGCCAGTGTTTTTTGCTATCTTCATCAACCTGGACAGCTCTACGGAGTACTCTACGGCTCCATAAAACCCGCACCATAAAGTGCTCTGGCATGTGCTCCCCAGTGGAAACGAAAGTGAAAACAATAGGCGTCCGTTAATAGGTCCTGCCGTATCCTATGGGATTCGTACATCTGTACAATGTGCAAAAGGCTCGTCAACAGTGAACATGAGACCCCAAGACAAGACCGAGCCACACGACATCAGCATACGTGATGTGGCACACAGTACTGCTGCCCAAGCTACATACTGCATGCAACTACACGCACTTTACCCTACTTGTTTATTACACTACATGCAACTACAAACACTTTACCCTACTTGTTAAGGTGCAAGGACAACCCAATACAATACTTCACCAGCAACGACACACCTGGGGTAGAGTGTCCGGCAGCTTTGAAGGCATTCAGGCTTTTAGTCTCTGCTCAAATACCCATTGCAAGGTCACCGATTAACCAGCAAAAAAAGAAAAAAAAGGAAGAGAAGAAAACTACATGATCCGCTCACCTCTTGAATAGCGAAAGAGTTGACTATGACGTAGCTACCCAGAGTTTCGGTCAGCATGTTATGATTTAGTGGCTCCAGTGATGGGCAGTGCTTCTCAAGGAATTCGTAAAGAGGAGTAATTCTGCGCAGTACACCAAAGCCAACACCATCAGACCAATTAAACATTAATATTTCCCATGGTAAACCGCATTCACCGAAGGGTTATTGAAACTCTCTGAACTATTTTATATAGCACAGCAGTCAATGCCAAAGCACAGCATACATCTACTTGGTACATGGTGAGGTGCTGACTCATTCACCGTTAGTGCAGTATGCCCTTACTCTTTGTGAGACATGGCGAACCAATACTCCGGTTTCCGGTGCCCTGGGGTAGGTGGCTCCATGTGCGGCAAGAGGGACTCAGTCCGCAAACACAGGTACCGTGGCAGGCTTGGGCTCAGGGGCCCCGGGCGGTTCGATCGGGCTGTAACCAGACACAAACATGACCAAAACAACACAATTGTACGGGAAGTCGAGAGCCAGGAAAGGCCGAGCTCTGCACACCGCATAAGAAACAAGCAGCACACCCTGTTGCGCGAAGAGTGTTCCATGTCCGAAGGCAGAGCATGAAGCCCGGAGTTGTAACGAACCTTTCCCCTCTCTTCCAGCACACGGTGTATAGATGAAAACCGAGTCTTTTATTCGTTTCGAATGCGCGTCAAACTTCCTCCACAATCCGCAATTGAGTGTTGAGCAGTTTCAGCGGTGCGGAGGCGAACTCACCTTCATTGGATGCTACCCGCACAGTATCAACATAGCACAGAAGATAACTATTGGCAATGGTTTGGGATGCAGAGGCGGTATGAAAACCCTCAACTTCAAACAGCTGTACTTTTAAAGTCACGTACGTTAATCATCATCAGCATCTGGAAGATGACATCAAGTTTGCCATAGGAGTCATTGAAAGCTGGCGGTCGCACATGCTCGAGCATCTGAGTTGATGGTGTCAGCATGGCACACAGCACATGCACACTGTATAGAATTTTTTGTTGATTTATATGTATTGAGAGATTCCCTGTGTGATTTCACACTTGTGCAGTACTGCAGGCTGCGAGGGCTATAGCAGAGGATGAAAAAAAAAAGTGAAACCAAGACTGAACTGATCGTTCAGGCAGCATGTTTCAAGCACAATGTTGAAGATCTATTCGAGAAGAAGAGCAACACTGGCCTCACCTTTTTGTTCAATTGTCATCGGAGGTGACACAGATTGAACACGCTGGGTTGCTGCGTTCGAGCTGCTCTCCGTGCTTTCGTTTTGCGTCGTGGTTGCAACGGTTGCCGTGTTTCCACGGTTCGAGGGCGAGTGACTACTCTCGTGTGCTGGAGATGGAGACTCCAAGGCGCTTCTGAATAAACAAAAAAACATTGTTATAAAATAAATAAAGTAATATGCAGCTTCCAATTCTAAAGACCTCAGCAGGCCCAAGTTCCACTGATTGGACACAGCTGGCATCTGTCTTGGAAGTGATCTTGGTACATGATAGTACAGTATGGCGAGGTGTGTGTACGAATTCTTCATTGGGGAATGTGATAGAAAGTAAGCAAATGCGTCGGCAGTCATTTTCACGGAATGAAGCACTCTTGCACATGGGCACAGGTGTGGAGCGGTCTTGCAATGCCGATCAATTACTATAGTACCAGCCTCAAAAGGTTGAGTGCAACAACATTCGGCCCATCGGGTGTTCCAACCTTATCTGAGCTGTAAGTTCAACAGGGTAGTATTTTAACAAGCACCAGCAGCGGCACAGAGGAGCTTTACCTTGCCATTTCAATGTCCACGTTGGGAACGCTGGACGGCGACAGGCAGTCTTGGACGGGCACCATAGTCTCCGTCTTACATTTAGCCCACTCGGCAGTTGAGGCGAAAAAGAATGACTCGCTCTTGGCCGCCAGGCTCCTTTTCACAGAAGGAAGAGCACGGCACACATGCACGCTCAGCCACGCTCATAGGCTACTGGCAATTCACAGCGATGGCAGCAGAGCGGCAAGCTGTCTGCTCATCTTCACTGTCAGCTCAATGGTCATGTACCATCTGCATCCTCTCCCCAAAGAGCCAAAGAGTGATTTTCTTGAGTAGTTGCTTTGCCATAAAATGAGGAATACCCGGCACTCATCTCATGAAATGTTTAACAAACTCTGACACGAATACAAGATAAGGTCGTTTAGTGATAACTGGGTAGCATCGTGCTGGACTGTACAGCAAGCCAACAAGCCAATACACGCTGGACCCAGTCAAGAGACAATCTACTTTCAGCAACCATCTGGTCTGTCAGATCAGAATTCTTCGGCATCAAACGTGTGCAATGTACAGAGGTTACTCTCGTGGCAGAGACCACCGGCATTTAGAGACCGTAATAGGCCGGTCCCATAAGGGGTCTCAGTAGCCAAACGTTACCTGTACATTACCTACAAAGGAAAGGCAACTGCGCCACACGACACTGAACAAGGCGAGGTAAAGAGCAGCACACATGCATTTTAGATGTAAGCACGATCCAACAGTTACCGTAGTTCCGCGCATATAAGCCCATGGGCTTATATGTGAAATAATGCAGTTTGGGGATAAAATATCCAGTAAAACATGTTCGTTTTTTAGTCCATGGGCCAATATTCGAATTTTGAAGGTTCATGAAAAAGTACAAGTCCGTGCTCATAGTGGGTCTACCATACTCTACTGGTAAACTGCACCGACCTGCTGTACCATGGTAGGAAGAGTCCACATTGTGAAAAAGTCTTGTTGACACGCGAGATGCATTTGTGTCTGTTTATAAGCCCATGGGCTTATAAACGGAGGTGGGCTTATATCCGGATATAGGCCCGTGGGCTTATACGTGCGGAACTACGGTACGTAGACATGTGTTGGTGTTCGAATGCTGGCCTCCATCGTCATCAGGATAACTGCTATGTAAGCATCCTATTGTTGCTTACCCCGACGGTGTGGGGGGATCACTGATGGCCATCTGTGCAGGGTTGTCGTACACGCCCAGGCTGGAAATGTCCGCCAGAGCAACGTACACGGTGTAGCGGCCCGTGCCGCGATCAATCACAAGGCGATTCTGTGCGTCCGGATTGAAGTTGATGTGGTACGGCGTGACAGACAATACGCCTGGAACAATACCCTACGAAAATGGCAGAGGGAAAAACACACACACATTAGTATACTAGTACAGTAGTCTGTTGTTTGGTTAAGTCTAAAGTAAAGTTATTTGCAAAACAGGTGGAAAACTGATAGTTCTAATCCCAAATTGTCTGGGGGAAAGCATCTAATTATCCGGACATTCTAATTACTCAAACATGTTCGGCCTCATTTCCTCTGTGCTGCGCTGACGAGTCCACAAAGGACGAAACAGTGCTGTTCGCAGATTGAGTATTTCGTTCCTGCTCTTGTAGCAGTTGAGCACTCTTGTGTGGGGTAGTGCCTTGCTGTTTGCGTGATGCAGAGCTCACCGACTTGTCAGGTTGAGCACTCTGGCTAGGTACGTTCGGGCCTGGTTTAAATCTGGCTCTGGAAAATTATTTTTCATTGCTACCAGGTTCGGCCTCATTTCCTCTGTGCTGCGCTGATGAGTCCACAAAGGACGAAACAGTTCTGTCCGCAGATTGAGTAAGTACCCAAACATGTACCCACAACACACTATGTGTATCAAAATTCTCACACTGTCCCACCGAGGTGTGATATGCAGTATAGACACAGATTCCGTGCATTCTGAACCAGAACTTATCAAGTGATCACAAATTATGGCCCAACTGTATCGATTTTGTTGGCATCCAGCTTCTGTTCACTACAAAACGCGTCAACGTTTCCTTCTTAACCTTTTAAGCCATAACACACGGATATATCCGTACCGATATGCAGAGTATACCGGGCGACTTCAAACTTTCGTAAATTCGCAAAAAAAATTGACCGAATAGCCACATCGAAAGGTCTATCGGCATTAGCAGACTCTCAGCTGTCGTCTCTAAGAAACCCGAACGCGATCCTAGGTTCTGGAGTGGAGTTATGGCGCTCTACCGAAAATCAACGTCTCAAGCTGTTTTTTGAGCGTGTAAAATGCACTTCAGCTGGTGATTTCCCCATTTTCACACGTGCATAGCCAGCCAGGTGCTATGACGCAATCAGGCTACGGGCATCCTGACTTCTTTGCAAAAATCCCAGCGCTCTGCGATAAAATTCGAGGGAATTGCATCGCGATGAGTATTTCGCTCGAAATTGACATGGCCCTGGCGCGTACGCTTGCTTCGCTCACTGTACATTTACATTGCTGCTCGTCATATCTACTGGAGATGTATTCCTTATGGATAGAGCTTTCCAGGAAGCCCAGGATTGTGAGAATCGACCTAGAAATGATGGCGTTATTCAACGTATTGTCAAGTACACCCAGCTCACCTCTCCATTGTTCGTAACATAGCGACAGCTGATGACCTTCTCAAAGGAGCGTGCAGCCTCCACACTGCCCGCAGCGAAATCCTCGTCGTCATCATCCAACGCTTCACCAGCCAGCTCCACACCTTCCAGCGGGTCAGCAGTCGGGCGTACAGAAGCCGTGTGCGGCACTGATTGCTCAAATACCAACTAAACACAGCAACAGAGGTAGCCACACCAGAAGACCGCGTCCAACATAACAACAGCCACAAAGATGACAACAGCAGTGGCAGCAACAGCAGCAAAATCAATAGTCATGAAATTGAAAGATTCTAAAAAGCAGTGGTGGTGACGGCTTATTCGGGATTAGTCTGTGCGACCATGATTAATCATTGGCATACCGGTATGTAATAATATCAAACTGTTTTGCAGCCCGGTGCCAGCAGCTGGCACTCAATCATGAGATGAGACACGGCAATCATGACAATCTTTTCCAACATCTTGCAATTGTCTGCGGATTGTAATGCATTCCAGTCAACCAATTTTGTGGCGAGTCATAGCTCAGTGGCTAGAGCATTGCTGGCCTCAGGGCGAAGGTCCCTGGTTCGAGTCCTGGTGGTGACAGTCAATTTTTTCTTCAGACTTTTCCCGTTTGCATCTCTCCCTCAAACCAGTGAATATTTTAATCCGTACAACTAGAACATTCAACTAGAATGAAATAACTGTTGCTTGCCACATGTGGATTCTGTATTGGTGTTCTTTCAGAACGAATCGTTTTAGTACTTTTCAGACCTCACGCATGCAACCGTTCTACAGCAAAAGCCAAGCCCAGCAAAACACAGATTTCAATCTTCAGCATCATCATCAGTTTGACAACGGTTGCATATTCAGTGTTCACCACTTATTTTTCTAACAAATAATCCAAATGAAACCAAGAGCATTGCTCATGACCAGCAAGGTCTCGGGTTCGAGTCCTGGTGGGTCTGGCGATTTTTCTCTTTTCAGGCAGTTCACTTCCCCGACTAATCCTTTGAATTTGAAGTTCTCCCAATCCTTTCAAACCCAATTTGTTAAAAAAATGGTAACCAATGGACGGCATCTTATTCAGACCAATAATGGGCATACCTCGCTGGGTGGTGCTGGCTTGACGGGCTTTCGAGCTTGCGGCCCACCTCGTTCCGGAACATAGAGAACCTGCTCAAGGTCCACAGATACAGAAACACACATGGGGGGGGGGGGGAGGAGAGTGAGAGAGAGGGAGGGAGAGAGAGGGAGTGAGAGAGAGAGAGGGAGTGAGAGAGAGAGAGAGAGGGAGAGAGAGAGGGAGTGTGACAGAGAGAGGGAGTGCGAGAGTGAGAGATAGATAGATAGATAGAGAGAGAGATAGAGAGAGAGAGAGACAGAGAGAGAGAGAGAGAGAGACAGAAAAAAGTAAAGTGATGGGTAAATGGCTGCAATGGAGTTTGCGAATTCTTAGAAAAGTTAGTTCGCAACTGCAGTGGCTAGGGGACAAACCACGGCCAACTGGAGAGGACAGTAGTGCTCCAAAGAGGGATAAAAAATCCCAAAGAACTATAAAGTAGACAGGAGCACAGGAATAACAGGGAGACGCAAGCACGAAGCCCACTAGTAAGCCCAGCGAGAGTTCAGGTAGATACGGAAGTAATGGTGCGCACCTGTCCAGGAAAGATCAGACTGGTCTGGAGACGGTTCAGCCGACGTAGCTCATGCGTTGTACACCCGTACGAGACCGCAATGCTGTATAGGGTGTCACTGTCTTCAACCTGCAGGCGACACCAACACCAGGACGAGAGAATGCAAACTGAAAGAAAACACACGCGTGGGAGCAGTGCAACACATCATGACAGGTATGTCTGACAATGCGTGACAGGTGTGTTGGGAGTGTAGTGTAGCTGGAGAGTCTAAGCCACAGCATAGTACCACCAGAGTGATTGCAGCAGGCACAGCGCTCACGAAAACAAAGCAAAAAATACCGCATGCCACATGGCAAGGACGACGCACTACGCACCTGGTATTCATCTGTCAACGGTGGACGTGCTGCAGGTTCACAACAGGTCACAGTAAAATAGTATGCACGAGGAGTAACCGTACAGCGAAAGTTAATTCAAATGACACAACATGCATACAGGCATTTGACCACCACATGAGCTGAAGAAATGCCCCCCCCCCCCCCCAAACAACAGTATTCACGTGCAAAAGTACAGTAGTGGTTCCAATAAAAATCATGGTTGGCACAGTAGTCACCCGACAGGCATGATAACTGTTGGATGTACACTATTGTTCTGGACACTGAACAGAACTACTCCTGTGACCCAGTGAAAGTGCAGTCCGATTGCTGGGGCTCAGTATTCATAAGTGATGGTTTATGATTGTGTCAGTACGTCACACGTATATCAACCACTCCAGTACAGTAGAGTCGCGCGCGCGCTGAAGAACGTCCAGCCTGAAATCCTAAGAACGCCACAGCCTAAAGCTAAGAACGGCGGTGCTGGTTTTCTGGCAGCTTGTGGGATACATATGATCCAGTGCGGATTGCTTCTAAGAACGTGCTATAAGAACGCAGCCAGATTGCTGACAAATAAGTACGTTCCAGGCTAACCCCTTGGACACAACGTTCTTGGGCGCGCGACTCTCCTGTATGCAACGGCCTAGTAAGAAGGTTGCCGCTGACTTATCTTTTGACGTTACAAGAAGCCTGAGAAGGCTAGAAACTGAAGCTTTGTGGCAGTTGGATACAGGTGGAATCCTGATACTTGGTAATTGAGTAACTGCCTAAATCAAAACTTCCTTCCAGTAGCGAGATCAGTTAAAATCCGAACCTTGGACTGCCTGCATACACCTAGTCAAAAGTCCACCAATTATGCATACTGTAAATATACAAATTTTCGGCAGCTATTTAATTTCGGCTATATTCGGCACCGACCCAAAACGCCTAAATTAAAACGCCGATGAAATTTTTCACAGCATCTGTCGCACTATACTATGCCCTCTACCCACGCCGAAAAAAAATCGCCGCCGAAATTTCAAAAATCGTGAAGTGCCGAAATTTTGCAGCGCCGACATTTTGTATATTTACAGTACACGGGTGGGTGTACATAGAAAATGTGAGGTTCTTACGGGTAATTCAAAGCTAGCAAAGGTGTATTTCGAAGTTCACTGAACGCTGCACATGTACTTGAGAGTTCAGTTTGCACAAACAGACTGTACGGCCAGTTTAGAGCGCGCAAAATCCGTCAAAACGACGGACTGCAACTGTGTGCGCATTACACGAGAGTGACGTAGTCAACTTCGCTAATGACGACTGCGGATACGACGACAATTCGCGAATAACGACAGAATTTCCATGCCCAGGGCAAAGTCCCATCTAACTGTAATACATACAATGTATAATGGGACTTCGGGTATAAGGACACTTCGCAAATAAGGACACTTTTCTGATGCCCCGCCGAGTGTCGTTATACGCAAAGTTGACTGTACCAGTTCATGTACATAATTTTTGTGTAGTGGGTGTACGTTCATGTAGTCAACTTCGCTTATAACGACATTCGGCGGGGCATCAAAATAGTGTCGTTATCCGCGAAGTGTCGTTATACCCGAAGTCTCATTATATGTATTACAGTTGGAAGGGACTTTGCTCTGGGCATGGAAATGCTGTCGTTATTCGCGAATTGTCGTTATATCCGCAGTCGTTATTAGCGAAGTTGACTGTAATAAGCACCTCCACCCCCGGCAATTCAGGGTTTGAATTATTTCAGGATTCTGCCTGTACAACCAAGAGTACACTGGACATTGTGCAAAGTCCAAGCACTAGTTGTGATGATTGTGTCGTATAATTTGTACTCAAGCTAGCCTCAGGCAAGCATTCTCACCAGGTTCAGCAGACTGGCAGTGTGGTCCAAATAATTACTTGTCACACATACATGCACTCATGTACAGACCAGGAGACGTAGAACTAGAATTCCTCGCATGTCACTCTCAAGTTCAGTGAGAACCTTATCACTTTTCATTGCGTCCATTCGGAGCGGAGCCGCGAGACATTTTATCAGACTAAGACCCTACTACATTGTACCCGTAGAAAATACGTTGAATTTTAAAGTTCATCATAATTATGTATCTTACTGAAGCGAGGCTTTCTCCTCTGTTCGGGCGCCCTGAAGACACAAACACGGAGGATGAGCAGCTCATTTGACAATTGAAATGACATTGAGAAATATTCACCTGAACTACTTACGAAAGACCCGCAGAACTAGCCATTTCAAAACGCCCAACTCAGAGAAAGCCAGAAAAATTTCAAGTACTGCAGGGCTTCAGTCAGGGCACATGGTGTCGCCAACAGAGAAATATTCAAACTAGTATTCTGAAGATTAGTATTTGTCCAAAAAGTGGTGTCACGCAGCCAATCCACTTGTTGAACCCTCCACTCCACTGCCTTCAGAGGGAACCACAACCCAATACGTCCCAAGCAATCAGTTAGTAACTAGTACTAGTACAGGTCGTCCCCCGTTAATACGAGTCCGGTTAGTACATAAACCCCGTTAGTACATAAGAAATCTCAAGTCCCGGACGAAACGTGGTCACTTCCATACAAATTTTGTCGGTTAGTACATAATCCGTTAGTACATAAACCCCGTTAGTACATAACATTTCTCCGTACCCGCATGTCACCTACCTCAATAGTACATAATTTACTGGTCTTTTGGCCTTCCAGTGGAGGAACATCATGTTCTAGTTTCTACTTGTGGACGCAATAGACCGATCCCCTTATTATTGTCTGGGTTCGAGCAAGGGGGCAACTCCGCAGTCGCGTGGGATCCTGCTGCACACACGCGACCAACCTCACCTCGGCTTTGCGTGACTTCTCGCATGCGAAGTGCAGAGCACGCGAAATCTACACGCAGTGCAAGCCTGTCTACAAAAAATGCCACAAGGACTTTTGATTTGAGCTGTTTTGTTTTTGTTTAGACGTCTTCCTTTTTACGACTTCAGGATGCCTTCTCAGGATCATTGCTGCGTTCCTCACTGTCAGAACAGGAGGACGAAGCAAACAAGTCATTTCACTCCTTTCGTCGTGTGGAGCCACAGCGGCCTGGAGCAAGCGGATCCAGGCTATTCCCCGTGAGGAAGGACGTAGTTTTTAGGGTCACTCTGAATATTTGAGATGCAGCGATCATTTCGATCCCGAAGTCGAAATCGTTTTGCCCAGCTCTACAAGGGCAGGATGAGTCCAGGAAACCAAACAGCTGTCCTACGGTACCAGGTTTGCTTTTCGCAAGAGAGTGGAGTCTGGACGCTCTGCTCCCCATGCTCGCAAAACAGTATTTGCTGAGCCTAGTGCAGTTCGGTCATGGAAGTGCAGCGTCTGCATCACGAGCTCCCCATGCTTGCAAACCAGTATTTTGCTGAGAGGCAACGGCATTTTGAGTTGGAAAGTAACCTGGCTTAGTGCAGTTTTGTCCTGTAATGGAAGTGCAGCATCTGCATCAGGAGTTGGCAGCAAGTAGAGCTCGTGTACAGAGTCTCGTGGAGCAGTTGGACGATGGGGTGAAGAAAGCCGAAAAACAGCTTACGTACAATAACATAAAGAAAGACTCTGAGCCGCGCCAGTTTCTGACTGGTTTGCCTTCAGGTGTTTGGACCGCTCTGTGGGACTTCTTTGAGCCTAGCCGAGAAAATGTACTGCGCCGAGCCAGATCTGCGAAGACGGAAGCTGAGGGACGGCGGATGCAGTTGGAGGTGGCCGTAAATCGCCAATGAGCATGTAATGGAGGATCAGCTGCTATTGGCATTGATGTGTCTAAGCCTGGGCCGAATGGGACAGAAGCTGTAATGCGTGGCACAAGTTAATCATCCGTTTCACGGTATATACTATATAGCTAGCTGAGCTGGAAAGTTGTCTTGTTCCTCCGTTTGGGCATGATCCCCATTTGGGCGAGCTGGCGAGATGTTCAGTCATCAATGCCATGTACCGCAAGCAAGAGTGCATAAACTATGTGCATAAATTATGGACTCTTGCCGCAAGACATTCTGCATTGTGGATGAAACAGTTCTATTTTGCCATGCACTTAGGGTTCTCGCACCGGCACAACAAGACCCAACAGATCCTTGCGCTCTTATTTTCTCCCATGGTAACATTGCTGATCACAACACCCAGTAGCCAGTCGCAGATGCAACCAAATCAACCAGGTTCTCTTACTCTTTTTTTCCAATACTGAAACCAAAGGTATACCAATATTTGCATCAAATGCAGTGATGATTTCAATACTGTCCACTAGTACAACGCATTACCAGACTGGCATATAATCATGATAATATTATCCATTTCGCAATCACTGTCATTGCTTTCTTAGATCTTCAATCATCAATATCGGACCATAAACCGTCTATCATCTTCTATTATATCATCATTAGTATCCTGCTACTATCCTCCTCTAACGATGAGCTCGAAGAAAAGAAACAGCGGTCTAGAGGCGTAAACAATATCTGTCAACGGAAGTGTCCTTGCTGTGCTGGTGTGTTTATGCTTCGTGCATTAGTTCGGCCAAGAGCGCATGGCGGTGGCGGGTTGAGGATGTTAAATATACTAGAAAATAGTTCACTCTGAACGTGCAGGGGGTATATTCATAGGTTCGAAAGAACCGCACACACACTTTGCTGCAGACAGCGGCAAGCTTTGGCCCTCGTGCTTCGAAGAGGGAGCAATCCACTGCGCTGCGCTTGCGATTAACAGCAAGCTTCGACTTTTCAAAGGTACGACTCATCATTGGCTCTGGGGTAATGTTCCTGGAACAAATGCCCCATAGCCAACTGAGGGCCAGGGAGCACGCAATCTACCTTCCTGGGCGAGAAGTGTTCCAGCACAAGGAGCAGCACGAATACATGCTGACAAAGACCACCATCACCACCAGCCGGCACACAGCACACTGTTCTTCAAACACCATCCACTCCGTCCATGTGTTTGCACTGTCCTCCTCTAGCTCTTCACGCTCAACAAATAACACGCACTGCTCATCGTTTTTTTATGCTTCCTCTGGGTTGGCTAGCCCTTCGACTTGACAAAACAGCGATCACCACTGCACTGCTATCGTCACCTCATAGCAGTCGCTTCCACCAGTGGCTTTTCCTGTCTTTGCAAGGTGTCCAAGGATGGCTGCTGTTGTCATTACAGGCAAATCAGAAGTACTTTAGTGGCTGATGTCCAACCAGATCGTTGGAAAATCGATTTTCCACTTCAGGGCTGCTGATCGCGACTTGGTGACTTGGCAGCACCACGGTTACCTTCATAGAAGATGGCTCTGGAGAGGAAAAGACAGACCAGAAAAGGTTAATATTATCTTCAGCACCGATCGCAAGGAGAAAGAAATGTGGTCTGCTGTAGCCTAGGCACAAGATAAATCTCACAACACGATTCGCGATTCAAATATTTCAACAACAAAAAAACTCACCTCTGGAGTAACTCCTGTTTGTGGCCCGAGATCGTTCCCTCCCGCGCCTTGAAAAAATCCTGCAGCGGCATCACAGTCCATGTCTCTCTCGGAGACTCTGCTCCTACCAGCAGGAGGTTTAGCACCGCTCGAAGCCATCGCAAACTACTTGAACTAAGCAGAAGACATTCCAAAACAAACCTGAAACACACTGTCAAAGATGCTGTCACGTTCAAAAACTAGCTCGATCGCGAGTGAGGTTGCCCCCGTGCTCGAACCCAGTATAATAAGGGGATCGGTCTATTAGCATAGAAATCAGAGCGCACATCACAAACCGACAAAGCTCTGTTTTTTTTCGAGTGACTGTACAGGTGCGCGCGGCGGGGCATGTACAATGTCAACTGTAGAATCTTCGCTAAATGTGACCATTATAACATAATTTTTATGTTATATCGAGGGAATCAAGAATATCTCGCTGCCTAGTCATGGAAGCAAGAAACACTCAGAAAAGTTGAAAAAAGTGAAAAATTCTGCTATACAAGCAAGTTATGTACACTTTCGTTTAGTACATAAACCCCGTTAATACATAACATTTGTCAAATCCCAGAGATTATGTATTAACGAGGGACGACCTGTAGTAGAGTCTATCTGGCAAAGACACATTCACAGCCGCAGGATCTCCAAGGTGGGTCAGGCACCGCATGGTAGCTCTGCTGAGTGCTGTCGATTTGTCTTTACTTGTGCTTCAGTGCGTTCACACACCATTTGAATGCTCTTGACTTTTCTTTACATCATCGCGATATCTGGATATCCAGTGACTCAGTCTGTACGTATCGCGCGGGTGTTCCGGGCCGGTGTTCGTGAACAGACAACACACGCGCTGCGCGTGCATCCATAAAAAAGCTCGATATTAAATTATCATGTCTTTTTTCATTTTTATTTTGCCAAATCAGCGCGTACCGTACCGCGTACCGTGCCAAGAAAGACCAGACTGAAAGTACTCTTCGGATAAGGGGGTAGTAAAATCTCTGCTTCGCGGACCCCAAAACTGGCAAAAGGCTACGCGCTACGACTCTTATCACACCCGTACTGCACTGCGTAGATCTACTGCTAGTACTACAGTCAGGGCTGGTATTTGGGATCACAAAACGGCAAACACGTCAGAGGCCATCTTGAATCACTCTACGTCATCAGATACCCGCACGTGATGCGGGGGCCGCGAGATCGCGACTGTGCAAAAAGTGTACTTGCCAGTGCAGTCTTTGACCTAGCTGCAAGAGCAAGTGCTAGTTTTTTTATTTTTTGGTGGTGCTTGAACTAGTTCGAACTGCTTCCCTTCGACTTTCTTTGACAGAGCGGGTGCTGTTAGGGTTTCCTGTTGTCAGTTTGTATCCCACCACCGGTCTTGTATGTCAGTGCTTGTACAAGGAGGTGTTCAGTAGTTATTTTCAGTCCGCGCCATGGGTCGCATCCAGGGTAGGAAAAAGTCGCACTCTGACCGGCTTGATTATCCCGAGTCGAGAAAGAAGCGAACTAGTGGCCAGTTCGGCTCAGTATCATGGCCAGCTGGACGTAGATCAGATCGCCCAGAGGTCGAACAAACCGGCAGTAGTCCTGAAATCCTTACTTCGCAGAACATTGACGATGTGGAGCGCGGTGTTCAAGAACAAGGAACCATGGTAATAATTGGATTCGCTCCAGAAAATTATTCTCGTGGTTCCCGGTTCCTTTCCCATGACTCTAATATTTCCTATGGTCTGGATACGTGCATCACGCTGAAGCCTAGATGAATCAGATTGTAAGTCAGTCTTCTCTCTAGCTCAAGATTTTGCGAACATGTTATCAGTGAACAATAAAAGCAAAGGACACAGTGCAACAAATGGAAAATGCACGTCTCCTTCTTTTCCTTGCCGTGCGCACTGCACTGTCACAGTCTGCAGTTCTGACTGGAAGGTGTCTTCCGTTTGTGAAAGAACCAGCGCAAATCGCGCGTGGCGCAGCGTCCTTCAAAACGACACAAGTGAGCTCCACATGAGCCGATTTTGACAATCGATGGCTCAAAATTTTCAGTAGGAGATGCTCCATACTTTGACCGAAGCGAATTTCGCCAAAACGATCCTAGAGGTGAGACACGTTTACCGAGTTTGAGGGTGTTATTTGAGGTCCAAATTGCGAAAATCGAAAAATCCTTCGGTGAATCCCTTTGCCCACATCTGAACTCGGTGCCTGCAAAATCTCAGCCTGCTAGAGAGAACTGTGGCTCACTTGCGTGGATTTGAACAGGCCAGAGTCGACGCGAAGTACGGCAAGATTCCCTGTACACAGCATGGTGTGGCACATGTCACGTGAACCAAAATGGCGCCCACGTGTTTCTGTACAAGTACTAGCCCTGACAGTACTAGGCTAGATCCTGGACCTTAGCCGTAGCGTGTTGTTGTGCTTGTATTGTGGTGAGGCCCAGCTCGTTTTCGCACCAAGTCACCAACTGACTGAACCGTGTACACGGGTACAACACTGACAACGCAGTGATCTGAGCTGCCATGCCAAGCAAGGCGCTAGGGCTTGGCTTGAGCTTGCCGGGTAAAGATTTTTGTTTCTGCCTGTTTTGGTTTTTGTTTGTGAGTCTGACTGACTTCGTTGTCTGTGGAACAATTTTCGACCATTTATCTGAGTCCTGAAATGCGCCACTTTGTGGCGTGGTGATAGCCAATTTTGTGTCGCTTCTTTCACCTGGCCCGCAGGTGTTGCGACGGCGACAGTTTGAAAGGAGAATGGCAGAATTATTTGCCATCACCACAAGCTGAGAACGTTGAAATATTTAGTAATTAGTGCTGTTAGTCAATCCTTGATCCACGGAGATGGCATCTCCATCTGATCGCGCTGCTGTCTCGGCGAAGCGGCGTACAACTCAGCTAGAAGGCCTGTATCTTGATGCAAAGC